GTATTTATCTAGATATGACCTTTCAAAACCACGTTGCTCACTCAAACCTTCCAACTCACTTTTCGGAAAAGCATTTTTCTCCTCTGCGCATGTGCAATATCGTGTGGGCGAAGAAAATAATGTGCGTCTACCTTCCCATCTCTGCGCGTAACTGCAGAGGGGAGGGAGTTACCCTTCCCCAATCCTTCCTTATGCTCAAAATGGGCCGCACGGGAGGGAGCAATTAACCAACTAGGCAATTGCGTCCGGGCATACTAACGTAACTTGGAGGGGGGGCCAGTTAAGAAAGCCAACACGTGGAGGCCCATCATCTATAAAATAAGCGGCAAACCATGCTTACGGCTGAGGGGTGCGCTTTGGCTCATTTTGTCCATATTCATAGTAACGTTTTTGGCACAGCAAACAAGTGTGTATATTAACGTCACACACCCGCGTGCACTAGTTGAAGGTACGCTAATTTACAAACTCAAATAAACTGTAAGGGTGCCCCGTCCGATGGCCATGCATGTTATCTGTTTTGTTTCCATTGGACCTACATGCTCCGCAAAAGGGGTTCCTCATTTTTTTCTTTTTTTTGGGGGTGGGGAGGGGTCACCCGTAGGACTGCTATATTATGTAGGCACGTGGGAGCTATACAAGATTTTTTTTTTCTTTTTAAAAAAAAGAATAGCGTCCCCTTATTGATGGGTTTCCCCCTAAGTGTCACTCCGTTTTGCATAAAAAATATACGTATGCGCGTCGTCCACGGTTGGCGGCTAACGATTATTAGGGATACATAGATCAGATTCACGGCTAACAAGTGTGGGTTTTTTCAACTTGGTTCCCTCCACTAGTGCAGTGCCCATTCAGTCCTTCGGTCTAAACTCCATGGCCTGCTTCTTGACCTTCTTTTCGTACGAGTCTCTGTCCTGCTGGTACAGGAGAAACGGCTCCGCTTGTGCAGGCGAATTCGGGTTGGGGTTATCCAGCAGATCCTATAAAAGAGGCGAGAAGGGGGAATATCCGTCGTTGTGATTACTAATAAGGGGGACGCCACACACATACGAATAGGCTCTCTATTTATTGAGGAACTACACAACAATATGTGCGATGTGTGAGGTACGATATGTTCAGCCTCTATGAATCGATTACCTGGATGCCCAACAGAATCTGCTTTATTGTTATGGAGGGTTTCCAATCCTCATCTTCATTTAGGATGGACAAGCATACCGTTCCTGGGTTTAGGGAGAGTGAAAGATATCTTGTGAAGATGACCCAACCAACAAATGGGGCATCGGTACAGGGGTATCAAATCTGGGGAGGAGAAAAGAGGAAGACGTTCTATTTTTCCCTCCTTTTTTATTTCTGTGCCTCCCTACCTGATGGGTATATGTTCGGGTGGAATAACACTGTGGTGAATTTGCACTTGGGGGGCTTGCTGGGGTAATCCTCCGTGAACTCCATGGTCAGCGGGAATTCGCCTCCTTCCCATAGTCCTCCCTGGAAGGGGATCATGGTGGTGGTAATATTGGTGGTAGTGCTGCTGGTGGGCGAACAAATGTTCACTTCCCTTTGTGAGAAGGTGGAATTCTCCCGCGGAGCAAAAGGTGTACTGTTATACACACGACGAAGAAGTTTACCCTCGGGCAGAGAGCGCTACATGACAGGACTTACCTTTTTGCCGGGTATTTTGCAGATCCATTTCATGATGTCGAGGCCTTTCCCATCACTCATGGGGCTATACTTGGCCGAAAATCCAGCGGGGTGATCCTTCCTCCATTCCGCCCGTTCTTGTGCTAACCTCTTTTTCGCAATAGACATTTCTTTTTTTTCTTTTTTTTTTTTTATTTTATTTTTTCCCAGAAGGGAATTTTGAAAGCGAATTAGTAGGTTCCTTTCTTCTATGTGTATGTCTTTTCCTTTGTTTTTTTGACTTGGTCGTTTCGTTCGGGTTACTGATTGGATATGTCCGTTTGGGCAACACGTTTTCGTGGTTTGGGGGTGGACCGGTCAGACTTCCAGCTTGGTACAGACGTGTTGCAGGGAATCTTTTTTCCTCTTCTTTTTCCTTTTTTTTTTTTCTTTTTTATACATAATGTGGCCCCCCTTTCTTGAGTGAGCCCCCTGTTCTGTCTCCCTACCGAGCAGTTGCGTTAAAGTTGTGCTAAAGTTCTGCTAATGTTGCGTCAAAGTCGCGTTAACGTTTCGTTTATTTTGTGTTAATCACTCTACAGGGGTGGCTACGCACTACAATGGAAAGTAATGCAAAAATGGGGAAGTCCAAAAGGGGGGGGTGTCTTCCACTGGACGTCCACAACAAAGTTCGAGTGGTAGAAAAACAGTCACATAAGAGTGTCCCCACACAGTAATCAGAATAACTTCCGATAGAATGATGTGAAGAAAGAAGTCGACTGTTTTTTTTTCTTCCCCTGAAGAGTAATCAGAAGGTACTTATTTGGCTTAACTCTCTCTCTTTACCTCTTCAAAGGCGTGAAAAAATATGTTGTATGAAGAAAAATACGCTGGGGGTAGATCGGCATATACAAAAGCAGGTGGAAGAAAAAAAAAATTCAAGAGTGTATTTAACAAGTTTAACGAGAGAAACAGAAAAGGATGCAAACGAGGAGGCAGTAAATAAGAAGCATACAAACCAAAGTGAATCATAAAAAAAGAAAAAAAAGGCAAAAAAGAGGAAAAATGAAAAGAGGTAAAAGAAAAAAAAAAAAAAATAGAGAGCGAGGCGGCAAACTTGTACAATTTATCGAAGGCGTGGAGAGGGATGCTGTTGGAAGCGTTTGAAGCGGACGTGGGGTATTGTGTGGACGGACGGGGTAGTCAATTAAGGCAAGGCAGCCAATGGAAGATGAAGATTTAGAAGTCCCCCCAGTCAGTCACTTTGCGAATGAGTACCAGTGGGGAGGCAAAATAAGGAGAATCCTTCGGAAGTAAAAATCTTTTTGAAAAATGTGCGAGGAGAATGAAGCAAAAAGGGGGGAAAAGTCAAGTCGAATTTAAGTCAAGCGAAGATGATCCAATGAAGGATGAACCCAGCGAAGATGCTCCAATCAAAGAGGAACCAATCGAAGATGTAGCAATCTTAGCTGGACTTAGTTAAGGCCAACTGTTCCATGCCAAACATCTTATGCCCGATCCGACCGAGCCAGGGAAAAAGAGAAGCGCAAGAGAACCTCGCTGCCACGCATGTAGATAGAGAAGTCGCAGAAATGGTGAAGCGATGAAGGGGCGAAGCGGGGCAGGGACTTATCTGCGGTATGAGGCCATTCTCGAGGAACGAACCCTTAATGCCACTTCAAATGGAGTGAAAAAAAAAAAGAAGAAAGAAGAATCTTAAAAAAAAAGCGCTGCATAGAATTTTTGCCAAACAGGTGTATCATCATCTTTTTTTTTTCTTTTTTCTTAAAATTTGGGGAATTTTCTCTTTTTTTATTTTTTTTTTTTGTGAAAAACGACCCCTGTTGAGGGTAACACATGTAAGGTCTTCACACTGAAGAGAGGCACTTACTTTTTGGTAATTCTCCACTGCGCAATTGCCAAGGGGGTGTACCTATATACACTTATGTGTGGGCCTATGGATACGCCGTTGTTTGAGTCCCCCCATATGCCGAACGCCACATAACTGCTACTTCGCCATGGTAGAAATGTAGCGACATGCGGTGACGTATATCAGAATACACGACACATTTGCAGTGATTGCCTTGGATGAAGTCAGCCCAATGTAGATGCGCATCATTGCATGTGTCTACGTGTTTTTTTTTTTTCTTTTAACCCACGTAAGTGCACCCTTTTAACCTGTTTGAGGGGTGGAGAAGTGCAAGCTGGGAAACGAACTCACGGGTTAAGATAAAACCCTAGAAGCTAGAAAGACACACGCAGAAGGTGCACTTCCCAGTTTACACCCATGCTAGGGGAAGGGGGGAAGAGCCAAGTTAGCGTAACGGGATTTATTCGCCACAGTTTTGAATGACTCGAAGGAGAGGCACCATTCTACATGAGTTCATACTGTGTAAAGCCCCCCCAATAAAAGAAAAAAACAATTTATCTTTTTTTTTTTTTTTTTTTTTCTTTGTAGCCAAAAAATCCCCGCTTGGGAATGACAAGGCGATGCGACAGCTGTGTTTGTCATCCCTGCTGTTCATCCCCTTGCGCGTTCAACAAGGAGGAGCAGCAAATTGTACACAGGGGGGAGCGGTCCGCCCTTATCTGTTATCGCCTATCGGCTATCCATTAAGCTGTGAAATCCGTGAAAGCCGATAAGCGGCATCACAGCAGCGACGTGACGATCTCGCCCTGGGGGGATGAACTCCTTCTTCTGCGAAGACACGAAGGAGGAAGAACAGCTCCTCCAGAAAATCATCAAAGTTAAGGAAGAAACCTTGCCCAACGTCATTCTGGAAATTCTGACCAACAAATGTTCGTCCACAAGGAGGCCGAAGGGGGAGCAAGAGAAGGTCAAAGTGGAACCCCACTTTTCAGGGCACTCCCACCTGAGGAATAAAAACCATGATGGGTGGAGTGATCAGACGCATCTATCAAAAAAGGAGGAAGAAAGTAACGTCCAACCTGCGGACGCCCAAATTGTGAACGCCGAAATTCTGAACTTAAAACTCAACACCAACGTTTTCCCCTTCCATCTTAAAAAAGATGGACACGTGAATGCAGACACCTTTTTTATACCGTACAAAAGTAACAACGATGAGGATGTCATAACGGAGTATACGTATAGCTATAGCTATGACGATGTGTACAGTCCGAAGATCGAAAAGACAAACAAACTGTTTCATGCGAATAAGGGTCGGTTGTGTGATGTTGCACGAGGGGGGGAAGAGGACGGGGTTATTCCTCAGAAGAAGGTTAAAATAAAACAGGAGAGCGAAGACGCACAGGAAGATCGACTTCCTCCCGACGGATTTGTCGAATGGAACATACAAAAAAGTGAGACAACGGAAGGCGAAACGGGGGAAGAGACTCCAGCAGAAGGGCCACCCTCTGTTACAAATGCAAACCTCGCTTGTAATGCAAACAACATGGAAAAGTTTCTTGTCCACTTTAGGGGCAGACTGTTCATCGGATGTAATCTCATATATTCTCACTTCAAGTGTGACACCTTTCTAAGCACCATACAAGGTAGAGAAGTGGACGAAGGGGAGGGCACTCCGGTCGGAGAAGACCATCTCCACTTTGTTAAAAAAGAAATACAAACATACAACTTAATTAAGAATGCGACTTATTGGAAACAGGATGAATATCCGGATGTTTCCGACCCCAATATACAGAAGTTTCTCTTCTTGACGGTCGTGCCGGCGCTGTGTGATTATGCGGAGGAGGGGGGGGAACAGGCCTCCGACGTTGTCTTCTAGGCTGGTGAAGGGGTGTGCCTTGCAAAGCATCGTGAGGAGGTACCCCAGCGTTGTATCATCTCGAATGGCCCATTCAGCCCACCAGCGTGTCCAACATGTGAAGAGAGCCACCATACATGGAGACTGCCTTACGCGATAAGTAAACCCTCTTGCTGTTAATGAGCTTCATATTAAGTGGGGGATCTATCACGTGCGTCGGACTGTCGCTCCATTTTGGAAGTGGCTCCCCCGCTTCACCGCCATCGCCGATACTACCACCATGCTGTGCCTCGTCCCCCAGTCCACGAAAAACAAAGCGCAGATAAGAATAAAACACACGTGAGTAAATACCCAGCTCACTAAAGCTGTTGACTAGAATGAGCAAACATTTGGTGTGGGGCATGTCAAGTGGGGTCTCCATTTTTTCCAAGAGACTCTCGCTTCTCTTCAATATTATAGATGTTGTGTCGTTTTTAATTTTCCTCTTCGATACGACGTACGCTGCTAGCGCTAGATGGTGTAGATTGGCTTCCTCAACCTGCTTGACAAAATAAATTTCAAACATTTGATACACGTCCTGGTGGAAGATGCCAAGTTTGGTGTAGCAGTAGAGGATGTTGCACAGCGTGGATATGTTCATTCTCCTGGCCAGGAGGATAAACTTTGCGGTTAGGCTGTCCAGCAGGTTCTTGCTCGGCGAGGTTTGCCCGCCGCTGGGGGGGGCCCTACTGAGAACGGAACCACCAACCAGATTAGGAGAAATATCGCCTGCCACATTAGGAGCAACATCGCTTGTCACAGTGGAAGAAGCAGCACCTGCCCAGTAACTCGCACCACCCGCCGCGTAACTAGCAGCACCTCGCCCCCAGCCCAACTTAACCATGCCACTCAGGATAAAACTGAGCTGCTGCTCATCGCACGAATGCACCTTCTTCTCGATTTCGCATAAAACGGCGGAAAGGTAGGCCGGCTCCGGGACCCCTAACTTGATGAACCCATTGATGATTAGAGACAAGTGTCTAATCGTGGCTAGCTGGATCTTCTTAATGGTTTCCTCAAAAATGATTTTCAAGAACTCTCTTGGCACATCAAACCAAATTCTACAACAGGCATTAATTATGAGGGAGAGCGATTGGGTGTTCATTTTGTGCACCTCTTTTGTTATCTCCAGGAGTACTGCAAGGAACATGTTCTTCAGCTCTTCTGTCTGTTTGCTTCTCTGCCGAGTGGCTTCACCGAGTCTGTTTGGTGTACCCTGTGGAGCTCTTCCACCACTGGATGGAATTCCTACAACGTTATTATGACTCCCTTGAATGATTTCCCCCTTCTCATTGCTACATTTCGTACTGGTATCATCTCGCTCCCATCGGGGGAAGACCCCCTCCCGAATGAGCATCTCGTTGTCCATTTCGATCAGCACACTTTGGTTATACGCATAGTTGTGCATGTTTCTCTCCATATCGTTTTCGTCCCCCTTCCTGGGGTACCTCTTTAACTGCTTTGCTGCACTTAAGCATTGACTTGTTTTTACTATCCCGGGATTTTTCCCCTCATGAGTGGAAGCAGCATTCTTTGCTACTCCGTGTTTTTCCTCCTCTTCCTGCTTCTCCTCCTCTGCGCTTCGATGCATTAGTGTAACTACACCCCCGCGGTGCCCTCCACAGGGATATTCCATCTCGTCCCGTTTTAAATCTCCCTGTATGTGAATCCTATCCAGCTTCACATTTGCAGCTTGCAAAAAATGGGGAGTTGGTTTGGTCACTTGGGAGAAGCAATTAAGCAGCATAGCCAGTCCCTGTGGAGTGAAGGACTTCCTACATTTCGAAAAAGCGGTCAGAACAAAAATGAGAAGCTTGAGTGTTAATTCACGAAATGAGTAATCGTTGCAATGTTTAGAAAAGGCATTCAAAGTTACAATAAGTGCGAAGGAATTCGAATTGTGTACAACTGGCAACTTCAAAAATTGGGATAATATTAATTCAAATAATTTTCTGTCAAAATAATTCAACACATTTAACGAATGGCAGATATGGGCACAGGCTAGCATGTCCATCTTATGTACATGTCCTTTTTTTATCTTTTCGCTGAATTTTAAGATTATTTTTAAATCACGATAATTCACTTTGGAATATGCATAGAGTATTCTTCCCATTTCCTTCATGTCGAATGTGTCACTTATCTTGTTTGCTCTTTCGCTTAGCCTCTCCCAAGTGATTCGGTCGTATGGACCTTCATTGGACACACGCTCAATCGTTTTCGTAATTCTGCTGTGACTCATCCAGGGGATACCCGCCAACGTATCGTGCGAGACAGATCTTTTCCTTATCACATAAACGGGCAATATGTGCGGTTCCTTCCTAACTATTCGAAGGAGAGCTCTACATGTCCATGTCGTCGTCATGCCTGCGCAGCTTTAGTGGTCTCCTTTGTGTGGTACGACCATATATGCTGTGTTGCACGGGGGTGCGTGCGCAGCAGGAAACACTAAGTGGAAGCGAAACAGGTAGAAGCCATGCAAACAAAAAAAATAAACAAAAACACACATGCATTGATGATACGTAGATGTCCCAGATGAATATCACGTGAGTACTCATACGCCGCCGCATACGGGCATAAAAAAGAAGGGAAAAAAGAAGGAAAAAAAAAAGAAACCGAGAAGAAACGCCTTTCTGGCACATGCGCTAGGTGGATTTATTGTCCCGCCTGGACTCCCTTTTTTTTCCCCTCATCCCCTGGTTGGCCTCGCAGAAGGGATAACCCAGCGAAGGCGCATTTTAGAACGTTTTTCTTGCACCTTTCCCACTGGGGGGGGCAACCAACGTGATCAATGAGTCGGAAGTTTCCCAGGGGCAAAGTCGAAACAGAGAAAAAGTGACAAAGAAAAAAAAAAGGAACCTACTATGAATAAAAAAAAAAAAAACAATCTGTAACGCCGTTAAAAGGGAGACAACAAAAACACTGCCTTAAAATTTTCCTTTCAACGGAACACAAGAAATTCTATTTTGAGAAATAGACGTCGTGGTTAGGGGATGAATAATCCCCGTCGTCCACCATAGGACATGAACCTATACTGGGTATCTCTTCTTGCGCAGATAGCCACGAGCAAGTGTTTCAACCATTCCGTCACGCCCGGACCCGTCAAAGGGGGAAAAAACCGATTACTACGAAAGAACGGCCTCCAATGTGCGTACAACGCGTACTTATGAAATAGCACTCTGGTTGATCTACCAACATAAGCAAAGGGGGACCACGGCGATACGAGAAAGGGAAACTTAGGGTGATCCACTACACATACCACATATGGAATCTCCCGTATCTTCCTTTGGGGGAGTAGCACTAATCCTCGAAGGATAATACTTCGCCTATCAGCGTCCTTTCCCACACCGTCGTCACAATACACACAAACGTTTGCAGTCGCCACACGTGTTAACCGGGCAATGAGTCTTGTCTCTCCTGGATCGAAAAAGAAATGTATATGGCACTGGAACGGGGGAGAACTGGTACAGTCATAATTATTAAAAAGAAAGAAAAATGGAAAAAAGGAAAAAAAAGGAAAAAAAGGAAAGAAAGGAAAGAAAAAAAAGGAAAAAGGGAATGAGAAAAAAGGAAAAGGAAATAAAGGGGAAAGGAAAAAAAAGCGTACTAAAGTAGCCTCTTCTTTTCAACAGCAGTTTTTTGTCATCATCCACGTAAGCCATGTTATCATACCCCTCGGCGTCTTCCTTTGATCTATTCACCCTGACGCCGCTTACCTATGTGCCGTTCGTCCTACTCGCATCTAGTCCATCCCGCCTGCGCTGGTTCTCCCAGTCGTAGTAATCCTCAATGCTGCCGATGTAAGGCATATTCGAAAGAATGTCCTTCGGCTTGTACGCGAGAACAAGCATGCTGCACAGCTGCACGAAGACGTTCTTCAGGTAATCGGCGGAGACTCCAAAACGGCACGTATCCTTCAGTATATTCGCGTAGCACTCCACATAGCGCAGCATCTCGAAGTATTCGGATTGCTCTTCAAACAGAATGCGGTTGTAATAGTTGGACGCATTTCCTTCAAACTGGATTGGTCCGGGATTACAAAACCTATCTTCCATCTGCCACCTCTGCAAGGCAATTTTTAAGCTTCTATACGCCTTGCCGTTCAGGTCCACCGGGGCACTAGGAATGACTGGGAGGTCCCCTTTGGAAGCGTTCTTCAAATACTTACTGCCCTGTCCTCTGGGCAAAATTTTCATCAAAGATATAAAAGGGATGGCAAACAGTTTCCAATCTTTGATGTTTCCACAGAGCCCCCTTATCGACACAATGTATCCTGTTAGTCCACTTTCAATCACTATGGAAGCAGCATGGCCGTAGGAATAGGCCAACTTACAATCAAATTCGGATGGCAACGATGAACGACCTTGGTATCCAAAGAAGTGAGTCAATCCCATGAAGCTTCCAGAATATTTTCCCTGCTGCTTTCTCTCATGCAGTTCCTCCTTCACCATTTGTAGTAGCAACTGTTCTGTCTCTAACTTTTCAAATCTCATGGATCTCAGATCCACGTGCAGGAGTTCTTTAATGATGAACTGGGGGAAGGTCTTCAGCAGGGCTAAACTCCACGGAGTCAATTTTAGCACCCACGGGGAGACAGACAGGGATTGAACTCCCCCTGCTGTTTCCCCTGTTCCTGCTCTGGACAGTAGCCGCGATGGGACTCCTTCCCCGGTTGTGCCACTCTGCGTTGTCGACAAATTGATCAAGTCGTTCCTCGCCTCGACCAGCTGCCCCTTCTCATTGGCATCGTTCAGTATGTCACTAATTTCGGTGAGTAAGATCTTCATATGGGGAAGATGCATCAGCAGCGCATCAGGGATTAATACGGTTCCGTAGTTCTTTCCTTGTTCAGCCCTGGCACAAACGACATCTGCAATGTCTTGGACGACTCTCCACAGGGTCTTATCCGCTGCGCCATACTCCTCCGCTATTATCACAATGTTCGGATGAGTCTGCAGCGCGCACTCCAGAACTTCATGAGACGGAGATCTTCCCATTAAACGAATGAAATGCCAATATTTGGGCATACTGACTGCATCGGTGAGGACATTTCCAATGAGGGAGGCATACACTTTGGTGCTGCTATCAAAACCGACACATGTTTCAATCAGCTCGTGAATCAAATTGTTCGATCCGGTTAGCGGAATGCCCACAACGGACGTAGGGATCTTCTTCTCCAGGAAGTACTCCGCGAGGAGAGCCGCCTCCGTAATGGTGACATTCGATCCAGGCATGACCAAACCGTTTAGCTGCAGATTGGTCACTGTCTCGCACACCTTATTTCGGTTCTCTTTATCAAATAAAGAGTGCTCCGGGGAATTCCCAGTTATCTCCAACCCTCCTTGATTGAAATGCTTCGCTATGTTGTCGTCATCTATAATGATGTACTTGTTGTTTAATAGCCCATACAGCCCGTAAAAGGCAATACAGACCCCTTTCAGCAGCTTCAGTCGGTGGTAGAGACCACTGAGCACATTCATCGCCCCGGGCGCCTGTCTAGACAAAAATACAATTCCTATTTTTATTTCAAACGAGATGGGCGTGGCATACTTGTCGTGAAAAATTTCCTGAATTTGAAATTTATTTTCATGCGACATGTGGGGGTAGTTGGACAGGATCTGCTTCTGTATGTAGGGGTCATTCGATATGTACTGCTTTCCTGCCCTGACCTTTGCCTTCAAATCGGAGCACAGTTCAGGCAGCTCCAGCTTATTGTACAGCCTGGAGGTTTGCAACTCGGACATGCACCCTAGGGACTTGTAACTAGAGCAGTGCTGTTCGTAAAAGTCGTTTTTCACTTGATCATCCGCGTTAGCATTTGCTTCTCTTGCCAAGTCATGGTGGGTGGTCTTTCCTGCGATAGTTCCAGAGTCGTGTCCCATTCCTTTGCTATGCGTTGATAGGGAATTCTCATGAGCCCCTTTACATGTGACACTAACCTCACCAAGTCCGTTCCCCTTGTTCTGCGAATCGGCGGAGATGCCACTCAGATGCATATGGTTGGCCCGGTCCTCTTCAGTCCCACCGGTGATATAACCACCCACATGATTCGTCTTATTAGCCAAACTGATAATCAACTGCAAGTCCACGGAGTTCTGGCAGAGGAGTAAATCCTTCGTAGGAATCTTCACTGTGTAGCATCTGGAATTACTCAAATGTCCATTGAACTGAATCGGCCCAGGAGCTCTATACAAATCGTAGAGGGACCACAAATTACGGACTTCTTTCAATACGTTGAAAAGTGGGCTGTTCAAATCGACGAGGTATCTCTTCACAGCGGGGAACTCCTTCCCTGTGTTGTCCCTATTCACATGCATGATACGGAGAAATGGAATGGCTGCAGGGATCCAATTGGCATAGGAATCTTGTAAGTTCTGTATAATGGACATATAGCCTGTCTTCTTATGATCAATTAGCAAAGCAGCATTGTACCCCAAAGCATAGCAATAGTTGCAGTCAAAGTTGGAAGGGATGGCACACCTGCCCTCGTATCCTAAATAGTGAGCCATAAACTGAATATTCAAACTGTTGTCATTCAGTTTTGCTAGCTCTGATTCAACCAGTACAATGATTAACCTCTCCGTTGCGATTTTCCCAACTTGAATATATCCGGTGGATTCTCTATCCATTAGAAGTTGGTCCCTGATGATACTGGGTAAGAAATCCCACACCTCTCTGGAGTGTTGCAATTTATCCGCATGGAAAGGACCTTCTTTCAAAATGACGTTCAGCTCGCCGATCAGAACTTTCATTTCAGGCACAAATTCGATTAATCCCTCGGGAATTAAAATAACTCCGTAGTTCTTATTCAGTGACCTTCTCTTGAGTATAGTATTAACAATGTTATTGACGATATCCTTTAGGGACAATTTTTCCTTTTCTACTTCTTCCCCTATGAGCACTATGTTCGGTCTTGTCTGCAGAGCACACTCTAACACTACGTGCGAAGCAGACCTTCCCATCACTCTCACGACGTGGTATATATTATTTCCTGTCTTCACATCGGTGCATAAATTGCCAATCACTTCTGAATACGTCTTCGTGGCTGTATCGAACCCAAAGCTAATTTCAATTGCTTCACTTTTTAAATCCCCATCGATGGTCTTCGGGATACCGATAATAGAAATGGGGATGTTCCTCTCGGCGAAGTACTCAGATATCAATGCTGCATTACTGTTGGATCCATCTCCTCCGATTATTACCAATCCGTTCATCTTCAACTTGGAAACGATATTCTCTATGGAAATCAGATCGTCTTTATTTCTTACCTTGTTTCGCCCTGACCACAGCATGTTGAATCCTCCCAAGTTGCGATATCGATTCATCAAGGAGTTCGTAACGGTCACGTAATTTTTGCTATACAAACCATCTATGCCTCCTAAGAAGCCAATAACCTGCGACTGCTCATTGTACCTCTTGGCATAGTCATATATACCCGATATGACATTGTGCCCACCTGGCGCGGGACCACCAGATAGAATAATCCCAATTCTCAATATATTTCCTCCCTTAAAAGATTCATGGTTCTTCGTTTCCTTCACGTTCAAAATGGGTAGGTTGTGTAGATTCTTCAAATACTTTTTGATCTCCTCATAATCTTTTTTGTTAATAAAATCGTCCCCGTGGTTCTCTTCTAACACTTGGTATTCACTTGCCAGCGCCTTGGGTAATGTAGGTTGGTACTTTATCCTTTCATACTGTAGTGGACTTAAATCATCATTTAGGGATGGCGAATGACCATGTTCCTTTAGCTTCTTTATCTTCATATTTTCGTTATCTACAAGGTAGAAGGAGTTCTTCGTTTCCTTTTCCACTAGGAATTTTTTGGAAGTTAGCTTTTGCATCAAACAGTCAATCATCTCACTGTCTTTTTTGTCCACCGTTCCATGGTCTGTGCTTCGTTGATCTTCGTGCTCTTCCAAATTGAAAGCGCATTCGTTGTCCCTTAGCAGCACAGACATGGTTTTGAGGAGGGGAATCACGGGTGGCTTCCTGGCCTCTCCGGCGTTGTCGTTGAAGTTCCTCATGTTGTTCAGGGGGGTGGAATTTCCTGTGTGTGGCCTTCCCTCTACTGCTGCGGAGTTTTTTTTTTTTTCGTATCCCTTGGAAACGTCTGCAGTTGCTTACTTCCGGGTTGGCAGTTTCTCAGGGGGATGAACGCCGACCGGTCTCTATAAGTAAAATGGGAGAACAGCTCTTGGGGGAGGCCACTACACGTGCGTATACGGAGATATATATAAACGCGTAGGTGTATATGTGTGCACAAAGTGAACCTTCTTTCACATGAGGAGAAAAAAAAAAAAAATTAGCTAACTTGACGTTCTAGCCAAAAAAGACAAAAAAAAATAAAATAAAGTAAAAATAAACTTGCTTCACGGGACTTTTCGAAAATGGGAAAATTCCTGCGGGTAAATTTTTTCCTTTTTCATGTGCCTTCAATTTTTGCGCAATCTGGCTGTTGGCAAATCTTTTCCTGCTTCTGCGCTTTGTTTGACTTTTCTTGCCTTTGCTTTGTTTTCCCTTGTGCCTCTCCTCGCGGTAAAGCAAAAATCATGGGAAGTGGGCGTTACACGCGAAAGGCTCCTTTACAGTTTTTAAAAATATGTTTTACGGAAATGTGACATGTTAAAAAAAGGAAGGTGTTTATTTTTAAGTGTGGAGTCTCAATATTGGCAGAAGGTGGAGTTCCAATCTCATCATAAGCGATTTTCACTGGGCTTTGCGGAATGCAGGAAATAAATGTTATATGTATGTACGTACGTTTGGTTGTATATCTTCTTGAGAAGCAAATCTGTCATGTGGTAAGAATGCTATGCATTTGGAAGTGCTGAACGTGGGGGGAGTTGACGCGTGCGAAGTTCTTTGCTACGTTTATGTAGCCATTTAAAAGGAGCATGTACGTAGGTAAAATCATTCAATAAATTAATATCAGTCAAGGATGTGTGGCTCGAAGGCTTTGTTGGCGAACTGAGTTGCGATTAAGCGGTTATAATGGGTGAGGGGGTGAGAGAAATTCAATTCATAATTAAAGAAGAGAAGGAGTCATAGCGTACAAGTGGTTCTCATCACGTTGACGTGAATTAAATTATGATTTTAATTGTGCTCATATGGGAAGCATGAAGTTCGCATATATCAGTATACTATATGCGTATTTGTTAGCATATATTACATGCCTATTCCTGCGGTGGATAGAGGAAGTGGAATCGACACGGGCTTGTAGCATATGCATAAAAACTCACGCGCATTCATGTATGCGAGGAGAAAAAGGAACTGGGGATGCAAAGAAAAAAATCCACTTCATAAATTAACGTGTATGTAGAGGTTGCGCCGGTGCTTGCTTCTAGTATGTGCTTTCGCGATAAAGAAGCAAAACAAGCCGTGACAAAGCAAAGCGAAGAAATCGAGTAAGTCAAAAAGAGGAAACTATAAGGAGAAAACCAAAAAGAGGAAAACAAAAATTCGCCCCAAATGGAAACCCTCCCATTTGACATTTTTTCTGCAACTTAAAGGTCAAATAATTCGAAAAGGTGTATGCATGTCGTGAACGCATATGCATACGCATGTACAAGTGGTCACATGTGGCATTTATAAGTGTTCTTCCCGCGAACGGTGCGAACAAAAAGGCGTCGACAACAGAAATGCGCCCATATAAATGTACATAAATGCACCTCTATTTGTGCAACATCGTGGGGACTGTTAAAAATCAGGTGCCCCTTTTTTGCAGCATATATATAATAGGGCGTTTCCCGACTTCTACATGAAGACTATTCACTCTTGTACGTTAAACGCATAACAGGGTAGCATCCCCCCCATACATTCGTGGCAGTGTCGGATACATACTGGATCCATTTCTACTATTTTTGCATTTTTTAAAACATCTCCATCCTCCAAAAAAAAAATTGTTCACTCACGTGAAGCAAGGGTTAAAGTTGCACATTTTAACTCACAAAGGTTCAACCCCCCCAAGAAAATTCTACTTTGTTCACCATTTTGCGAAACAGAGGTGTGCACAAAGTACAAAAAAAAAAAAAAGGAAGGTATTTTTAAAAAAAGAAAAAAAAGGTGTGCCCCGTTTAGTGGGACAAGTATTCACCAACCATAGTCCTTATGTTCCACATTTAGTTACGCGGGATGAGGCTTTGTAACCCCTCTCGTCAATTTTTGCGCACATGTGAATGTAGTAGGCTACAAGAAGTCCTGCCACCGGGATTGTTCACCTGATCTGTGCAGACTTCTTTTTTTTTTTTTTTTTCTGCCAAAATAGCTAGCTTGTTCATACAAAATTGTGACCCCTTTTGTGATATAAAAAAAAAAAAAAGAAAAGAGCAGGTAACGGCTCTTTTTACTTTTGGGAGGGTTTCTTTTGGGGGGATACTCATGGAAGGAATATTTTCCTGCGCTGTCCACCCGCATTGGCATTGTTTTCTCCGCGGGGCTCTGTTATGCTTCCTGTTCGTAGATCGACAAAATGGTTGTTCTCCCTCCTTTATTTCCACCGTTCAACTCATTTTACTGGTCTGGGAATGTGGGTAAACGAACGCATGTTTGGGGCGACAACACTGTAAACGAGGGTACTACTTCCTTGATGGTTAAGGGGAATCAGCTAGATGTTCCAATATAAAATGTACATGGATGAATGAAACAAAGAAAAAAAAAAATTGCCCTTCTCTATTGGATGGGTAAAAATTAAAATGAGTTAAAGGGATGCTCCGCTTGAGCACTTAATAAGCATACCCCCCCCTAAGCTCCGCCAGCATCCACAACAAAGAAATGAGCTGCGAACTACGTGGCCACACATTTGTGCTGACAGCTTTCTAGTCGAAGAAAGAGGAAGTGGCATCTCACAAAGTGGTAGTTTTTTTCTTTTTTTTTTTCACCTCCAATTTTTATTACCACTTCTTATTGCTTCGCTGAAGCGGTTTTCCCGCCCAAAGTTGCAATGAAAAATTGTAACAGAGAGACCACGTTGATTTACAGAACGTTGAGCGACAAATTTTTTGTCATCAACAAACCTGTAAACTGGACATTAACGAGGAAAAAAACGAAACGAGCAGAGGAGGGGGGAAGAGGATGGGCTCCAATTGGTAATCCCCCTTCCTTGTTAAGTAAAAACAGTGACATAGCAGAATCAGCGGAACGAACAGACTACCCAAATGATAAACATAGAAGTAACATGTACAGGAAAAAACGATTTCTTAGCCAGATGAAGAACCTAAGTAGCGCTGAAAAAAATGCATTCCTTTACACAAATTCTGTCCTATACCTCTACGATGACTTCAATTTCAATCTGAGTGGAAACGCCTCGACAAAGCATAACGATAAAAATAAATTTGCGCAGAAATATTACGTAGAGTCCCTGTTAAAATGTGAGACGAACGGGGCTGTGTACTACCCGTATAAGCTGCCTATATACATGAGTGGTCTTGTCATATGTTGTCGAGATTTACTCGTTTACAAGAAGTTTCTGCAGATGATTAGGGAAAATAAGCTAGTGCGAAAGTACAGATGTTTGGTGCATGATCCCTTCGTCTTTGTTGATAGTAACAAAATTAACTTTTTTCCAGAGGGAGGGCATAGCTATCCGAAGGGAAGGGGTGTGATTCCCCTTGTGAGAGAGGCATCAAACACACATCATCGCTATGAATACAAAAGCACAAACGACGAGGAAGATAAAATTGATCGAAGAGAAGTTATCCCCTTTCTAAGATCCCTACAAGCACAAAAGGAAGTGAGTGATGTGTTTCCGTATCATAATTTTTTTGCGGACAATCCGTATTCCTCCAGCTACTGCTATCGTTTGGCGGACTTAACGATCGATGAATGGAAAGGGACAGTATATCCCACGACGTGTACAATCAACAAAGAGGGGAACAGCAGACAGGGGAACAACAAACATAGAAGTAACACACCTCACAGGGGGGGAAGATTCACAGACAGAGAAGAAAGGACCCTAAATTTTGACCACTTCGTTTCTGCCTTTTTGAGAAGAAGTCCCCCAGTGAAGAGCCTCAATCGTTTTTTGTCCAACCTCCTCCACAACAATGGCACAACGCTGAATGAAAGCGACGAATACGATTTACGACGCGGGAATGAATTCCGAGTGAGTCCCCCTAATGGGCACACGGAGCAGGGGAAACATAAGCATAGTGACCCAATTTTGAGCCGAACAAATGGTGACCACTTAGGTTACAATGTAAAGATCCAAAACGGATGTCTGTCCAAAGATGGGAAGATCAGATTTCCGTTATCTCTGTACTTCAACGAAGGGAACTTTTTTACCTTCAATAAGCACTTCGAAGACAACTCCGTGCCTGTATCTATGGTTTACCGAATGGAGAATTATAGTGATTTCTTGAAGAGGAATTTAAAAACGTTGCTCAAGAAGGAGCAGGATGTAGATTTTCGCTTGAATAAAAATTGCAACGTCTGTATTATCGAGTTTGTCCTTCTGGACAACCCCAAGCCTGACTTAATCCGATTCTTCTTTAGCGAACTGAACACCCCCATAATTAATGACAGTATATTTGACAGGAATTCTTTCAAACGAGATGTAATTGGTGAAGTGATTTTGAAGCAGCTGGAGGGGAGTCACGCGGATTCTTCGCCACCTGTGGAGGGTTCTTGGCTCTTCGATGTGGATACCCATTTGGGTCTTAGGGTGGAGCAAGTGGACGGCGTGCAATCAACCACCTGGCGACCGCGAAGGCGTGATAGAGAAATTAAAGAGTATTTTCTTAAAGCGAGGGAGCCACACGTTAACGCTTTCACCATCCCTGGAGTGGGGGGCACTTTGCTCGGATCCGAGCAGGTCGTAGAAAAAGTAAATCCAAGTAATTTCATCATACAGGAGAGGCATTCAAGTGATGGACACGACGAAGAAGGGGGGCATAACTGCCCACAGAACAGCGGCGAAAAAATGAAACTTTCCAATAAAAACACGAATCTGTGTCTCGAACTATTTCAGCTGCAGTTCTTGGATCCAATCAACGGGGATCACGTGAAGATAGAAAATTCCCTTCCCAGCGCCTGGCTTTAATTTTTTTTTTTTGTTTAAAAAATTCTTTTCCCCGTTGTGGAATAATTTTTTTAGCGTTGCTGTGGCGCGGTCCGCCGTTTGGTCCGGCCCATTTCGCCACTTCTGATTAAGCGTAGTGGTGGCTTTAAAAAGCGATACCCCGTTGGGGAAAACATTGCGCATTTTTTTTTTTTGTTCTTCTAGGTTGGCGTAGGTTTTATTTCGCGCTTCAAGCGTTACGCAGTTTTGTGGGTACGTACCCATGTATATATGCATGTATGTATTTTTTATTTTTTTTCTTCCATTCAAGCGGAAAAACAACTGTCCCAGTGGAAAATTAGCACAGACTCTCATTGGCCGATTTGCTCAACATAGAGTTAGAGGGGCAGGCCAATCGCCCGGCTAAGATGGCCCGCGGCTAGGCGTTTTTCAAAACAGGTTGCCTTCTTCGTTCGGAAAACAAATCATTGGCCCTTCCCTGAGGTTTCCTTGGCGTGTTTGCTTCGAACCCTTGGTTACCGAAAAAATAGTAACCACTTCTCTACTGCCGCCAGAATGATGAAAATCACGAAAGAGAGGAAAAAGTACCGAATTAGCACCCCCTATGATGAGGCGCAGAAGGTGGGCATTAAGGCCAAGGCGGAAGAGCTGAAGCAGCTCAAAAGAAAGGAACTCAACGAACAGCAACAACGCAGCGGTGAACAGAATGACCACGAAGAAACAAACGCAGCGGAAAGGTTTATGCGCATTTATAAAGAGTACATAGAGAAAAGTGAAGAAGTAGAGAAATTTAAAAAAGAAAATGAAGACCTGCAGGAATCGAAGAAGAGAACTGGCAGTAGGAAAAAAATAAAAAAATTAAATTTGAAGCTGAAGAAAAATAACTTGATAGCAAAGTTGGTAAAGAATAAAGCCATCATTAAGGCAGGCAGAGCGTTCTTGTCTGTATCGAAACAGAGGTGTAAGAAGACAAATTTGTCAACCCAGGGAGTGAAGAATAAATCCGAGGAAGTGGCTACGAGGATTATCCCCCCAATTCTCGCAAAAGTTCTGCGTGGGAACAATTCGAAAGGGAAAATCGGAGTGGAGAAGGTAACCACCAGGGACAGTACCCCAAATGGAACGCCTCACAACTGCCTAGGTAGCACGCCGAGCGGTCCTCATGTGATGAAGACAAAAGAAGACTTGCTGAACCAGTACGATGATTTAATTAAGGCCAGTGAATTTATCCAGAACCCGCTCGAATTCGCCAGGCAGGTTATTGAGCGACGGCAGAAGCAGGGCCACAAGAACGCTCCAAAGCAAAACGCGGCAACGAAAAACGTGACGAACAAAGGAAACACAAAGGGGAGACCTCCTTTTTGACGTCTCCACATCGACCCTCGTGGAGCCATTTTCGATGGATTCGTAACGTTGCCAAAGTTTCGCATTTTTTTTTCTTTTTTTTTTGTAAAATGAGGCGTCTTTCCGCTTGATGCAGCTCCCACTCGCATGAGATGCGTAACCGACGTACTCCCCCATTTGACGATATTCTACCTTTACGAAAGCAATTTTTTTAAAAATAATTTAAGGTACAATTTTTTACTCTTCGTAATTGTTTGTGAGCACTATGCCCGTGGAAAAAGGTGCACGCGTGATGGGGCGGCTTCATAAAGCAGCATAACGAAGGCGCGCCGCTTCACCACGCCGCTTAAGCACGCTGCAAAAATGGTGTGCAAACTATTGCACGTGGAGCCAAAGTCCCGCACGGGGGAAACCACCTCGTTCATCCATTCACTTTATTCTTCGAAGCCTGCCGCGGATTCTTATTTTTAAATTTACCCTGCACATAGTTATGCATAATCTTCTGCAGCTCTATATTCTCCTTTAGCCCCGGTTGCGCCTTCAAAATTTTCTCATCAATTTCTAGCTCTTGTCTCCATTCTCTTGGAACTTCAACTCGTTTATAATTTTTTAAGATTTCTGGAGTTTTATAATTTCCTTTTTCTCTTTTTAGGACTTCTTCTCTCGTTTTTTCTAAAATCTTTTTCTCTTCAAGAAGCTGTGCTAGGTACTCTGGTCTGTCTATATACTCTAGGTCAAAAAAGTTCACTGGTAAATCATTGTCTACTGCTATTTGTGCCTTCTTTGCTAGCTCGTAATCAAATTCCACCATGGCATTGACATTCTCTTGGGTTAGGTTCGCCCTGGGCCTCGTTATGAGTTTCATTTCTAGCAGTTGCGAAACGGCCATGACTCCTTTGAGGGGGGAAAAAAAAGGCGAAGTGCAACGCTAGGCAATGCTAAGGAGCGATGAAACGATTCATGCGGCGTAAATAGAAACACACATATATGGAAGCAAGCATGGGAACATTTTTCGCTTACTCTCTTTCACGGCAGAGTTCGCTCCTCTGCCCTACCTGGGTGCGAAATGAAGGTCGTTTTATTTTGACGTACTCCGAAGGATACCAACACGTCGCACACTTTGTTCGATAGCTGGGTAGCGCTTCTGAAAATCATTTTGGGATCGACATGTGCAGGTGAGTGGAACAGGGTAGTACCCGTGTGTGTAGAGTAGAGCTGTTGACAGTACTGCTTCCCCCTTGTTGACAGATCGGTAGCGGTACACTCCCCAATCTCTGAGAGTGAAAGCTGCCCGGGAAACTAAACGATACAATGGCGCAGTGGCAGCGGGGGTGTGCTTATCCGTTTGCGCAGGCCTTGCGATGGAAGCCGCTAAAAATGGCACAACAATGTTTCGATTATTCCTACACTAGCTTCAAATGACTTGTGTCTGTCGCCCGAGATGCAAACCTGTCAACATGAGCATACGCTTTTGCCGAGTTGCAAAAAAAAAAAAAAAAAAAAAATTCGCAATTTTTATTTGCCTCCTACTGCCTATAAAACACAATTGCAACTCAGCATTCCCAAATTTTTTTCCTTCTCTCCCTGTTTGACTTTCAGAAATAAGGTCGAAGAGAAGGATCAAAGAAGAGAAAAGGCTACACGTGTTTGGCTTGCATAAATTTCCGGGAGCAATACTTATTCGCTCTTCACACTTGGGAAAAAAACCTGTATCCATTTTTGCGTGAACAAAGGGTTAATGTGGTCGCTGTAAAAATAAAAAAAATTGAAGTTCACATATTGGTGCATGCGAGTTGGTGGGGATGCAAGAAAGGAGTTTTTTTTTTTTTTTTTTTTTATCTGGGTGTCGAAAGGTTTGCCAGGATGGAAAAAAATTCTCTTCACCGTTTATGTTAACGTGTTCATGTTTCACTTTTACACTTTCGCAGTTCTTCTCAAATTTATCATCCCCCCTCAGTGTTTTGGCAAAATAAATAGCTGTAGAAGGGGCGGAGTTCAGGACAGTTGCGAGTAACATTACAAGCACTTTTGTACGTACGAGCGTCTTTCCCACTGAGAAATTACGAGGCCCATGGGAAAAAATTTCTCCGTGGGCACTTTGCAGGAGGACGGGAGTTATTACTCCCACCAATTTTGCGTTGGCGTCATTTTTAACGCTACATACGTGTATGTGTCACGCGACATGCAATGGAGGTGTGTGCATTTGGACACGCGTCCCCATACGTGCTGCCCTGTCGCCAAGAGTTACTCTATCATGTAGACTGGTCCCTCCTGTATATACACGACGTATGAACTATAGGCAAATGGGTAAGCACACACAATTGGATGTTTTCTCAACGTTGAAGGTGTCTCTCTCTTTTTTTTTATCTTGTTTTTTTTTCGGGCATCTGTTTAGACATTGTTAATTTATAAGTAGAATGTTAGCCCCCCCCCCGTAGTTTGCCAATTTGAATGTCCGCACAAACTGCAATGTTAACCTTTTTGAAACAGTTACATCATGGTTGTTTTGACTACGTTTTAAAAAAAAGGAAAATAAAACAGTGCTTCAATCCGCTACCTCCGTTTAGTACCATCCGGGGGACAAATCCCTTTAGATGAATCTGTCTATTTGGGCATCATTCGTGTCCTTTTTTTTTTCTTTTTTGCCTGTTTACACATAGGCCATTTTGTGTGCACACACCGGTTATGCCAGGAATGAGGTGGAAAAAAAAAAATAAAATAAATAATAAATAAATAAATGTAATATATATATGTATATCCAGTTGACCCATCAAAGAAAGAGGTCAAATTAGGCAAACATATGGATCACCCTCACTGGTCCGTAGTTATCATAACGGGTTTATAGTCCCCTCTCGATATCGTGCTCTCCACACAAATATCAAAGTCTATTTCACATTTGCAGCATTCTTCCTGTGGACACTACTCTTGCGCGATATATTCGGCCGTAGAACCACTCAAAATGAGTGAAGAGACTAGGGGCATATCGCTGATAAAAAAAATCGAAAAGAAATCGTTAGAATGCAGAGAAGGCAACGAAATCGGCGTTCTCAAATTGTGCGAATTGTGCAACTGCATACACCCCATATATAAGAAAATATTTGGCGATGGGTTTATAGCTAATATGTTAATAAAAGACTTAAAAAATTCGACTTCCAAAGTCCAAAAAGCTGTGGAAAAAATCCCAGAAGAGGCTAAATATGTATCCACCATGTATTCGTACAATTTAAAAAAATACACAAATTTGCAAAAGTTAAAAGGCGATACAGATAATGGAATAGTCGATTTCCTGTGGATGAAGAGGACAATGGAGTTTATTATAATTTTTCTCGAAAAATGTTATGTGACAAATTATACATCCGAATTAAATGTGTGTGCGAGGGACGCGTACGACCAAGTGTTGAAACCTTACCATGGTTTCACAACAGGGAAAGTTGTGACCCTGGCGCTGAAGTTATCGCCCTCGAGGGAGACTCTAACGGAAAGGTTACAATTCGAGGGGAATGAGGAAGCGAAGGCTCATCTGCAGGGGTGCCTCTCCATAACGAAGCTGTTGATAAGCGACATTTCGAAGACGATAGAGCAGAGCGGCTGCAACTTCGCGGACAAGGTTTAGGAGGGGAAACAGGAACGACAGGAAAACGAATAAGTAGGATAAAGCAGAATAAAGTAAAATCTGTGTGCTGCGAAATGCACCGGTTCTGGCTCTGTTTTTTTGTTTTTTTTTGTTTTCCTTTGTTTGTTCAGATTTTTTACAACAGGTGCGCAGTGGCTATCTGCTTAGCGGACACAAGCACGAACGGAGGATTTCTCCTTCTGCAGCCTCCATTTGTGTAGATATGCAATTGAGCACTTACGCATGTGTCTATGTGGTATTTATTTTTTTTTTTTTATCTTAGCAACTTGGCCAATTAATGTGGCTCGTCTGAGCAATCACCACTGTTGGGCAAAATGGAAGTAAGAATTATGCCACGTGTTAAGAAAAAATATGACGCCACGGTGGGATACTAAAACGGAGGGCCATTTTGTTGAGCATAAATGTTTAAAGGCGCGGATGACACTTCCGCAGAGAAGGGTTATTATTTAAATATACTCTCTAAAACGGAGTGGAACATGCAATCGATTGCCATATCCTATTTTTTTGATAATCCGTCGGCGGATCACACGTCGTATGGCTGAACAATCGTCACCTTTAAATACACACACTGGTGTCCGAATAAGGCATATCCCCACCTCTATGGGGCCACCTGCACAATAACTTGTGCCTTCCCTGGGAAAGCAAAGCGGAACGAAAAACCCGACATATACATTAGATAAAACCAAATTGCCCATTCCATGTTTGCTACATTAAAGATAATTTTGCCTAAAATGTAAGTTGTGGCATATCTGCACTTTTATGCGCGTTAAGGATGGTGAAAGATATCACCATAGAAAAAAAGAAAAAAACAAAAAACACATGGGGGAGCAGGAAAAATTTCGTACTTTTTAAAAAAAAAAAAAAAAAAAAACTGAATGAAAAAGCAAAAAAAACTTCATGATTTTTTTAAAAAATAAACATTACCAGTAAACAAAGCAGAGCTGGAAAGATGCTTAGAAGAACGAACAATTATGTCAATGCATAGAATGTACGAAAATGGTATATCACAAAAAATTTATAAAGTGGGAAGAAGAACAAGGGATTTACTCGATATGAATCTCAAAAGTAAGCAAAATTACGGGAAAAAAAATATAAAATAAGATAAAACAAAATAAAATTAAATAACATGCACATATACAGCACATATTATGTATATAGGGCAACGAAAAATAAAAAAAATAACTTAACCTGTGATGATGAACAACCAAAGCTAAGTGGCCAATTCAGCAAAGAGAGAACAATTTGCCTTAGCCCCCGCACCAAGGTGTTAGGCGAAATATTAGGAAGTGCTAGAACAAATATAGCATTGCATAACGCATATGTCGCAATGTAACATTTCTATATTTATGGTTACCCTCTTCAAAAAGATGAGATGTTAAACTCACTTTTAAAAGGCCCATAAACACACTTTCGCATAAAATGATGCCGAGCAGCGAAAACCAAATGGAAGAGGACGAGTGGGAACTGCATCCATTATTTTTATCCAAAATTCCAAACAAAAAAGACATTGATAAGAACCCAGCTCTTTCAGCGCTGATAACATTGATCAATGAAGAAGAAGAGAAGGAAATGTTCAGTTACGAACCAAGGAGAAAAAATCTAAAGAAGAAAATCACAGAAAAAGGCCAAATTATCTACAAAAAAGATAGGCGGAATTTTTACGAACCCTATCAGAAGAACAAAAATGATCAGATAAATTATTTTGAAAAAAAGAACCTCGGTGGGAATGCGGATGCTAGTAAGGAGGAGGAAGTTGTGGACGTGGAAGGTACCACTCTGACTGCTGAAGAACGGGCAGGGGATCATTCTAGCCACAATGTGAGCATCAACCAGCAGCCCACAGACGAAACTTCCATAGGCGAAGTGCTGGTGTGCTTGTCGATGCTCAATTTGAAGCAGTAGTGGCGACTGAAGCCATTCTCGCCTGTAGAATAACACAGATGCACCGTTGAGCACTTGTACAGTTGCACTGTTGTACAATTGTACTTTTTCTTCTTTTTTTTTTTTTAATCTTTCCCAGAATGCCCCTTTTAAATTGCTTTTTAGTCTCTTAGTATCTCCCCCACATGCTGTACATAATGTACGGATCGTCTAATCACCCATAAGATAATACCCTTGTTTGGAGTGTAAAAACTCTAATTATTTTAAAATTTCTTTTTTTTTTTTCTCCCGTTTCCGAATTTGATTCTCTCAAGTGTTCCGGCTAGGTAAAACTCCTCCCCAAACCTGCGCCGTTTATTCTCTTTTCGTGTCTTTCTCAAGAGCCTGCATTGCCTGCTTCCCTGTTCCAGTGTTAATGCTGTCCCCTCCCCCATGAAGAGTGAGACACTGTTTCATGCAAAACCGAAGCAAAAGTATAAATAGGGAATGATCTCAAGATGGTTCAGTAAAGGAAGGCTGTACAAACCATATGAGTATACCCACAAAAGAAGGGATGGTGCGATTCCAAGGTTGCTCATGCAAAGTGGGAAAAATGCTCTCTATAATGAAAATGTCTGTATTATATGGGATTTCTTCTTAGATGTAATAGACAGTATATCCTAATAAAATTCTAAAAGATATTTTGCATTAATCTTATGATAGACATGAAGACACATGATGTCTCAGAATTCTTCAGAAACTATTAACCCTGTTTAGAACTCAGTGTCCATAACAGTAATAATATTTCCGGTTATGCAATGTGAAATTAGCCTATAAAAAATAAGTATAGGTATGTAATCCTGCGATGTCCGAGGAATATAATAATCCACAACAGTGTTAGATACGGTCAATAGTCAGAGATAACAGAGAAACAGTACCATATTATACAGCTGGTTATGATTAGTGTCCATGAATATTCTATATTAATAGCCCATGAGCTCACATAGAAATAATGCCGAATACTAATAGAGAAACAATATTACAAGAAGCAGGAGTAGACACAACATATTCAGAAGGAAATAATGCCTATGTATATATACCTGGAACTACTCTATTTTCATAATGAACATAATCCATTGATGAAACTGGGATGTAAAATTTAAACTGAGAAGTAATGGTGATAATTAGAAGGTAGTCTTTATGTTATATGGGATATATATATGTATCGTACTATCTTATAGCCATATTGAAGAAAATATTTCACTTGTGTTCTCATACAAAAAGGGAATCTGAAATAAGAATACATTTTTTTACGCAGTTCGTGTTTCTAAGGGTATTATATGCAGTTTCTTAAAAAAGTTGTGTAGTATAATTTTTTTAGAAGTAGTTATGTACCTATTGTAATGAATGAGTTCGCATATATTTAACTGTTGAATGTGTCTTAGCATTTGTAATGAAAAATAAGTGAATTACTATGTTAAGCATTAAAACGTGGAAAATATGTATTTAAGAGATAATGAGTGAAATATTATTTTAACAGTTACATATTGAAAGAAATATATCAGTTCGTATAAATAATGCTGCATTATTGAAAAGTGGATGTGAAAGGAGTATAATCAAGATTGTGAATGTTATAAGAATGACATAAGAATTACGTAGAATATCCTAATGCTTTGTGTTATGGAACAATTCCTGTTCTATATTCTTCGTTCCACAGCCTTGTGTCATATCATAATATGATGTTATCTTGGGTGTTCTCCTCTATGAATACATAAAGATAATACTAATGCATAGAATCAGGTATTAGAGATGTATGAATAAAAGCTCACTGATCTTAATAATCTCTGAGTGAATACACGAATAAGGAATGCCTATAATTTCTATTTGATAAGAATAATGTTACCACATAGGATATTGTCTAGGCCGCTGATATTGAAATGTAAGGTTAATGTTACTCTTATTTGGATAGTGGTAACAGTAATGTAACTTAATATTTCTCTAATTTCCAATATTGTAGATGTCGCGGTTAGCAGATAGCATAAGTCCTACGTAGGAATTGCTCCCTGGAAATTCGGAAAAATCACTGTGTGACTTTCTTTTCCGGTTTCCAGAACAATAGACGTATATGGTTTCAATGAATGAACCTATTTTATTTGAATAAGGCTTCTATCTTATCTAGTGTCAGGGAGGAAGTATATATTTATTATGTAATAATTCTTAGAAAACATGTTGAAGTCAATAAAATTGAAATAAAATTCCATCGTGAAGGACTATTAGGTGGTTTATTCTTGGGGGATGGAACATAGGCATAGACGAATAGAAGTCACTTAAGATGTTATTAATCTTTCGGATAATATATTAATAGGAAAAAGTAATAAATTAAAATAAGGCTACGTATTAGTATACGTATGTAGTATCAGATAGTTACCTACAATTTGGAAGAATGAGCTTTGAGATGTTCATATTTTGTTCTTCATGGAGTGTAATGACTGTTGTACATCATTTATTATGTTGTATAGGTTGACTCATCTTCTGAGTGTTGCTGATTCTAACTTGGAAAATAATATGATGCTCTCCTGTTACAAGTATAGATTGAATATATTTTCATAGATTCAATGTAATGATAGACAGATGTATTAGAAGTAAATGTGACAGTGTTGTATATTTTGCATTAGATGGTACTAAGTGTGAATGGATGAATGGTAAGGTCTAAGATAAATATATATGTATTTCCGTATGTGAACAGTAATCTTTATGTTATACGAGTCAGGTTAACATGAAGTCATCTTTGATAGCACAGCTGCAAAAAATACGCAGCTTTACAAACTTCCAATGATTCAAAAAAAGAAAACAAATACTTAATAAGACGAATTAATTGAAATGATTAATCACATATCGTTATTAAATAATTACAAAAAAAAAAAAAAAAAAAGAATCGGATGATGGGTAAATGCAATGTAGCAAGAATGAGAGCGGAAAAAGAAAAAAAAAAAGAATGAGAGCGAGAGTAACAGACGGAGAAGGAAAAAAAAAAAAAAAACAAACGCGGATATAATTTAACCTATCGCGGTTGCAAAATTTTTTCTCTTCCGGGGATAGCGAGGTGGTTCCTAGGCTAGCGGCTCTTCCAGCTCTAGTGTTTCGTCGTTATCTTTCCGATCGGAGAAGTCCTGTGGGGTGGGGGGCGCACACGGAAGAATGCAAAAGTGGGAAGACGCACAGATGGGGGGCTTACAAATGGGTAACCGCACACTGACCCACGTGCTCCTCGCTGGCCTAATCGTATAATCGGCATATAAAAAGAGAAGAACCAAATGGGAGCATAGGGGAGCTTCCCCAATAGGGGGCTTCCTTTGTTTATATGGGGCGCTTTCCCCCTCAGGGTTACCAAAAAATTCGCGTAGAACAGCAGCAGGAATCCTATGAAACTGGAGTACAAAATCATGGTGAATCCAGCTCTGCGAGGGGAAGCGGTGAAGTGGAAAGAAGTAGCACGGGGGATGAATCAAGATGTTGTAGCGGTTCATCAGGGCTCCTTCAATCGGTGCATCTGTAATCGCCGTCAATCAACGCTAATCGCCGCTAATCTTGGCCGTACTTCAGAGCAAGCCGGTTGTCGTTCGTGTATTTGTGCATAATGTCCATAATTATCCCGGAGAGCAAGGGGGCGGAGAACCAGCCGAAGACGTTGTATATGACTTGCGAAACAGCCGAGGACAGACTCTTCTGGTGGTTGTTCACGCAGGAGAGGAGCATTCCTTGGGGAGGGGGGAAAGAGGAAAGGGAGGATGTACGGTGGTACACATCAAGCGGGGACATCTACAGGCGAAGGCATCTACAGACGAAGGCATCTTCAAGCGATCCTCACTACGGCCGCTTTTTCTCCAGTGTGGCGTACCGACGGCGACGGGGACCAGCGCGGAGCCCGTGAACAGGCACAGCCACAGCGAAATGGAGAAAAAAACAAAATTGTTCAGGTGAGCAGAGAGAATCCCGAAGATGCAAGCAGAAATGGCAAAGGCAGTTGCCACCTTAATCGTTCTGGAATAATTCGTATTCTTGTATCCCCCAAACAAATCACACACGAACCCTCCGAACCAAACCCCTGATGTTGGAGAAGTGAGGAAACATAAAGTAGACACCGTGACGATCTTCATTTTCTCTGTTAACAAGACAACAGACATATACTCGGTTATCCAAAATTGTATTCCTGTGACTACAAAGTACAGGTTACTCATTCCTAACGTTATGATAATGTATAGTTTGTTGTTGAGCAATTTTTTGACTTCTTTTAATGTTTTTCTGAGGATGTTTGTTTTTTTCTCCATGATGTAGGTTGCCGACCGGTTGAAATTTCTACGAAGAGAATTACTCGATGCTCCGTAGTAGAGTCTGCTGGTGGATCTCGACTTGCTTCTGTCAAGTGTGTAGGTAGTGGGTTCTGGGATCAGCGGATGTCCCTTCGCTTGGCCAGACTGTTCTTCGTGAGTGTCGTCGATGTGCCCTTCGTTGGTTACATACCCTTCTCCGTTGCCGCCCCGTCCGTGCATCTCCCCGTCGGAGAGCTCCTCCTCGTCGCCCTCGCTAGGAACACTCCCCCCCGAGCTGATGTTAATCATATCAGAGGGAATAAAAAGCATAATCAGAAACAGCGGGAGGAGCAGAAAGGCCTGAATCAAAAAGGGAGACCTCCACGTGGTGACAAAGGTAGCATTCGAAGGCGGAGCATTGTTACGTCCATACGAGTATGAGCTATTCGAAAGGACACCGCCCAAAAAATAACCAAAGACAGTCCCCCCTATGGAAGCAAGCTGTATGTAGGACATCCATTGAGTAGCTTTCTCATGTGGTGAGAATTCGTCGACCCAAACGGGGAGATACACAACTGGGATAGCTTGGCACAATCCATTTATGAACCTCGAGATGTACATAAAGGTGACGCAGTTAGCGTGACTGAATATGTATAGCGACATGGACAGCAAGAGGGTACTTATGGTGATTAGCAACTTTGCCGTGAGCAGCTCAAAAAGGACACTTGCTATTATCGTCCCGATGATTAAACCGAAATATACTAGACTTCCCAGTAGGGACTGCTCAATGTAACTCAGTGGGAAGTCTTTCTGAATTTCTTCCAACGTAACGGGTATTGCACCGTGGTCGTAATTGCAAAGAACTGAGATGCATATCATTAGGATTAGGGTTAGCTGCAAAATATCTTCATTGGTGGCTTTGCTCCTCAGTTGTTGGATTATTTTGCTCGAAAATTGGTAATCACTTTCGCCCTTGTTTTCGTCTTGCTGTTTTTTTTCTCCACCCATTCCGTCCTCCATCGGCCTCAATAACGCATAATTATACCCGCTTCCCCTGCAGGCGTAGCTAAAGCAGTTGCCTTCTTGGGACTGTCTCTCGTTCTGCTGCGTCAGGATGGACGACACCATGGATGTTAGCAGGCCGCTATAAGTAAGATTACCCTTCTTTGCGTAGTAACCTCTGTTGGGGGGTTTCCGTGCGGAGGGGGGTACACAGTCCGATTGGCCAAACCGACTAGACTGGACAGATTGACGTGACTTACCAGACAGTACATACTGGATTGATCCCCCTCTTGCGTCGTTTAAGCCTCCCCAGGTCGTTTCACCTCCCTCCTGCGACACATAAACGGGTTGCACCATCTGCCCATTTCCGTCATTGCCTCTTCCCCCTTCATGCGCCTTAGATGCAGCGGAGATGGTGATCTGCTTATCCCCACCCGGTTTGCAATTTTTTTTTTTTTTCTTTTCCTTTTCCTCATTTGTGTCCCGGTAACTCGGGTTAATCCCTCCGGTGAGGCTTCTCCCCCGTTTGAGGCTGCCAACCGGGATGACGAACTTTAAAACATTGTTTCTGTTCTTATTGTTGTTATGTCTGCTGGGGCTGCTACGTCCGAGTGTGCTCTCCACGACACAGTTCTTGCGCGAATTGTGGTCGTCACTAAGGAGGGTGTTTTTCACGAAGACCTTGTGGTTTTTCTTCCATTGCAATCCTATGTTCCCATCGTTTAATCTCGCGTTTTTTACTTTGTTGTTACTTTGGTGGGCACCACCGTGGCTTGGATTGTGCTGCTGCGCGTGTTCCATTGTCCGTTTGCCATTGTCCCATTGCGGCGTCGTGTTAATCCCCTGGCTGCTCACGTAGGAGAGCCGGCTGCAGTTGGGGCTGCTCAGCTCCCTGTACAGGTGATAATTCCCCCTAGGGAGGCTATACGTGGTGGCATTTTTCAGCAGAGGGGCGCTTCTCACTGGTGAGTCACTGCCTGGTGAATCACTCCTTGGTGAATTTCTCCATGGTGAATATCCCCCTGGCGTCACGCTACGCCCGTGGGTGTTACTGATGTAGAAGTTCACACCCTGTGGGGATGCATTTCTTGGGTTCTGATTAAAAACATTATTGGCACCGATGGTATAATTCATGGTGGTGCTGCACTGAGCTCCGCGCAGACGTTGGTAGTCATTCACGTCACTCCTCTTGATGAAGGAGTTGCCATTTGTTACGTGCCATTCTTGATTACACATGTTGTTATTACTTTGATTTGTGTTGTTTTTCCCTTGTTGTGTAACTAAATTACTTGTATTGAACCCATTTTTTGCATCTACCAGATTTCTACTTATCTGTTTGGCTAGTTGTTCTTTATTGACGGGTTCAGAATTCTGTGCAGCATCGCCATTTCGCTGCGATTTATCTCCCCCCTGGGTGTGTGTACACACAAGGGATCTCTTCACATTGCTGTAAAACTGGGGATGCATAGAACTTAGCTGACCCTTCTTGACGTGATAGTAACTAAGATTGGATCCGGCGAGGCCATTCTGGTATCCACCAATTCTACCATCGTCATGACGATTTGGGATTTCCCCCTGTTTGAGGAACTCCCCATTTAGCAAATCATTCGAAATGATCCCACCGTGGAAACTACAATTCGAAATGGAATTATTTTCGCTAATTCCAGTAGAATTCTTTAAGGCGTTTTCTTCTCCCCCCCCTTGGTAGATGGTGTAGCTGCTCAGTGTGTCTCCATTCATATTGTTCAGTACAGTTCCTTTTAAGGATCCCACACTCTGAAGAAGTGTGTTCTTTGTCCCTTTTTTTTCAATTTCACTACTAAATGGTGTAGACAACAAGTGGTATGCATTTCGATTGTTTTCATAGGTTCTGTTTTGTAATTCCATTTCGTAAAATTCACTCTTTGGTGTTGATACGTCACTGTGCAAGGGGAACCTGTGACTATTCATTACTTGTTCACTTCTATCTGTCCCTTCCGAGATAGGTTCTTTCGTTTTATCCGTCTGGTGTATATCTCCTTCCTTCATATACGCCTGCATGTTTTTGCTAAAGCAGTTTGTCCCCTCATTTGACTTACTTATCATTTCGCTCATTCTTTCATTTTCTACACCCAAGGGGTTTTTCCGTTTTTTTTTTTGTTTTCTTATTTGATTCGTTTTATCCATTTATGACAGTTCGGTTGGGGAGAGGGACAGGGCCAGTGAGCCTCCTTGTTTGGACCTCTTAGGGATGTTCCTTCCACTTAGTTCTTCTGATCAGTTCCTCCGGTCAGTTGTACCCCGTGCCTTTTCCGCTCGAATCGGCTCTGTGTATGTAGTTCGAGCTGGGCAGTCCTTCCTTCACCTTGCGCTGAGCTGCTCACTCCAGTGTAGCACTCGAGCGCCTCTTTCACATCGATGGCAGCGTTAACTCACCAAAGTGTGCATCGCTCGTTGTGCCTTCCTAAGAGTTAACAACGCTGTTTACACTGAAAAAGAAAAAAATAAAATAATAAAATGGCACTCACAGTGGGATGCCTCTACATATCAGTATGTGTATCCCTTCAGTGGTGATAGTTTGGGGAAGCGAATATACATCTGCGACTTTCTTCCAAAGTGGATTCACCACGTATGTTCATGTCATGCAGTGTCATTGCACGAGTGTGTATGTGTGAAGTTAATACGGGGGAGTAATTTTCGCCTGTCCGCCCCAGTGACGTCGGTTAGAGAGCCAATCGCCGGAAATTTGCGCACCCCTGGCGTGCATGCGCACTGGTGAACCCTCGCAGCTGCAGTTGCATTTGCAGTAGCAGTTGCAATTGCAGTGGAAGTGACAGTTGTGCTTGTGTTTGTATTTTTTTTTTTATTTTAATTTTTTTTTTTTTTTTTACTTTTTTTTCCTGATATCTCCCAGGCAGTGACGGACGCGCAAAAATACGCAGCGTGGGGGAACAAATTGTACGGCGATGCGCGCGACCCCTGCTTAGGCAATTTCGCGAGCGAAGGGGTGACGGGATTTTTCCACTAGACAGACGAAGGCGTATGCACAGCGCGAAACGTTTCTGCCGTTATACACACAAAAGCATGTACGTACGTGCGTAGGTATGTATGTACGGACATCCGCATGTGTGGACATTCACATATATGGACATTCGCATGTATGGACATCGGCATGTAGGGACGTCCGCATGTGCGGCCCTCTGTACGACCGTATGCACGTGTATGCGCAGTTGCACGCGAGCGCAAGCAGTCCTTTGGTGTTGGTTACAGTCGATATGGCTAATTCTGCATTTGGTGTTTCGCTGCGCCCGCTTTTGTTGGTTTTTCTGCGCGATGGTAAATTTTTCTTTTTCCTTTTTTTACCCTTCTGTGTGTTTTCCCTTCCGTGTATTTCCCCTTGCGTTTTGATTTTCTTCTTTTTTTTTTTCTTTTAATTTCGCAAAAAATAATCACACTTGTGCACGTGTGGCATGGAGGTGTAAAAAAAAAAAAAAGAAAAAGAAAAAAAAAGTGAAAAAAAAAGGCAAAAAAAAGTGAAGAAATGGTCAGTGGCGAACCAGTAGCCCCACAATGATGCAGAAATACACACATACAATGGTAGATTGAGGGAATTTTTTTTTCCTTTTTAATCCTCACTTGTGTCAGCTGCAAAAGTGCCATTTTGTCCCATTCTGTTTGTGTTGCTTATGTTGTGTTATCCCTCGGAGTTGTGCGCCAATATGTTACACTATGTTTATGCTAAATTGGGCAATTTATTTTGATTTTTATTTTATTTATTTTTTATTTTTTTTTTTTCTTGGTTTCCTCCATTTTGACCCCTTGGGTATGTTTTCTTTTGCGTGTCTAGTGCCCCTTCACGAGTTGCGCAAAGTTGTTGCAACTTCAGGACAACATTTTTCTCTGTCTCAATTAATAGTGCCTGTTTTTTGCAGCATAGGCGAGTTGTTGAAATGGTCTTCTGAACTTTGACCGAGTTCACAGCCGAGATGATTATGGTGTGTATTGGGGTCATACCCGTGTGTTTTTTCTTTTTTCGCAGCCCTCCCTTCAGTCATCCTTTCTTCTCATTTAGTTTATGGAAAAAGAATGTTCCTTTCCCGCTTCTCTTCTCCCCAGTGGAAGGAACATTGGCTAATCGCGTTACACCCGAACATACGCGAAAGCCTCTCCTGGGCAGGGTTAATCCGGTGCACACGTCCAATGAGGAAGCCTCTTACATACGCAATACGTCTATACAGCTGCGTCCTAATGCTCACTATTGATGCGTCAAATTTAACATTTGGCTTGCGCGTCCTTTTGTAGGCAGCAAGCCAAAAAGGAGACAACAGGATGGAGGAACAAAAAAAAGTGATAGCGTAAAAACGAAAAAAGAACAAATTGGGGGGAGCATCCACCTTTTCTATCCGATCACCTCCGGCCACATTATAAATGAGGCATATAGGAAAGAATCGAAAGATGAACAGATTGTCACGCGAAATGACGCCTGGCGGAAACTGGCGGAGCGTCCCCATCTCATTTGCGCTTAGCCCCCTTCCTACGTATGTTCCGATGCATTTTTGCAAAGGTGAGTATCACGATGGAAGCAACAACAAGGATGTGACTGGACGATATGGCGTCCCCTTCCTGTTGGAGCAAATTACCAACCGATGGTTCCCCTCCACACACACATTGACCTAGGACAAATTTCCTTTTTTAACTCTACACTTTAAAGGGAATTGACAGTCTTGCAAAAAGACACACCCTATTTAAAAAAAAAAGAGGAAAAAGAAAATTGCACAGGTTTCGTACCCCATGTTTTTTAACCTTTGTTTGGGCTTTCTACAGGGGCAATTACGCAGGTGCATTGGGGATTCAATTTTGGTTCAATTTTTATCTGCATTTTTTCGCCACTTCTGCTTAATTCCATTTTCCCCCATTGAACTATCCTCGCCTCACCTCTGGGCTCGCTGCGCCACAAGACCCGATTGCTTGTTTTGTGTCTCCCTCGCAGAAGCAAGTACATATGACACTTTGAGGATTTCCGTCCTCGTGTGCGATGCATTCCTGTGCGTCACACCATATGCCCAGGCATATGGGTCGACTGCCCAATACTGGTATAGTGGCTTTAGCATGCGTCTAGAAATGCGCCCTCGGGTGCGGCAAGGGCACGACCACAGGGCGGGCAGAGCGAAGCCAGAACAGGGCAAACGCATGCAAAGCGCCCTACACAAGTCCGCGAAAATGGTTTTACGTGGCATCAGCCTGTTGTGTCAATCAAGAATTAAAAATTAAACCCATGGAAAAGAAAAAAAAAAAAAAAAAAGGAACAAATTGGCTTTTTTCATTAAGAATAAATTGACAGAAACTGACTCTATTTTTTGACACCCTTTTTTTGCACCCTCTTTGCCATCATTTTTACAAAATGCGGCAGTTATCACAGTCTTCATCGCGCGGATCAAAATTTTACCCATCTTTATTTCCCCTCGGTTAATCCCCATTCAAGCCCCCCCTCCGAGCTACGCAGTCATCATATTGAAGGGAGCTCCCTGTTAAAATTCTTTCCTTCTTTCTTTGGCAATCCCATCGTTGTCAGTGTCCCTACAGAGGAACATACACGCAAGTAAGGCTATGACCAAGCGAACATTTTCGCAAACACACATATGTATATATATTTATATATATGTATATACGCTGAAAAAAAAAAATCGTTGCCCCTTTTTTAACTCCTTAGAAAAATACAGCGGAGAACTCCGCAGAACAAGGATAAACACCATGGCCCTTATTTGCATCGGCTCTGTTTGCTTTTCGCTGCTCCACGTGGGGATCATAATTCTGTTCATCCTAAATTATTTCTATGCGCACTTGAAGAAGTACTTACCTAACTTCCTCACGTATGGCGAAGGTGAAATTTCCGTTTGGCCCATCACGTGCGTTTACACTTTTTTCTTTTTTTTTTTTTTTCATCCTTTTACATATCATTGATAGGGCACCCCATTTACATTTGAGTACCTCCGCCTTATCCTACAGCAAATAGGAGCAAAGAAATTGAAGCGTCTTTGCAGCGCAGGGAGAAGAACAAAGACGTAAAACGTGAACGTGAACGGAAAAAGAACAAAGGGGGAGTCTAGTGGGGCAGGAAGCTGAGAGAGACGAAGAGGCAACGAAACGAAGAACCGTCCCCGGGTGACCCCCCATCAGACGAAAATGTGTTCCTCCAAAATCTGTACACTTTTTTTTTTTCTTCTTCTTCTTCCCAGTATGCCGAAGGCACCTATATCGACTTAGCCGAAGGAGACACTTTGAGCGGCGTCTTGGAGTCCACCAAAAACGTCTCCGTGGTCGTGAAGTTCGGAGCCAGCTGGTGCAAGCCGTGTAACAAAATCAGACGATATTTTAAGGTCTGAAGGGAAGAGCCGCAGCAGTAGCAGCAAGGGCGGCAGGACAGTGGCGCAAGTCCATGGGACGCCCATGGGATGATGTAAATTCACTGCAGTGGCACAGTTACCGTTGCAGCCGGCGATGCAGGCAAACTGCTTCGCCGACTTCCTTTTTTCCTTCTTTTTCTCTTCACGCTATTTATGTTGCCCCCACATGTAACAAATATCGAATATGATTTTTCCTACGCCAATTCTCCCTCGTTATACCCTCCAGAATCAGACCATCACCTACGCAGTGACGCTTGTTGACGTGGACGTGGACATACATGAGACGCTAAGGGATGAATACAACATTAAGGCTCTACCCACCTTTTTATTCTACGTGAAGATAAAAAATGAGTGGGTTCTGACTGAGCGGGTAAGAAAATAATTTTTCTCTCTCTTTGGCGATCCTACCCGTCTGGCTATGTTTTCATGCCTACGTCTGAGCTCGTTCGTACACACCCTGGATTCACAGCACTTGTGTGCATTTCATCACATGCCTCCCAACCCCCGCCGTTCTTTTGTACCGGCCCAGATTGAAGGATCCAACCAGGGAGTGCTAGAAAAGGCCTTCCAGAAATACTGCGTCCCCAAGGACAGATGAGGAGGACTCCACAATGGGGGAAGACAACCATTCTTCCGAGTAGCGAGGGTGTAGAATCCCAAGTGTGCCACTTCTTCCCCAGCTTCTTCCCAACGTGCGGCTTATTTCATCTCATCCTTTGCCACGAGCGAAACGCGTCTACCTCTGCGCAACCGGTCACTAGTGTGTTCGCTCACAGGAGGGACGTCCCCCCTCGGGTAGGTCCCTGCCTGCAGCCACATCCCTTCCATATATATGCAATGGTGTCGTTCTCTCTCCGTTTTTTTCTGTTCTTTTTTTGTGGAACCTGCATCACCACAGACTACCAACCAGTTAGTGATTATTTTTTTTGTTCATTCATTATGCATGTCCCCCTTCCTACATGATGCCACAATACTGTAAATGAAAAAAGAAAAAAAAAAGGAGGGTGACTGCGTGAATACGAATTCCTTATTCTAATTTTCATTTTTAAGTTGACGTCTCAAATATTAATTTATACGTTGTGTTTCGATTTGCCTGCATATACATGATGGTGATTTTACGCTTTCCTTTTCTCCGCGCCGAGGGGCGCCGCTAAAACGTGGGACAGCACCGCTGGTATGAGAGTAAACGACTCTGACACTTACTCGTCTGCCATTCCCCATCAAATGCTTTAACCGCACAACGGCCATAACGGCGTAGCCTGTTTGTAAGCGAACCATGTAAAATATGAATACCTGCACGGTTAAAAAGAAAAGAAAGAAAAGAACTGTGTGGATCTCTTCGCTTAAATAGAAGGCGAAAGCATCAGGGGCTCACCGTTTCGAAGATGCGAAATATCCAAGTTGACGTTTTTTTTTCTTCTCCTCGCCTTGAATGGCATGCCTTTTTATTTTAAGGCTTTTCCTAAATTTTGCGGCTGCGTAATTGTGTAGATTTATTTCCCTGCTCCCCATTTCTCACTTCCTGCGCCGCTCCACAGGCGGCAGTTGGAAAAACAACTGCGCGAGGAGAATGACGTGCGTGGCGGGACAGTGAAATAAAATGCTCCTAAACAGAAGGAAACATGGATTGCCAAAAAGGGTCACGTTAGTGCTTCTCATAATAACACTGTGTTTTAAACACATAGCTCGGTTTGTCCGCTCCTTTGCGATAAGCAGTCGATCTTTCGCGTTAAGTGCCATCAGTGGGAAAAATGACAACGTAAGATTTACACCGAGCGAGTGGGACTAGTCAGCGGCGAGTGTGTGTTCTATTGAGTGATGCGAAAGTGAAACGAGTCAACGAGCATGTGCAGATGATAGCTGCAATTTGTGTGACTTCTTCATAGGGGGTCCACTGCGTCGGTATGGTACTGCTCGGCTGGGCAATCCTGGCTGCGTGGCTATGTGTGTCGCTGCAACTAGCACGGTTGCCAACTACAGCCCGCAGCCCACTACGCTAATCGCCAACTCTACCGCCAACTTTACCATCGCTTAACAGAGGAAGGCCCAGCTGAGGGAAAACCGGAAGATCTTGGTCGAAATCGGGAACAGCCTCAAGGGACAGGATGTAAAGAAGGCGTTATCCAGCCTGGACGATCTGCTGGAAGCCTACACAAGGGACAGGAAATTGTCGAAGAACATGAGTACCATATGTGGAAATGTCCTCAATTTATGCAGCAAGTATAACGACATCAACAGCATGATAAACGTCATCGAGAAAATGAAGAAGCACAACATAGAGATGCAGGAAAATTCCTTCCTGGCTATTTGCAATTATTACATCACGAACAATTATATATACGAGTACCTTCTTACTATCAATAAAATGATACAGAAGAACATCACCATCCGGGAGAGGTTCTACAGATACATCCTCGTGCACGTCCTGGATCTCCCCCTCGGCGGAGTGCACGACGTAAGCGGCGCTTCAAACAAGACGGAACAAGATGTCTATCACTCCACGCATATCAACAACAAAAGGTGCAATTTGATAAAAAATATCGATTATAGTAACTTCGAAAAACATTTCGAACAGCTAGAAAAATACAACATTCCACATCTGAGCGAGGAAGACAAAAAGTATATCCTAAATAACTACCTCCTAATTGACATTTTCAAACATATGAACGAAAACAGGGTAAAGATAAAACTCCTTTACATTTTGAAGCTCATTCATTACGTGTACGAGAATCTGCAGCATCTAATTCGACAGAGCCAGCGCTGTGTGACAGCAGCCAGGGAGGTGGCAAAGGAAGGGCCCAGCGAAACGGTACAAAAATCGCATATCAAACCTTCCGCTGCGCATCAGACCAAGGCGAAGCTGCTGAGTGACGTTCTAACAGACCAACTGAGGGACATCCTGGAGCTCTACAAAATGAACTACGAGTCGATGAGCATTAACATTAAGAAGTACGACGACGAAGCAGACGAGGAGGAAAAAAGAACCGTCTTCTATCAAGTCAACAAAATCATAAAGAAGCTGCCTTTTATAAAACTAACTGAAAATGTAAAGAACACTTTTAACTGTAAAAACTGCCAAGAAAATATTAACACGTATTTCTTGTCGCTAAAGCATACCATCATCGTCATTGTGAATATCATCCTCATTACTCACCTGTTCAACAGTAAGGAGATCTTCAAAATAAAGCATTTTTTTTCCATCCTGAATGGTGCGGCTAGTGGGGCGGCAAATGGGGTGGACGTGTCCGGCGAGGGTGGAGCCTCCAAAGAGTCCAAAACAAATGAGGAGGAAATCGACGCAAGTGTCACCAACCCAGATGACCATCACAGCAGCGTGTCCAACACGGCAGACACACCCCGAGGTGAAGAGAGAATCCTCGTCCAGGACGCACGAAGTAGAAACAAACTGTTCGAAAGGGGAACATACACGTGCCTCCTAGACGGAGCGAACATTGGCTATAACAAGCAGAACGTGGAGAATGGCCGATTCAGTTTTTTGCAAATAGAAATTCTGAAGGAAATTATAAAAAGGAGAAACAACGAAACTCCCCTCATTATCCTCCCCAAAATATATCACTACAAAAATTCATTGAAGCACCTACAGCAGTGCGAATCAGAAAATGAGGGCAAGCTAAATTCCAGCATCTTTATTCCGAACAAGACGATCAAGGTGAAGAAGGGCAGCTGGTTGCCTCGCAAGGGAGGTGCGGAGGAAGCAGATGAGCCAGGTGAAGAGGCGGGACAAGGCAGTGATGAAGAGGCACTGGTCAATGAGGAAGCTTCACGGGACGGTGAAGATGCAGATAGGCGAGGAGCCCACCCACTAGCGTACATCAGACGCATGTTCAATAAACTGGACCCCACAGACGTGGAAATCATAAAAAAATGGGAAAGCGAAAAATGCCTCTATATATGCAACTACAACATGTACGATGATTACTACTACATCTTGGGAAGCCTGGCCAGGAGCAACAACCTGTTCAACATCTGCACCTACGTGGACCGCCTCGCCAAGCATTTCCACAAATACCAAAATCTAAATCATAACATCATCATAGATAATTACACCCGAAGTGGAGATAAAGAGACCTACAATGGAAGGGAAATCCTGAACGTTTACAACAACATTATTTTTGATACGAACAATCAGATAACGGTGCTCGTAAGCAGTGAAAATATGGACATGGAGAAAAAATACATTTCCATGAATGAGCAATATTATAATGACCAAATAAAGAAGAGAAGATATTCCCACGTAACTTTTTTCGAGAAATACAAAGATAAATTAACTTTTCGGGATAAGGACAGCGTACCCTACTCCGATGAAAATGTCTTCATGGAGACCTATTTGTGTGATTCGCAGGGGGGAAATGTGTCCATCTGCGTTGGTGAGGAGAAGTCCCCTCCGCAGGCTGCGTCCCCCTTGAGAAGCAAACCTAAGAGGAAGGAAGTACAACCGGAGGAGGCGAGCACCACATACGAGGGACAACAAAGACATGCGAGCGAAGAAGTGGAAGGAAAAAACTTCTACTACAGCAACATCTATGTGAAATGCATCAAAGACGTACGAAGTGTGCAGAAACCGATTTATATTTACACCAATGATAAAATGAAGAACCACTACTTTAATGAGTATACAAATTACATTTTGAAGAAATGGAAAAAGAAAAGTTTCATTTCCTTTTACTTTAAGCAACCAATATTTATGTCCGATCTGTTAAGCCAATCAGAATCCAACTGGATAGACCTCTCCAAGTTAATAAGTACGTACAAGCTGCCCTTTGTAAATTTAGAGAATCCCAAACTGTACATTGATGATATCGTGTCGTACAGGGACAAAGGCATTTATCACATTAAGATTAATACGCCCAGTAAAACGTTTCTATCTTACCAGAATGAGAATCTGCCCTTCCTGCAGAGCGGCAACAACGTCGTCAGGTACCTCTGCATCGACTTTTCAAAGGTGTACAGACCGGGGGCCTAGTCACAGACGCCCTCGCACTGTAGCGTAACATAGTGCGGACACGGTAAGGGTAACTCAGTGTGCATGCGGTAAGAATGACTTACTGTACACGCGGTAAACTTAACATAGTGCGCACGTGGTGTGCCACTGAAATGGCGGCAGCCACAATTTGTAGTTTGAAAAGGCTCCTTTTATGGGCCGCCCCTTTTTTTTGGATTCATATAACAAACGTCCATTTTATGTCGAAAATGTTTGAAAAAGAACAAAAAAAAAAAAAAAAAAAATCCCAAATGGGGACAATCTTTTTTTAAGTTAAATCATTCCTCAGGGGGTGTATCTCCATTTGCCCCTCATAGTTGCCCAACAAATAATACAGAGCTCAACTGAGGTGGCATTGCCCCCTCTATTCTGTGCCAAACGAGTCATACTCGAATCGGAAGAGCGACTACTCGTTCATCCCAGATGGATCACCCCAAAAAAGGGGTTCATAAAAAAACGAAAAAATTGCGTAAATCTCCAAGAGAATCTCCTTCATTAGGAAGGACGTTATTCTTACGCTATCGCACTTGTGTCGTTAGACCCATTTTATGCTTCCACCCCCTGCGTGGGAGAGCAGCCCCATGACCACCATTATTTATGTGTCTGGGGAGCTACGGGTACGCATTCGCCATCTGCTTCTGAGCTTTCACATTGTTCATTATGATGTAGTAAATCTGTTCGTAGTTGTCCGTTCCGAAGTAATATTTGAGTTGCTCCTCTGTTATATGTTCTTCCTGAAACATGGCGTGCACTGTGGCAGGGGTTGGTAGGGGCAGACATGGAGAGGCACATCTACATCATCAGCATAAAAGCTTAGGCATCGTTATGAAGCGCGTTTAAGTAGACATACACAATGTATAAGCTGCATTTTTCTTCTTCCCCTTTTTTTTTCTTTTTTCTCCTTTTTCTTACGGTAATTTGTCAGCTCGTGGGGACTAATCAAAGTATCATTGTAGTCCGCGTTGTGGATGTGCAGCTTCTGCTTTTTTTCCCAGGGCAAAAGCTCCAACTCGCAGACGCATTTTAAGATTGTCTTATCTCTGCAAGAAGGGGGGAGTGTGTTGAGGAGTGGCATATATAGGTTGATGAGAGGGAGTCTGTCGGCGCGGAGCCATATATGCCTCGTCATGGGCTCCCCCCACTTGGCAAATGTCACGCCGTGGCGAAGTTGGTCAATTAGACAATTAGACAACTTGCCAACCTATTCTCATTTTTTCTCCCTTTTTTTTGCATTTTTTCTCCTTTTTTTTTTTTTCGTCTTCCCGCTCAGGGCCCCTCCCTACCTCTTCAGAAAAATGATGATCCCAAAGTGAGACAGGAAGTCCGCCATGAGAATGTAGAACCCGGCGTGCAGGTAGTGCGTTTTTCCAAACCTGCAGAGGTGAAGTGAGCGGAAGTTGCGTGAGTTTAAGAAAAAGGGATTGAATCTTTTCTTCTTCCCCTCCTCTTTGCTCCTTTTTTTTTTTTTCTTCTGTGTGTGTTACTCCATATTCGTGTTGAAGAGAAAGAATGGGATGACAAACAGCACAGCGTTGAGAATCGACAGACACCCTATTAACATGATCAGCTTGTTGCAAAAGTGCACGTGCTTGAGGGCAAAAGTTTCAGGGTGCTCTCGGAAGTGCGCGTATATCAGCATGCCTTTGACTATCATTAGGTTTATTGCTGTGATTATGAAGACCTAACGGGGTAAAGACGCGTGGGAATGAAGAAGCGTGGGCATGAAGAAGCATGGGATAAGTGAGGCGATCTCGCATCCGCGCTCAGATGCGTATATAATCGCACGAGTATGTATAGCTCTGCGTCCATGTCTGGCCTCCTGCCTCGAAGAGAACCTGTCTCTGACACAATCTCTTGAATTCACTTTACTATTAAAAAGTAATGCTTAAGGAAGTTTATGGAGCCACACAGGATGGACCTTGTGTCCTTTGCGTAATTCTTCGTCTTGTATGTTTCTTCGTGCAGCTGAAAAGTGAAGCGGCGCGAGAGTATAAAATGGGACAACTCCCCCGATGTGTAACAAAAAAAAATTGAGTTGTGAAAGGGGGTAACACGAACAGGTGGACATTCATAAGGCCATGTCCCATGGAGGCACATAAAGCGATTGAGAATGTGTAATCTATTTTTCCTTTTTTTTCTTTTTTTTTTTTTTTCTTTTCCTCCTACCTTGTCTCTGCTGCAGATTTGACCTTCAAACTTATACCACGAAATGTACTTGTTGTCATTATAGGGAGAGACGAAGAAAATCCCGAACCTTGTTTCGAAATTGTGCACTGCCTTGGGAGGTGAAGTGCAAAGGGGAAAGACGCGTTAAGTGTGTCACATGTGTGCTGTTGTAAAATCTCGCCTGTGCGTGGACATTGCAAAGTAATCAACTCCATGCTAGGCCAATTACGAAGATAATGGAAAATGACCGCCTCCTCATCAGTGTGAACGGAAAGGTAATAACCACGAACAAGGGCAACATCAGGGCAATCAAAAGGTACAAGCCGATAGAACAAAGGCATATTAAAATTCGGATCCAGCTGTTAAACTTATATGGGTCCATTTTATGCCTCACTCAGGGGTACGCGCATGAATGTGAAGGTATACGTATTGGTATATACACATGTTTAAAGTGTGCACGAACGAGTACTCACATTAAGACGACAAATAATGAAGACAGAAAAAAACGTGCCACTATTTTGATACTTGTACGAAACGTAGTTGTTCGCAAAAAAGACGATGTTTTTTCTGCTCGTCTACACACGGAAATATCTTTCTCAAATTGCGAATCAAGAATGGTTCAGTGAAAAACATTTTAACTGCCAGGATGACACAGAAAATTGAATGCAAAATGGAAAAAAAAAAAAAAGGGGGGGGGATTTCCAAAATGCCAATGCGCAAATTGATTTCTTCTCAAATGAAACGTATTCGTATTATCAGTTGTTAAACGGACAACCAGTGGGGGACGCGCCTTTTACACATTTTGTCATTTGAAAAAATATTTTTCTTTTTTCTTTTTTTTTTTTATTTTGATCAAATATTCCAATTTGTTCTGCCCAACGAAGAAGAATTTTCCGTGCTCGTGGATTTTTGTGCAACGCTGGCGAAATTCATTTTGGTTGTCCACTTTCGTCGTCCATTTTTATTCGTCATATTTATTCGTTATGATGAAAGCGAAATGGAAATCAACAAGTATGCATGTTAGCATGCGCATACCGACGCGGTGTATCCATTTTGATTCATCTTACTCCTTCGGCGCAATATTTTGGCCATTTTTATGACGAACAGAAAAGATGCAGGGAAGAATTTTTTCTCACTTTTTTTCTAAGTGATGTATAAAAAAAAAAAAAAAAGAAGTCGAAAGGGACAGACACTATCTTTAAAATGTTATCTCCCAGGGGTTCTGCATACGAATGTGGACGGCGGTTTGTACATGACAAAGAGGTGCATGCGACAACGAGGGGGAATGTCCCAGTGTGAAACAATTTGATTCATTCCCTCTTTGAACTAGTGCACTGAGAATGTTTATCTCTTTCAAAATTTCCCCCTTTTCAGCGACGCCAGTTTTAATTAACTCTCTATGCGGTGGTATATCCGCGTATGTATGTACCTCTGGGGAGGGGGCGGAGGAGTAAAAAGCGCTTCCACATCAGCAGAGCTAGCCATGTAGTGCTAGCCGGATTATAAGAAAAAGTTTAACCTAAACAGGTCATAATTTTTCCACGAAAAAAAAATTGCAAATGGAATGATAGAACATTCTTCCTTGAACGGTTAAGAACAAGACGGTGTGCGCGTAAGCACACTAGGTGGGGCAAGTTTCGAGGCAAAGAATGCCAAGCGTCTGCCCATAGATATATCTATATAGACAATAGAAAAAACGGTGTGCTTTTCTACGCATTATGTGTATACTTACGCTGTGAAAACATAATCTTCGCTATTAAACATGCGCCCGTTAGGGAACGGAGTTAGCAGCAAAACGAACACTTGACAAGAGTCCGGTCTGCTAATAGGCAACATAGGGTGGACGAATAAAAGTGCCATTCCCCCCAAAATGACTTTCTCAGGTGAACTTAACCCACGCGAAGTGAACCAAAATAGGATAATTCTTTCATTGTAAAATCGCAGCGGTGTGCAAAAATGTATCATTGGCGGCTTTCCAAAGATGACTAAATTTGGTGCTTTGCAACAGGTCGGCAGATATAGTACAAAATGAGGATGCCTCGAACGACTCACGATAGCCGCGTTAGAACTAGTTTGACGCGACAATTTGGGTGGTACATGGGGTGGCCAAACAGATATACGTAAAAAATGGGCTTACATGTGAGTTTTTTCTTTTTTAACAAGCCAAATGAAAATTGTAGAATGCGGGAAACGGATCACCTGAATGGTTAAAGAAAAAATATAGATAAAATGCAATAAAATAAAACAATAAATGAATAAACAAATGAACACATAAATGAAAACATAAATGAACACATAAATGAACCCATAAATGAACAAATAAATGAACAAATAATTACTTGCGCAAGGGGACGAACGGAAAAATGTTCAGAAATGCTTCCAAAGCAGAGTAATATTGGGGGATCTAGGAAATGAAAGTCCAGGAAACTCATCTAAGCATAGCACAATGACGAAGATGGCCAGAGGCATATTCCCCCAGCGCAGGGGAAAGCGCTGCAACGATATCGATGCACGAAGTTGTAGAACAAGGAAACGAGCTAGTTACATTCACAGGTGTTTGAACTTGCGAAAGTTGCAAAAATGTGAGGAGCTGAGAAAAATGAAAAATTACTGCTTGTACGTAAATTTGAAGGAAATGTTAAACAGAAGTTATTGCAAAGGGAACGCTAGCAATACAAATGGCAGTTGTCTCAAGGTCACAGCACCACCTGCTGGAGAAATAAACGAAGAAGGGGAAACAAATCCTCATCACGGCTCCTGCAAATGTGCTAGCCATACCTTTGACAACTGCTACATCACCGGTCTACACATTTTTGAAGGTATTTTTTTAACCTCCTGTTCAGGTGGAATTGTGAGCATATTTGACAAAAATTTAAACAACATATTGAGCAGACGCGTGGCTACTTCGCCCATAAAAAACATTTCAATGAGCAAAAAGGAAAATGCTCTGTGCTTTGCTGACAGCTCTAACCACCTATATGTAGTACACCTAAATAGGAAGAACATGTGCAAAGGGAGTCACTTTAACATAAGCAAAAGAGGTAGCTATCTTGACGAAAGTCCCGCGTGTGCAAGTACACCATACGGAGGTGACGATAAGATTCTGAACAGTTTTAACGAAGACGAGAAGAACACATTTCTGAACGACAAACAGTACGCAAATTTAACAAAAAAAGAGAAAACCATTGCTCAGTCATTTTTGTACAATAACATATCCAGTTACAATGTGAAAAATTTAAACTGCTGCGTAATTAACCCTTACTTTGATCACCACCAAAATAATAGCATTTGCGTCCTGACGTCAAATAAAATCGTGTCGGTTCTGAACATTTTTGAGTTTCATATAAACAACAGCGTTTTGTTTAGAGGGCAGCACATTTTAAGTTTACATTGGCACAGTTTGTATGTCTTTATCTGCACGGATGTGTCCATTTTTGTGGTGAACTTTTTTGACAAAACGAAGATTGCGCATGTAGTTTTGGATAACCTCGAGATAATCGAAAAGATCGAGGTCGGCCAAGCAGGCCGCTTAAGCGGCGAAAAAAACGTTAAAGCGAACGTGTCAGTGAATCATAACGGCGCGGAGATGAACACATGTAGTGACAAAGTGGACGCCACAACAAATGAGCCCCAAATGATGTGCGAGATGGAGTCCATTCACATATGCGAATTACAGAAGGGGGAATACACAATAGCGAGGGGGAAAAATGTGAAAATTGTAAAAATTGAAAAAAAAAATGGAATTGAAAAAATAAGCATTTCAAACGAGTTCGATGTGCACAATTCGATTATTAGCATAAGTCCATATTATGACCCCCACCAGAATGGTTTCCCTGATAATGAAGTGTGCCTTTCGGTCATTACCGCCCTGGGTGGTACTCTATACGATGGGGTGAATGATCGTACTTGTACACACCTGGAACATATGATACTTACTAAGAGTAACTACCTAATGTGTAACAATTACCTCTACATGGGAGGTGCGGAAAAGGACACAATTACGAAAAAGTGCCCTAGAAACACCTGGTGCAAACCTTATCCTGGTGGTGAGGAAAACTGGGGAAGAAGCACCACAAGGGGGGGAAACAGAAAAATGAAGATGGCCTCCCAAGATGCTACTTCTTGCGATGGAGCGGGGAATTCGCATCCAATCGATAACTCAGATGGAGCCAGGCCAATAACGAACCTATTCCAGTACATGAAAATTACGCCCAATTGGGGGCAGCGAAAAGGAAGTGGCGCCATTCAGCATTGTCTGTACATATATGGGGAAAACACCCTTTTGCAGTTTCGATCCAAAACAGTTACCGAGTTTTTTTCTGAGGTTATCAAGAAGAAGGCAAAAAATGGAAGAAACATTTTTCTCCTACTTGATGCGCTAAAGAGGCAGCCAATCTGCAGAAAAGAGTTAACTGAGATTGGATTATGCCTTATAAACGCCTTTATAAAGCAGACGAATTACTTCATCGCAGCACATGTGTTTATCCTGCTGTGTAACCGTTTTTGCGACAAGTATCGGGTCATCTACAACGTCATGGAGATGTTTTCCCTTCGGAAACATATGCACATCCTTTCGTTGTTTTATCGAAAATTGAAAGAAGAGAGCACACATCAGAAGGGGAACAGCAGCCATTCTTGCTATGTGGACGCGGTAAGTGATAAAAGAAGGCGATTCATCACACGTGGGGGGACGATTGGGGAGGGAAAAAAAATTAAAAGCGCTTTGTACATCCTTCACCTTTATTATGTCAAAAATGGGAGAAAAAGAAAAAAAACGAAAAGGGATAAAGAACGCCTTAATTACGAGTGGAAGAAGAAGAAGATGATGAAGAAAAACGAAAAAAATACCCTCCCTGTGCAAGGAGTAGAAAAAAAAAAAAACTTCCTCTTTTTTGCAACGAAAAAACTGTTTAACCAATTTTTGGTTTTTCTGTTACTTACGGATGCTTACGAATTTCGAAAGGTTTACGAAATTTCATCCGCCGCTGATTTGAATCCTGGTATGTTAGTGAAGCACATCGTGCTTTTCCTCCAGGGCGATTTATCTCTTTTGAAGAAACGATTTGTTCGCACTGGCGGCGATGGTTGTAGTAGTAGTATCGGCAGCGGTGCCCGCCGGGCGGGGAGAAGCACAAGCGGCACTCCGAAATGGGCGGGTCGCCCGCACAACAGCGACAGAAGTAGCGAGAGTTGCGACAGAGGAAGTAACTGCGGGAGGCAATGCGGAAGCCGTGGAAGGCACTATGCAAGTCACTCCACTGATCGCAGCAGACGCAGCACCCATGGCGGCCCTCTAATAGAAGAAAAAAAAAAAAGCGTCGAAAAAGGAATCCTTCTCGATATCCTGCTTGACATTTTTTTTAAATTTGACATCCCCCTTCCTGCTACCCCTTTTGCATTACTATGCAACGATAGGAAGCAAGAGCAAAAAAAAAAAAAAATGAACCGCCTAGTAGCAGCAACAACGGTGACGTCACTAATAATGGCAAAACAGGAAGAGCAGGGGAGGAGGATAAAGTAGTGAAGAAGAACCTACCTGCTGCATGGCTACAGGAAAGTAATAAAGGATGCACAACTACGGGGAAAAAGTGTCGCAGTAACAGGTACAACGAGAAAAGCGCATGGGCAGAAGAAAATAAACTCGCAAACGACCAGGGCGTCCATCGTAACGAACACCGCAGCAAAGGCCGCATTATTCCCCATTGGGAGCAATTGTCGGCTCCATTGCGCCACCAGCGTGATGCGGATAATGAGGGTGACCAACGCGACGATGAAAAAAACAACACCTACCTAAGCATGGAGTTTAGGAGAGATCACGCTGAGTGGGGCAGCGACAGGGACGGCGGTATAGAGCGCGACAGGAACAGCAAGGGGGTCGATGGGGAGAAGACCCCCCGTGGGCCTGACCCACAAACCGCAAGGCAACCCAGGCAGGAGGAAAAACGAATGAAACGACGAAGCTGCGTGGGGGGAGGTCCCAACAGGCCAAGGCATAACTCAAATGGTACAGATGAAATCAACACCGTAACGCTGAGCAACCTGACGAGTGATTACTTTTCCAGTGCTGCGCACTGTCGTAGTGCGCCCCTCACATTTGAAAACCTGGCAGAGGATAGTTCTCCAAAAAACTTGATTTTCTTCGAAAAAGAATTTGATAATGTAAAAAAAATGGAAATCATCAAAATGCTCATTCGAAGGAAAAACAAAAAGGTGTTTGCATATTTGAAGCAATGCAGATGGCAAGTCCTCAAAAAGGTAACAGAAAGATTTATACTAAAGCTGTTCCGTTTGAGCAAAATAAAAACAGCAAAGCTGTTGGTGATCGTCAAAGTGAAGGAGAAGAACAAGTACAGATATTTCTTCAATCCAAAGGACGTAATAAAAAGGTTAAAGGAGAAACCCTTCTTGCTTTACACCTATTTGAAGCATGTAAAAGATGTAAAGTATCTGAGCAGGTACATTCACTTGTTTCTTTTTTTGATGTTCATTTTTGAGCCCCTTCTCTTGGTGAGATTTCTGGCCAAGCATTACAGGTGCGTCAGCTTCAAGCGCGTGCTCTTCTTTATATGCTTCTTTGATCGGGTGCATATAGTGGGAGAAGTTACCCCCATTGAGGGGGCGGTCACCGGTGTGGAAATCACACCGGTTGAGGAAGCACCCCTTGATGAGGAAGTCAAACCCGTTGAGAAAGCGCGCCCCGGTGAAGAGGTTACACCGGTTGAGGAATCCCCCCCTCGCAGGAGGCCCGCCAAGTCGAAAAGCAGCCTCTTCCGAAACGAACGAGTTATGCTGCTGTACAGGTATCTCCTGGACGAGCAAGTCGAGAAGGAGAAGCTGGAAGAATTGTTTAACTACATAAAGCAGCCCTCAGAAAAGAGACCCCGGGAGGCAAACTTCTTTTTAAGCGTCAAGGCATTTATGTATGTAAAATTCGGATACATAAATAAAGCGTTAACACTATACCAACAGTTAAGCAACTATGATGAAATAATTTACCTCGTGAAAATTCACAACGTGTTAATTGATGATGCTGTGATGGAGAAGGCGGAGCATAATTTAGCTTCCCTCAATGGTGCCCCATTTTTAAGTGGCTTAGATGGGGGCTTTCTACATGGAAGGCACGTTTGCATCGCTTCGGCAAGGGATGTGTCGAGGAAGGAAGGCGATGGGGGTGATAGTTCTCCCCGAATGGGTAGCAATGATGATGCGCTCACTTCAGCAGGTGCGGCGGAAAGAAAGTTTCGCCTGAGGAGGGGAAAGAAGAAAACGAGCAAGCGGGAGGAAGATGCACAGAGTGTGTTTGCATCGAACAGTGGTGATGTTCCTGATGGACTAGGGGGGGTCCACCCCAGTGAGAAGCCACCTCGGCAGACGGATCCGAACTGCCACTATGCGATTGACGGGATTGACCGGGTTAACCGGGTTGACGCGATGGACGAGATCAACACGTATGTGCGCCGCAACGCCCACTTCGCAAACCTGGACAAAGAAATTATGCTCAGTTTGTACGCACAGAGGGAGGGGAATGGAAGGCGAAAGGGTGACTCAACTCGGAGGGGAAAAAGGAACAGTAACCGAATGGAAGTTCATCGTAGTTCCAGTGGAGGCTCCTCTCCAAGTAGAACCCATAAACAGATTATCCTAAAGAAGCACCTGATTAATAACTCATCCCGAGAAATGCATTACCTAACCCTAATGTTTATCATGCGGGAACTCTTCTACATAAGTGAGCTCAGCGATAACTACAACAGGATTTTGATGCGGTGTAAAGCGAACACGTATAATCGTTTCAACGAAATTAAGAAAAAAGGCTACGTCATATACAATGGAGTTATTAAAAAAGAAATGAAAAACAATAACTTGTATTTTTTGGACATAAATGACTACTACTTCATTAATGACAAGATGGAGGATAAGCGATCGAACCAGTTCGATATGATCATGCCGTACATGGATGAGCATAATGGAGGAGGACTGGTGGAGAGAAACGCGACGGACAAGGAACAACAAGAATTACCGTTACACATTCAAAAGGAGGTACCATCGAATTATTACTTCTATGACCAGATCCATGATAAACCCTATGTCTCTTTCTTCTCCTCCTTTTGTAGCATCTGCCAACATAACATTTACCTCGATTCGTGCGCTTTCGATGGGGAACGTAGATGCAGAAGTGACAGTGTTGTCTTTTTTTTTTGTAATCACCTGTATCATTTGAAGTGCCTTAGGGAGCGGGGTTTTATCTGCCTCGCGTGTCACTAATAGGGGGAGGGTGATGGTGGTGGAGGCAGCGGCAGGGATGGATTTCCTGGCTTTACGGACCTTATCTCACCACTTCGCCGACCAATCTGCAGTGGTATCGAGTTGTATATTCCTTTCACTGGCACGTCAAAATAGAAGGGTACGTTTTTTCCCCTGTTGGGAGAAAGAGTGACGTCCCGATGGAATTGACGGACACGCTTCTTTTTTTGTTGTGACTTTGTAATCCACTCTAGTTTTATCTTTCTCTGATTCGTATTACCTTCCCTTGATCCCTATTACTTTCTTCGCTCGTTTCGTCCATCCACCATTCCAGTGTTTAACTGCTACTCGGGGGCACCGAGGCGGCTCCCCCCCCAAGAAGCGGACATGTTTTGTGCGTTCCGTGGTTACTCTAACCAGAGTAGCTCTGTATGATTACACCCACAGGAGTTTTTTTTTTAATCTGCGCTATCTTGTTGAGCTGTTTTGTTGGCTGCTTTGTTGGCTGCTTTGTTGGCTGCTTTGTGTTTCTTATTTACTTTGCTGCTCTGTGTTATTATTTCTTTTTGATTTTTTTTTTTTTTTTTTCTGTCTATGGCGCCTTCCTCTTACCGCGCCTAAAAGTGTAACTCCCAAATTGACTTCTGCCATTGCTTTCGTTCTTCCATTTTGGCTTCTCCTTTTTTTAAAAATTGCGACTGAGCGCGCTTTTTGAAGGTGGTGCTCTATGAAAAGCTACTGCTAGATGTGCTTGACAGATAACCCACTGGAGAAGGAATAAGCGAGTGGGCTCCAAATGAAGGTATTATGCTCCCAGTGGTGCTTTCTTCTTTATTTCTTCACTTGTCGTATTTTTCCTTTACGAAATCGAAGATTACGTCTGCATCTTGGATGGAGGCTACTTCGACGTCTTTTTTTTTTCCTGCAGGTGGAGTGGGGTGGAGGGCCCGCGGGGTGAGTCATTTGCTAGCCGTCCGGTTAGCGGTTGGGTTAGCGGTTCCGATTGCCTTCCTCTTCGCTTCCGATTGGGCGGGCGCGTCTCGGTTCATACCTGCGTCCATCCTGATGACGTCAAAGTAGTAGTCGAAGCCGTCATGATTTATACAGATTGTGCTGTGCTTGGTCAGGCAGGAGTAGTACCGCAGCTTCTCCTCCAGCGTTTTCTATATGGGGGGGTACATAGGAAGGGTGAAGAAAAAAAAAACTATTGATACGACGACGCTGTGTTGAGACGATGCTTTGTTGAAGTGATAACGGAAGACACGATGCGAAAACACACATGCTAGTAACGAAGGGGGGAAAGAGAACTCTTTTTTGTGACGTGGCGCCCCTCTTTCGCTACTTCACTCCATTTCAGTTTGTTTTGTCCCACCTTTGGTTCACTTAAATTGAAAAATTTTTTATGGTGGGGTTGTAAGACAACGCTGGATGCAGTCTCCAGTTTGACGAATCGGATCCGGACGACGTCGAAGCAGCTGCAAAAAATGGGATTGAAGGGGAGGGAAAAAAAGAAGGGGAATGAGTCACCATGAAGGGAAGAGGATAGGGGGGGGTTAGTCTCACGAACAAGGTGGGAGAAAGTCCCATGGCTCAGTAACTCCCAAATTAGCAATCCCGTCGATTGCTCCCATTTCGGAGCTCATTCTTTCCCTACTCAAGCTGCAATGATTGCATGATCCATGCGGGCAAAAAAATGAAGTTTTTTTTGGCCTTGAAATCCAATACGTTGATAAATACTCTGTCTAATTCTGCAGTTAAGTAGAGAAGCGGTTGGATGATTTGCGGAAACACACGAGATGAAGTGCCAGTGAGGGGTGTACTCTCCGAAGAAACAGACACGTAGTAAAGGATGGCCTTTCGAATAGGAACAATGCTCACGCGCTTCTGAAAAACTCACTGTTAACATTTGGGTATGTGGATAAAGCATTCGTATCGGACATGCGCACATTTTTGTAAAAGGGGGTTTTCTTTATGTCGACTTTTTCGATGACGAAGTTCCAGGGGACTTCGATGTGCTTGTTTAGGAGCTACTCAGAAGAGAAGGGATTAGTCATTGAGAGGTGCAGTTGAGTGGTGCGTTTGATCGGTTCACTTCAGCAGTGCAGTTTCGCGGTGCATTTGCATCTGAGGACCGCCATCTGTGTGAGTCCGCTCTGCCATTCTCTTACAATGTCGTATATAAACACAGGGAAGGACGCCTTGTCGCTGTACTGGATGTTGTTGTGGCAAAAGGTACCTACGACGTTAAGAGAGCCACGCGCGGAAAATGAGATTGATTAGGACAAGAGTGTGCAGCATTGTCGTGCCTCTTTTCCAGCGAACAGGAGAACATACATATGTGGATGTGCCAATCACCCCGATAGGAACGAATCAGCGCTATCTGTACAAGGGGAGAACTCACCGACGAAGGGGTTGAACTTATCGCTGAGGGGTAGGGCGATTAAATAAAATTCGTTTTTCTCGTTCCGCAGGTTTAGGTTGTTTATGTCGTTTACGTATGTGAGTAGCTGCGATTTGGGGGGTTAAGGGGCAATTATGGCTAAGCGACGATGGGCGTTAAGCGACGATGGGTGTTAAGCGACGATGGGCGTTAAGCGACGATGGGCGTTAAGCGACGGCGAGGGTTAAGCGGCGGTGAGGGTTAAGCGGCGGTGAAGGAAGCGCTGTGATGATGGCTACACTGTGTATCCGCAAAAAACGGCGCACCTACCTTCGTTTTGTAGATAGCCTTAACGGTGTAGTTTTTAATTTTTGTTAAAATGCTCATGTGCGGTTTGATTTGACGCAAACGTCTGCTGCCCACCGGGGCAGGACAGCGCTTCTGCGATGTGTACTTTGAGTAAGTGCAGGTAACTGAAATGTGAAGCCGGAAGAAAAAAAGAAGGCACCATGGAAAAATGTCTTACTACTACATCTATGAGATGGTAAGGCAGATTTATTGTATTATCTATGCATTCACACACGTTTGGGTATCCGCGAGGGAAGGGCTGTATTTGTCCTATCCCTATGAATCTGCCCATTTTTTAGTGGGCCTTTTTTTTTTTTTTTTTTTTGCGTTACACATACTCACAGAGAAAGCGAATGTTAGGAGGACAAACGAAATGGTTTTAATCATCTTAACTTGTATTTTATAAAAAGGGGAAGGGGGGGGGTTCACTAGGGGTGTATACTTTCACGTTCCTCGGTTTCTCCCTGCTGCACAATTTGGTGTTCCTTTTCCATGCTTGGTTGGTTCTGCTCTGTTTTGTTTTTTCGTTTTTCCTGTTTTTTTTCTTTTTTCCTTTCTTTGGCGGTCGATGCTGGGCTCTCTGCCTGGTCAGAACTCACGCAGAGGGTAGCCTTCCCTTTCCTTCTCAGTTCATTTCTGTTAAATGGTTAATCGGCAGTTGCGTAGATGTGCAGGCGGAAAGGCACTTCATATATGCGTGTTGCTTGATCTGGTTACGTTTTTTCTTATTTTTATTTATTTATTTTTTTTTTTCACTTGTACGTACTATGCGTTCAAATGTGCGGGAGTGGAAAAAAAATGGAAACGAGCCACCGGGGGAAATGGCTACAAAGAGGGGGAAATCATAAAATGATGGCATGGCAAGGTTCACAAGAACAAACAAAAAAAAAAAAAAAAAAAAAAAAGAAAAGAAAACAAGATGGAAAAAAAAAAAAAAAAAAAAAAAAAAATGACAAATGGACGAAATGGGTGGGGGGTTCATATGATTAGCTAAGATGTATCGAAATTGACACCACTTGCGATGAGCACATCTGCCCACATGGCACACTGTTCCCACACAAGGGCGGTTACACTTTTGGCAAACCACCTACAGCCAAGGCATCTGCAACTGATTACCCGCTCTCGGACGGTTCGCTGAACAAACAGGTATAACGAAATGCAAAAAAGGAGCCTTAAAGGAAAGGCCTGCTCCCTTGATCCCTTATCTTAGCACGAGGGTGTCATTTTTTTCCGACGAAAAAGTGGGCCATGCCAAAGGCACAGACATTTTAATTACCCAATACATTTGCACAGGTAGAAAAATGAAGTAAAAGGTACAAATAAGAAATAAAATAAAAAAAAAAAAAGGTGGGTAGGGAAAAACGAACACGGTTTGCTTTTACAAGAGGCACACTTATTCTACGCGAATGTGCAGAGTTTTCTTTCCTCGTGGATGAACACAAGGCGGGGGGGAGGAGCAAGCTACAGTAGAATTTGCGCATGTGTGTCGTGGGAGCCTCATTGCTGTCCCGCGCCCTACCTTTTCCAAAGCGTGTAATTGGCACATAATGCGATTCACCTAAGGAATGTTTTTTTTTCACCTCGTTAAACTCACGCACGCAGCCCACATAGCAGAGGGCATATGTTTGCATATATACACATACATAGGTAGACGCATGTCTGGGGATACCGCTGTGAGATACCCCTAGGCATTCCCCTAACACGCACCTGTTACCATGAGGTGGATCTCGACGTAGGCACTATTCACCATCGGACTACTCCCACCCACACACAAACACATATATGCCGTTCCGCATTACGAACATGCAAAAATCAAAGTGGTGATTATCTGTCCTTTCAGCCCCCCAAAGGTTATAGTTTCGTAACGTATCTCATCGAAAAGGGTCAACCGAAATTCCGCATTCGTCCGATTAAAATTGCTAACGATGGTTAGTAACTCCTCCTTGCAAGCATTACAGGATGTAAGGCAGAAAAGTGTATCCACTTGGAAAAAAAAAGATACATGCGTCAAATATTCTTGTGCTTTGTCATTCATGAAAAATATATCAAACGTTCCTTTGTCGTTTATCAGTTTGTATTTTTTTTTCAGTTTTGAGTCTTTTCCAACTTCGGCTCCGATGTTATAAATGTCTAGCACTTGCACATAGACGTCGGTGGGATCTCCGCCACGATTCATACGGCTGTCCCCGTCGCGTCCCCGGAAGAGCTTCTTAGCCAGCTCAATGGCGCTGGCGGAAAAATCGAAGCCGCATAAATTGTCGAATCCTCTTTCACGCAGTTTCTGCAGGAATAACCCATTTCCGCACCCGACGTCAAGAATGGCGACTTGTTTTGTTCTCTCTTGTTGGCTAAAGTGATTGCTCACCCAGTTTATAATTTTGTCGCAGTTTTCTTCGAACCATTCCTCCGGCTGGATATTCGCCTCCTCGTAGTTTTCCTTCTCGCCCTGATACACTTCTTCCCAGTAGCTCAGCTTGTGCAGCTCGGACGGTGCCATTGCCTGGTCAAAGCACTGTGGGGGGCAAGTAAGAAGCTGTGTCAAATTGTGTAAATACAACTCTCTGTTGTACCTCGCCCGCTTATCGATTTGTCGATCTACTAATACAACGTTGCAGCGCCAGACTTTCTAGGGATAATTCTACGCAGGGTTGGGAAGAGAAAAAAAAAAATGGGGGATCCAGCATAACCCTTACTTTGCACCTCCCTCATTCGTGTATAATAGCATCGTTTTGTTGGCTGCTTTTTTTTTTTTTTTTTTTTTTGAGATGGCACTTGATCGGCCATTTGTTTTGTTCGAAGCAAATTGGCACAAAAGGAATACGTGAAAGAGCTGGGAGACCCTATTGCGATTTTTTTTTTTTCTATGACAAACTTATTCTATTTCTAATTCTAATTTTCTGTTCATTTTGGCCACGGCTAGATTTCTTCCCTTAATTTGAGCCCTCTCAGGTATGCAAACCTTGCGCACTCCTCTCTTTTTTATTTGGTCGCCCTGGCATACCTCCGCGATGAGTCTGCACGTGATAGCATACTCAGACGCACGTACAGAGCCGTTCACATGGCTTAACCTTTTTAACCCTCCGGTTGATACCTTTCATTTAGGGGCTAGCCCTCCAGTTTTACCATATCCTTAACAATGCAGTGGCAGTGAAAAGGTGTATCGCCGATGCCCCAACGACTGTACCTCCAAGTGCGCACCATCCTGTTTGTATTACACAATTTGAAAGTTCGAACGGGGAAATGAACTTCAGATGGAGGAAAAGGTTTTTTTTTTTTTTAGAAACTGAGAAGGCTCACCTGTGTGGCCGCCTACACAGAGTTCAACCCCCCATTGTAACACATTTCGTATAGTTGCACTTTTTGATGGGTCCAGCTTGGTGTTCCCCCCCTATTCGATAATCGATGTGTAGGCTAATATTGCAAAGGAGAAAAAACATAAATGACAACCAGATAGGCATATAGTTGGAGTACGTGTGAGCACACCTACGTGATGCGTCCCACATGGATGGCACAGTTGCTGTGGTGATTCATCCTGGTGAGATGTTATTCAATGAGAGCTGCGACCTCCTTGGTGGTGGTGATGGGTGGCCTAGAAAAAAAGTGATGCGTCTCCCTTCCACCCTATGTGGCACCTTCCTTTTGCCTTCTCTCAACAATTGATATGCTCAAAAAGGAAATCACAAATCCTTTTACGTCAGTTCAGTCCGGTCCTCTTACATGCGAGTGGAGCCGTTTTCGCACAAGTGAGTCACCACTTCTTTCTTGGCATGGAAACCAAATGGAGCAGAAAATTAGGACTATATTTTTTTTTTTTTAACTTTTATATATGGACAAATTGGGTAAGTTTTTTTTTTTATATGTATGAAAAAAAAAAGAAGCTATTTTCACAAATGGTTTTTTTATTTTTTGTGAACACGTAAGCCTATTTATGCGCACACGCGTAACACTTGGAATGATGAAGCAAATGGGAAGGGTGACAAATTTACATAAACACAGGCACGTGCACAGCAGCTATGCACGCAATTCATGTGAGTTGTCGCGGGTGTGGATGCGCACAAGTGCCAGCATATGTATATGTATAGGTATATAGATGTATATATGTATGCATACATGTATCATGTATATACATATGTAGGGGGTACACACTTATGCACAGGGTACATGAGAGGTTGTTTCTGTAGACATATCATTTTTATTTCGACAAACAAAGGTTTGCAGCATGAAAGTAACTTTTCTTTCTTTTTTATAACGCTATTCATTATACGTATGCATGTATGGATGTGGAGACTATATACATATACGCGCGCACGTACATAAGCATATAAGGCACACACAACACGCATACAGACGCGTGGAGAGGTAGGTAGGGGGTGGCTCTGCTAACACTATATGTCATATATATATATGTATAAGCATATGTATGTATATATATATACATACATGTATATATATATTTACATTCATATTTACATTTATATCTATATGCATATTTACATTTATACCCAGGCAAACAAAAAAAAAGCCCTATTTTATATACTTGCGTACTGCGCACAGTTATGCATATGCATCATAAACATCGATACAGCCATTTATATAAGGCAAATATCATTACAAAAAAAAAAAAAATTCAAATACGAATTGGATCAAATTGGCTATTTTTTTCTTAACTGAAATGGAAATGTACAAATATTGTCAAAAATGTATGAATAGTCAGTTAAAAAAAAAAAAAAAAAAAAAAAAAATAGCGGAAAAATAAAAAAAAAATTAATACCTTGTATTATTGCTGTAGAAGCCATTAAAAGAATCCAAATTTGAGGGATAATTCAACTGATAGCCATGGGGGACATTCGTGTATACATTTGGAACAAACGAAATAGGGTAGTTAAAAGTATTCGGTCCCTCATTTTCATGATGATATACGGGTGGTCTTCGGGCATAGTTATGACGACTATTTATATTATGTATGTTATTTATATTATTTTTTTGATAGTAGATGTAGCTTTGGTTTTTTTCCATAAACGTTTGATTATTTTGAAATTTCTTATAATTTTGTGATACCGCAAAATGTAGAAAAACAACTCGGTTGTCTATAATTCGTTCGGGTTGTTGCATAACTTTAAATGCTTCTTTTGGTGAAGAAAAGGTTAAAAAACCATATCCTTTGGATTTCCCTTCATTGTCATGTATAATTACACACTCTTCTAATTTCCCATACTTTTCAAAAATATCTCTCAACGTGGCGACGTTTGTTTTTTGGGATAAATTTCGGACGAATAATTTATTTTGATAATGATCTGTAAATGGGTCGGCTACTAATCTTACTTGCAACTCTTTATTGTCTAAGGTATGACTACTTTTTAAGCATTTCTGCACAGACTCGACAAATTTAAAGGTGACAAAACCATACCCTTTTGATCTGCCTTCCCTTTCTCGTACTATAATTCCATCTTCGATTTCTCCGAACGTCTGGAAGTATTTCAAAAATTGTTCATCGCGAGTACTGAATGGGATATTACGGACCATTAACCTTCTCGTAGAGGGGGAGGAAGCAACGGCTTCGTTGCATTTGTCACGTATGTCCTGGTGGATTAAGGCGGACGTTGCCAGGATGTCTATTAGCTGTTCTTTGGATAACGGCGCGATTAATCTTCTGAGGGTTTCGGCTTCAGATTCCTCGTCCTTTACCGCCTTCTCATTTGTATTGATCTTCTCATCGGTGCTTTTCTTGTCCTCGGAGGAATTCGAGTTCGTTTGGTTGTAGTTTATGTCTTCTTCGGAAGTCATTTTGGCGAAAATGGCGTAGGGTGAAGTAGGGTGATGATGTGAGTATTATATATTGAATGGTGCGAAGTTCGCGCGGAACTGACACGACAATGCGACACTTCGCTTCGCTAATCTACTGGAACGTTCTACAAACGCTTCAGTTAAGTTCCCTTTTTGTCTTAAAATTGGGGTGAGTCTGTCACGGGAGTGCTTGCAAGTTGGCAAATACACGCATATGTATATTTTTCCTTTTTAAATTAATCCTCAGTAAAAGTGGGAAAAGAAAACGATCAAAATGGAGTTAAAAATGATCTTGTACGTTGTGTGTGTATAAATGGTATTAATAAATCAATTGGAGGATAGTTTTTTTTTTTTTTGCTTTCCTTTGTGCGTTTTTCCTTCTTCTATACAGCTGTGAATCGTTAGAGGTTACCTTTATTTTTTTTTTTTACGTCATTTATTACATCAGAAATTTATCTTCACTCCTCAAAATGGCATGCTTTTTTCGGCTGTTCAACAATTTTTGTTTCACTTTGCAATCAATTCATATTCCGGTGTCCGTGCAGGTGATAAAAGGTATGCTCAGTTCTTGTTCGGCAAGTGCATAGATATATATGACTATATCGAATGCACGAAGGGGTTTGTTGCCTCGAGGGAGATCACGTCTCGTGTGTGACAAAGGGACGACAATGTAATGGACCGTAATGATACACGGGGCGGAAAAATTCGGAAAAATTCGGAAGAACGGCGCAAAATTGGACACAGCAATGCGAAACGCGAACATACAGGTGGAAAAGAAAAAGGTATAAAGAAACGGTACAAAAAAGGGCGAAATGACAGGTTGAACGGAGGGCAGAACGGGAAAAGAAATTGGGCTGATTAACAAACAAACGGGGCACAACTGCAGATGGAGTCCTCGCTGGGGCCTAGCTAGCCATGTCGACTAATGCATCTCGGGCAAGTTTTGCCTACACGTAGGGGTACACACGCATAAGGGGTGCGCAAACTGTGTACGTGCGGAGGGGAGAACAGCGTGATAGCAAAAGGGGGGATATAAGCACACAAACATGCAAACATGTGTATATATATTATATATATGTATGTCATTATACGTATGTACTTATATATGTTGCGCCGGGGAGGTTAGGCGAGGGATCTCAAGGGGTCACTAGGTGTTCGAAGTTTGGGAAAGCACCGGGCCGCCTGCCGCCTCCATAAAATTTGGCCCTCTCAGTTGCAAAGAACGAGCAAACGAATGTGGGAGGAAATCAAAGGGGATAAAGCAAAACGTGTGAAACACAAACGCGGGGAAATAAATGGGCTTATTCAAGTGCGGTATGGCAAATGCGCCAAGAAAACGAACGCGAGAAAAACAAAAGACGGAACGAATCAGGGCAAGTAGAACTAATCACAAAACTGCTGCCAATAAGTACTCGCAAAAGAGTTACTTACATAACGGGCGGGGTAAAACACGAGGCGAAGCAGGGTAAATTTACTCTTCCATATATATTATATATATGTATATATATATCATATGTAATGTAAAATGTATACATAACGTATATATAGTGCGGGCTGCTCCTCTGATTCTGCGCGAAAGCGATTAAGGAATCAAACCAAACGCTTCCTTCCTGCGGCTGGGTGGAGGCAATCAGCTGGCGCATGTGGCGGGAGCGTATATATTTGTACACATGGCCGGTACGTATTGCGTACTTGTGCCAATTATGTACATTACATAGGTTGCACGCGCGTACATATGGATGAAAATAATTGTACAAATAAATAAATATATATAGAAAGGTACATATGTATAATATGTACACGCGCGCGGCTGGTTGGCTACGAACGGCTTCTACTTATGCTGCCCCTTTGGGTGGCGCGCCAAACAGTTACTACCACCAGGGTGAAAAATAAAAGAAAATAAACCAGCAAATGAATCTACGAACAAGTGAAAAAGTAACGAAGAGTGGAAGAGAAGGAAATTTTTTTGTGAAATAAGGCAAAACGATCGAACGATTCTTAAAGAAAAAACTAATCCACAACGTCTTCGTAACAGACTTACCAAAAAGGTTAATGAGACCTTTATTGACAAACTTTTTAATGAAAAGCTCATACGCAATGAAGTTGCGGGTTACAAAATTTACGTTTTGTTTTGTTTTTTCTCTTCTCAGGCAATCTCACCAAATCGATTTTTTCTTTTTAATAATTTAAAAAAAACAATTGTTTCAATTTAATTAAAATTTTACAATATATAAAATTAATAAATACCGTATATCCATTAAATATATCTTAATAAGTATATATATAAGGCAAAAAAGGAAGAAAAGCAAGAAGGCAAGTAAAAGAACAAAAAGAAAAAAAAACGAATAAAATAAACAGAAAGAAAAAATCAGAAAAAAAAATAAAATGACTTTAAAAGAAAAAAAAAATAATCACTTTTTAAAGAAAAAATTGAGTGCTCTATTTTCTTCTTATTCTCAAAAAAAAAAAAAACCAAAAGGGAAATTTTATAAAATGTGACATTAAGTAGTATATATGAAGAGTAAGAGAATTTTACCACCAATTGCCACAAATTTACCGCAACTTTACCTCTATTTTACCGGAAAAAGGTGCTAATTAAGCATGACATATTTTTTTCTATGTGGAATATATTCACATAGATAAATAATTCTCTCCTTTTTCCTTCAAAGCAAAGGCATTTTTCTACAGCGGTAAAAAAAAAAAAAAAAAAGGTCGGTTAATTAAAAATTTGGGGAACAGCGCACTTAAAAATTTGCAAATAAAAAAATAAATACAGTATTCGTTACAGTCTACATAGATAACAACTTTTAAATATGCGAATATCAATATTTCGTGAAAAACTGTTGAAATTTTCGTGAAACTTGTCTTCTGCTTTTCTTTCTCCTGGTTCAAACTTTTCTCCTTTTGCTGGTTTCTGTCCCTGATTCGTTGCTTTACTGCTTAGTGCCTTTTTGTTTTCTTTTCTTTTCCCGCTTTGCTCTTCGCTGTTCTTGTCCCCCGGAAGGTTTGCCATTTTGCGTCCTTTTCTTTCTTTTATTTCCCCCCCCCTGCAGTGGGAATATTCTGCGCCGCACCACTTCGCGCATGGGAACTCCGCAGTTATACATTGGATAAGTGCCGAAAAAATCCTTTTGCATATGAGTAATAAATATATTTGCCGTCTAGGTGCATGCTTTTTTCCGTCCTGTCTTTTTAACTCGGTTGTATGTTTTGGTGGCTACCTTTTTTGCCTCCCTTTTTTTGATTATCTCTTCTGCCTGCTATTTTATTCCGCCTTTTTCGCCTGTTTTTTCCCCTCGTCTTGTTCCGCGCATATAAAATATTCTACATCCGTACTGCCTTTCCTCCCACATAATAAAATTACGCGCATTCCTAGGAAACGAAAAACGGATGAACAAGTTTCCCCCCCATTCGTGTAAACCCATGGTTCCTCTAGACGACAAAATTGTCCATTTTTGCTTCAAAAAAAAAAAGAAACAAAATTGGACAAATGAGGAACTAAATGGAATGTCCCAATTTTATTTTCTGGTATCCATTTTTTCTTTTTTTTCTGCTTATCCTTTTGTGCCTTTTGGCTCGCTTTTTAGCGACCGTCCAATTGTACAAATAGTAGCAAAAATATGAAATTCCCAATTTCCTCAATTTTTTAAAAAAACTCATAGAAAAATAGGAAATGTTGCAAATGCCAAGCTGGTCTATGCTTCCCCTCGATGATCCTCTCACGCTAATCATAAGGGGCGGTCGGAGGGGACAATACGAAAGCGGCGCGGTCAGATCGGATCTTTCGAGTCTAACTCCACGGAAAGAAGTCGTATATATACGCATATAGATATATATGCCGCGTAGTAGCCTCCCACTTGGAGTGCCACTATTCTAAATTGGCTCTGCCTTTTAAAGAAAAAGACAAAAAAATGAAAAAAAAGGGACCCACGCTGCTACTCCCCCCACACATATGTATACCCTGTTCGCCTCTTCTCTTTCATGCTTCGAAAGATGATTAGCCATTGCAAAACATAGAGACAGGAGAGAAAAAAAAAAACACTGTACAAGGGAAACCTTAGACGACATGTGTTGTACATATAAGAGATTACGCCGCCAATAAGATGGCGGACATATGCTTGTCTGTCTCTCAATGCACTTATTCATAATGGTCACCCGTTCGAAGTGGCACTTCTTTACGTACACGCGTGATACGTACAAGGCATGCGCTAACTTACTCATCTGTAAACGAACCATCACCCTTTGTTGACATATGTGCGAAGAGCCTATGTGCCCAAACAACGCCGAGGTACGATACACGTCACCTCTCCCATGGCTACAAAATAAGGGGAGAAGTTCCTCACCAAAACACGCTTATGCAAAATGGGGATGACGGAAAAATTCATTATGTCGGGGGGGGTTCCCTTTTTCCACACCCCAAAATGAGTTACATTTTTGTCTCTTTCAGGAAAAAAATCACCAGTAACAGACGAAATAAGTGCAGCGGATAAAGCAGCATGGACGATGCGAAAAAAAGGCGAGAGAGTGACCCACTTTGTGCGTTGGCAGTTTCGTAATTGTGTCTTTCACCCCCGCCACGTCCTCATAGCCACTTCGTTCCCACTGTAATGTCGTCCCGTTTTGCAACATTGAATATGCATCGTCAGCGAACTTGACTGCGCAACTTCTGTGTAGTTAAAAAATTGTACATGCGTGCGTATACGCCAGGTCACTATGTTGGGCGCACCTCACCAAAAATGCCCTCTCCACTTGGGACGGTTAAAGTTGTCATTCCTTTTTAAATTACCCCATCAAAGATTAGAAAAAAAAAAAAAAAGCTAGCCACCGGGTTGTCATCTTGTATAGCCATTTAAAGAAAAAGGGCAAAATAAAGAGAGGGAAATTTACTCTTTTCCCCTTCAACAAATTAGGAAAAAAAGAAGAAAAACAACACTTGTATCATTTTAAAGCTGAATGTAAACATACTTTACATAAAAGTGATACTTTGGTATGTCGTGTAGGTGCAAAAATTGGTCATTTGGGGGGGAAATTTCTCGCAGAAGCTCACCAGCTGAACATGCAAGTAACACGGCGTGACTGCACATTCTTTAAGTTATTTCCCTGCAGCTCGAAAAATTTCGGTACCTTCGAGTTCATTAAAAAAAAAAGAGGGGCCACTATTTCCCTTGTAATATTTACAAAATTAGTAAAAGCGGTTGGCCAAAAAGGCATCCAACGTGTCACTTAAATTTGTGTATTCCTGTAGCTGCGCGAACGCATTTTACCAAAACGAACTACTCCAGGGATAAAAAACATAAACGTAAGGAGGAAAACGCTCTTCGCCAAACCCACCCCCGCGCGCCAAGAGGATTTCCGGGGTACCTTGAAAGGGAAGGAAAACGGAAGGAAAGAGAGGAAGTAGAAAGGAATCGGAAAGGAAGAAAATAAGAAAAAACAAACATCGCCGAACGGACAAGGAAAAAATCCGCGTGATCCCCCGGCATAGACGCCACTTTGTGTTCGCCGCCCCCCGTTTCAAGAAATGTTTTTGCTGAATGAGAACGAGGAATCCCCCAAGGATATCCTCTTGAATGAGCTGAAGTACAAGGTCCGAGTGCTCGCCGGGATCGTCTTTGTCATTAGGACCATCCCTACGGTTGTAAGTCTATTCAGCAAGGGCAGCGACTGATGGGGGTCAATATACATAATGCTGTTATTTAGTCGTTTCCTAAGGAGGCCAGTGGGCACTTCTTACAAATCCTACAAATGCTACAAATCCCAATGACGTGTTTACAAAAAATTAAAGGTGCCTACGGGGGAATGGGCCGCATACACTGGATTGCCTCTGTAGGAAAGTCAACAAATCATGTACGTGGGTACAAGGAGACGCATAAGGCATAACTGTGCAGATAGCTCCTCACGAACCGCTAGTGTTGGCGCGTTTTATGCCGTCTACCCGCAAAATGCGACCATGCCGATCCACTGAGGGTTCGGTACGCGGAGGAGAGGCCATCTCCTATGCGCCCCTTTCGTAGGCGCGTACGATACATATGTATTATCTGGCTACCTGTCGGCAGCCTAGCCTCGTGTCCGCCAGTCTTTTGGCAACCTGTACAGTGGGCATTATTTAATTTTGTTTCACTTCGTTACGTTATATTATGTTATGTTTATATTTTTTTTTTTTCTTTTTTTCCAACGTCACCTTTCCTCTTTCATCCCATGCGCAACCGCTTAATGTTGAAAGAGCAAAAAAGGAAAAAATTAAAAAAACACCGTAATGTTTACTAGGGTATACACCATAAAGCAATAACGGGTTCTTATGCGTTGCGGCTCCATGTCCATACCGGTCGTTCTTATCTACTGGGTGGCGTCGAATAGGCACCAATCAATTCTGAATTAAAAAAAAAGAAAAATCCCCCGTTTCTAGCAGAAAAGGATATTAATATAATATGCAACAGGAAAGCGTAAAATAAGTGAGTAATGTTTTTTTTTCCCCTTCTCTTTTTCGACTGAATTTATTCCCTTTGAAGTATGGCCCATTTTTAATGAATTATTTTTGGTCCTGAATTCGAAGCCTTCGAAACGGGCTGCGTTTCTGTGATAGTGGAGTTTGCGGCGAGGCTGTAGGTATTGTCGTGGTTTATTTTGCTGGAAGAAGAGCAACAAATGGGAAAATTCTTTTTTATTTTTGCAAACAGGTGGTGAGTAAAAAAAATATAAAAGGCAAAGCAACCCGTGAAGAAGAACGGAACTGCGGAGCTGCCAAATAATTGTGTTAACGACTCCTCTTGTCCCCTCCTCTAGGATGTATTTTTACATGCGCATATGGTGAAAAATTCAAGAGAAAAATGCATGTTGTGTTTCATTTTGCTGGTTACATAAATACGGGCATCCAGCGTTGAAACCATTCGAACCGGAACCGTGTGGAGAGACAACCATGGAGAGGGAGCAAATCGACTCCAACGTGAAGGATGGGAATTCCCCAACATTGCCCAATTTGAAGTCCACAAATGAGGAGGATAAAATCAGGAGAGACAAAAATGAGGACGGTCAATGTGACCCTCCCCTGGAGAAAGACATAGGTGGAGATATAAATCCCCATGCGCCCAGAAAACCTAACTATGTAAATAGAAGGGAGGGCTGGAAGAAGAGAAAACCCCATGGTAGCGGCCCTCACGCTCCTGCCCCTCACGGTGATACCCCTCCCAGCGAGAAGAAACAGAAAGGACAAGACACCTGCGTTGTATGTCTCCAACATGGAGTAGTGAAGTACAAATTTGTGTGTTGTCGCGAAGGCTACTGCTCTGTCCCCTGTTTTCAGAAGCACGACAGAAAGGCCTGTTTGGAGGAACAAAGGAATAAAGTCAGGAAATTAAATGCACTTAGGAGTGTAGAGAGTCAAAACAGTAAGCATAGAAAGAGCGATGTGGAAGAAAGGGCTGATAACGCTACGGAGGATGATGAAGACTCCGAAGACGACTTCCTGACAGAAGACCAAAAAGTAAAGCTAAAGGAAGACATCACCTTGAGGATGCTACTTAAAAATAATTATGTCCGTTCCGTTTTCAAGCATTTTACTACATCGAAGGATAAAATTGGTTATCTCTCCAATTATATTAACGACCCCACCATTGTGCAGGTTGTCGATCAAATTATGAAATCAGTGGAGGGTTGACTTTGAGAGGGGTTCGGGTTGGACGAGTGCCATCCGCTTCGAAGTACCCACTTCTGCACCTTTCCGTCTTTATTATTTTTTTTTTGTGATTCTTTTTTACGTTGTTACGATTTGAATCCCCAACGTGGTTAACGCAAATGGGTGTGCGGAATTGCTTTGTGTCAGTGCTCTGTGCCACTACCCTGCGGGGGGGTGTTTCTTTCTCTTCAGCAAAACTTCCCTTGCCTGGTGTTCCCCTTCTGCACGGAGTCCGTCAAGGCGGCAAAAGGGGAAAGTGAAAAGTGAAAGGGGGAAAATGTATAACGGGGAAGCGATTAAAGAGTTAAAGGGTGAATGTAGGGAGTGGCAACCTAGCCAGTTGGCGACTGGCGATTGGCAATTCACGACTGACGATTTACAATTGACGAGTTGCCACTTTAGCATATTAACAAAATGACGAGGGAACGGATGGTTGGTGAAGCCAAGCGGGAGGGGGTACAAACAACAAGGTGCCCCCTAAACCACGGGGGTCACTTCAAAACAACGGTGATCACTTCGAAACGACGTTCGAGTAACTGGTGCGCTTCAACTTATTTAATCGCTTAAACGCCATGGCGGTGGAGTCGTTGCTGTGCGTGCTGCTTCCGCTGCTTTCACTGCTGTGGTCGTTAGAATCGGCGGCATCCCGCACGCTCTCGAAGTCGTTCATGCTTGAGGCGTGGTCCTCGTCCGCGGCGCTTTCTTCGCTGGAACTTATGTTCAGTTCGGTTAGCTTGCGCGGGGAGTTTCGTTTATCTCGCTTTATGCTGCTGCTGTTGTGGGGGTCTTCCCTAAGGGGAGTTTCTTCGGCGGTTTCCTTTTCCACGGATGTCTTCTCCACGGCTGCCTTCTCCACGGATGTCTTCTCCACGGATGTCTTCTCCACGGCTGCCTCCTCCACGGATGTCTTCTCCACGGCTGCCTCCTCCACTGCTTCCTCCCCCCCGTTGTAGCCTATGCAAGTGGAGCCATCCCTCTCGTGGGGGAAAATCGTTTCGTCGCTCCGGGCGGCGGCAAGCTTGGGCACACTGATCACATCTGGGACTAGAATCTCATCAGGGGGGGAGCTAAACTTGTTAGCCTCATCGATGGTCTCGCAGCTGTTTTTGATGGAGGATGACGCCCCTTCATTTGCATCGATGAATTCATCCTGCGTTTCTTTGTGTTCGAGGGCAGGCTCACCGGGCGGGTATTTCACCTTAAGCGCAAAGTTGGTCGCTTTCTCGAATAGCTGTGCATAGCTTCCATTTGGTACCTCACTACACGGATCATCGCCCATGCGCACATGATCAGAGATGCATTCGGTTGAGCGGTCCCCGTTGGCGCGATGGCCAATCTGTTCCATGATTTCTTCTGCGGACATCTCGTCCTCATTGCAGCCTTCCACCCCCCTGGGAATGACTGGGTAGGAAAACTTCCTCTGCCGCAGCGTTCCTATGTAGTTAACATACTCATTGATGATTTCCTCGTAAATGGCTTCTTCCTTTAGGGCGTCCATTGTGGCGACATTTAAAAGGGTATTTGTATTCCCCATGGGTGGGGCTTCTACCTCGGCTGGAGCACCAACAACAAGGTTCCTTTGTACGAAGTAGGTCCTGACCTCGTCGATCTTTTTCTGCAGACATTCCTTCAATGCTTCACACAATCTGATTTCATTTTTCGATTTTATAATATCACTGGAGTGCATACAGAAATTGATGAGGACATAGAATGTCTTTAAATCCTTGATGGTGGTATTCACATCGGTCAGGGCACTCTTGAAGAAAATGGTGTAGTTTTTATTGTCTCCCTTTTGGGACTTTTCCTCCTGTGCTGCTCTTTCGGCTTGTTCCATTTCGATTTCGAAATTGGTATGCGTCTTTAGGCTGTCTTCTCCATGGTCTGCTTCTTTTTTCTCGTTTGCCTCTTCAGGAGGTGGTGCGTTTTTTTTTTTCCTGCCTCGTTTTTTCACTTCCCTGGGTTCGGCCGACCCGCCCGCGTTGGCACTTCCCTGATCGGCGGTGAGGGCGGGGGTAGAAGCCGAGACTGCCGCTGCGGAGGTGCCCCTCCCCCGGACGTCGCCCAGGTCGTGAAAAAGATAAATCTGTATAATTTTGTATACCAGTTCGACAATGTTGGAACGGCTAGTCAGCGCGACGCCCTTCTCAATGATGACGAGTAGAATCGATTTTATGTACTTGGGGAAATGCGCGACGAGGAAGTGTATATTCGCCTTGTGCAGAATGGTGAATATAATAAAGGTGAGGATGTTGGTATAGTTGATTGTTCTTAGTTTATGCTTCAACACCCCGTCGCAGGTTTTTAGTAGCACTTCCTCAAAGGTAAAATGGAAGACTAGCAGATTTGTCTCACTCATGGAGGGGTACATAGAGAACACAGAGAAGAGAAACAGCTTATCATGCGCATTTATATTCGTTATGTTAAATGTACTAATTTTTTTGAAGTCTTGGACGCAATTGTAGGTAGAGGGAGATAGGAGAAAGCACATTTCGAACAGAGCTCTTAATTTAGTGGACGATCTTCTCACCATTCTGTGCATCTCCTCATTGGACAATCGGTAAATGTGGTTCCCCAGATATTCAGTTAAGAGGAGCTTGCAGAATACTCGCAGGCAGATCGATTGAATGTATTTGCTCGTGTTCACAGTGCCACTTAGGTAGCTCCAAATATTTTCAATCGCATCGATGATCAGTTTATCATTGTTTAAATTGGGGTGTGTCATGAGTAAGTCTCCCAAAACGCAAATGTATATTTCGCACCGCAGAGAATTGATTTCTAATTTTTCCAGCAACTCCTTATATCCATACCAAGCATTCTGATTAGTCGCAAAGTAGTTCAATAAGGACTCATTTGGAGGGTTATATTCATAGAAGAGGAATTGGCTATTTGCATCCTCATCGTATGCTCCTCTTCGCTGATTCGTGTCATCATCCTGCGGAGCCCCTCCCTGCTGTGTTACATTCCCCGCAGCGCCGACTTTATTAATGCCCCTTTCGGCTTGAGTCATCAAATCGATGTTGGCCTTCTGGTACACACTGGGACATACCTTGGCGTGAATGCTTTCAATGCTAAGAAGGCAGTTATTCAGTACTTCACAGGTGTCTACTATGGCCGTTTTGTAGGCATAAATCTGCTTCTTCAATTCGTCGTCGTTACTTATGAACATACACCAGTTGCCCAGACATTTCGAAACAATGATGTCGTAAAACTGATCCTCTATCTCTTTGTCATCCCACTCTGGCATTATGGAGCAACAGAAATTCAATGCGGGCAGTAACAACTCGTTTGGGAATTCACGCAGAGCTGAATCGAATGAACAATGAGATTTACTCTTACATAGGAAGCATTCCAATATGAACAAGATTCTCAGCCACCTTCTCTTAAGTTCCAGTCGTAGCAAACTCAACATGGTTATCTGCTTTAGGAATATCTGTGTGTGTAATCTGATCTGGTCATGGAATGCGAAGAGTGGATGGTTGCTACCCCCCTTCTGGTCATCTCGTTTAGGAGACCACTTCACTTCTTCAGCAGACCGCTCCTGATCCATCTCGGTTAAATCTTTTATTTTCGCTTCGGTGACGTCTAGCTTGTGCTGCATCTTCCTGCAGAGGATTAAGAGGTGCTCTATCGACAGCGTGCTTAGTCTCTTTTTCCTGATGATGTCAAAGATGGTGTCGTTTTCCACGTTGAGGATGTTGTTGAACAGCGCCGCCAGGGGGTTCTTCTCCGCCTGCTGGGTTGCGGCGTTCCCCTTTGCAGCCAGTTTAGGGGAACCCTCTGCCCCATTTCGAGGGGAACCTTCCAGCCGCGCCTGCGTTTGACACTGCTTTTCCTCCTCCTCTGCAAAGTTGACCGTGTCCACCGTGAAGGGGCTCTCACTCTCCGGGTTTTCGAACGGCTCCTTAATCTCCGAGATGATGCCCAGTATCTGATTGGTGAGGCTAATTTCCACGTCATTCGCATCGTAGTCTTTGTTCTTTATATAGACCATCTGTCGGAGTAGCTCCAGACAGGCGTATACATAACTGCTGCTCAGCCAGTAGGCACACGTGATGTGTCCCTTCTGCAGTTTGTAGTAATTGACCCCCGTATTGTTCAGCATACATTTGATGATGACCTCTCGGAGGGGACCTCGCAACAACACGGTGCAGCAGCATTTGAGGATCTTATCCACTTGGTACGTCTCGATGATATCTAAATATCTGCAAATCAGCAGCAGGTTCTTCATGTTGCATATGTAGTTATAATTCTCGTTGATGTTGTCTTCATTGATGAGGACGTGCTCGCCGGGGCCGGTTGCCCCTTCGCTCTCTGTGCGATTGGCCAAAGTGTCATCCGGATCACTATTCACGCCATCTGGGCTACTACACACAGCACGGTAATACATGCACTTATCACAGAACTCGTCGTCGAAAATGGAGCTCTCCATGAACTGCCTTTTCCTTTCCTCCTCCAGTGCCTTTATATCCGTCTTACCCTTCCCACACGTGCAGAACAGGTGGAGATTATCCGCCTGATCACTCTCATTATTTTCGATGCAGTTAATATAGTTCTTTCTGTTATAGTAAACCTTCTCATTGAAGCGGCTCAGATGCATGTAGTAGTACACGGCATTTATCACCTTCAGTGCATCGATTTTTTCCTTCTCTTGTTCGTCGCAAAAGTGCTGAACGTAGATTCGAAGCATGTATAGCTCCGCCGCGTTTAGCAAGAACAGGTTGTTTATGCAGTGGGTATACCAGGCCTCTCCATAGGGGCTATTCCTATCACTATTGTGAGAAGTATCGTCATTATTGTGGCCCTTACGTGGGTTGTCTTCGCTTCCCAGTTCCTTCCTACTTTCATTGCTTTGTCGTTCCGCTGGAAATGCAGCAACGGATGATGATCTCTTCTTCATGTCGTCGAATTCGATGCTGCCACTTCTGATTACACCATTTCTAATACTGTTCAGGTGAATTTTGCATATTTGCTCCACAATTAGGTCATTATCAATGTCGCTGTTGATTAAGTGGAGAAGCAGATTCTCTATCTTGTCATCGAAGTGCTGGACCCAGTGGATAATCATGCTGTAACAACTCTGCCGCACAGAGTTATCCTTATCGTTAAGTCCAGATAATAGCAACTCAAATTTCATGTCCGATGGGATGAAAAAATAATGGTTTTTTAACTTCTCATACACACTTATTCTAACATTCGGATTGGTATCATTTATTCTGACAAGAAAATTTTTCAGGACAATCAAGTGGTCGTAGTTATTCCTGCTGTTGATCCCCCCGTTTGTGTCATCTGGGTAGATGGCTATATTTTTAATGGCGTGTATTCGGACTGCATTATGAGAATCATCAAGACATCGGAGGTAGCTAGCTGTCGTATTGAAATCCTGAAAGGGTTCTAAAATGGTTAGACACAGAATCCGAATATTATGGTCCTTATCATTCAGAAGGGATAAAAAAATGTTCACATGTTTTTTGCACAATTTGTTTGATACATCTATCTGCAAAGCGCACGCCTTCTTCACCAGCGCTTTCATCACTCTACATAAGTTGATTCTCTGCTTCCTGTCCTTGATGAATATGTTGTCTAGGAGTCGGTTCCAGAACTTGGCGATAAGTTCATACTCCTGGATTGTGTCCTTCCCACCGCTGGAAGCGCCGTTGTCGTTGCCGCTAATAGCACCACTGGCACCACCGCTGACATAGCCCCTCGCTGCGGTGCTTCTTCCCCCCTTGCGACTGGCCCTCTCACTGAGCAGCACATCGCAGTAGTAGAGGATGTCAAACAGGAACTCCATCATCTTGTTAAAATTTTCATCCTTAGCATTGCTCCTCACCATGTTTAGTACTATCCTCGCGCAGAGCTCATAAATGCAATATTCGTTTACATACCGCTTGTGCTTCACATCGTATACATTCCCCTTAATGATGTTTTTAAGGATGTCTTTTATGTAGGAGAATCCCGTGTCGCTATCGTACCTATTGTTATACACGTAATGTATTGTTCGTACGATATTCTTTACGTGGATGTTTTCGTTCCTTATTTTCAGATTCACCAAAGTGGAGCCTCCCTCTCCGGTGTTGCCCTTCGCCTTGCCGCCATCGCCCGCCTTTTTCACCTTGTGCGCCTTCATCGGTTTGGTCATCCGAGGGGGCACCACACTATGACTGCTCCTCGTGTGCAGCCAAATAAGCTCCCAGACGTCTTCCTTTCTGTTCCTTTCAAATGGGGGCAACCAACTTAAACTGGCTAAAAAAACAAACTCGCTAAAAAAACAAACTCGCTAAAAAAACAAACCCGCAAATAAAACAAACCCACTAATAAAACAAACCCGCTAATAAAACAAAGCGGCGAAAAAAACAAACGTGCACTTCCCTGGAGAGGAAAAAAAATAAAAGCACAAATATTGAGATATAAAACGCCTAGGAAAATGCCCTCCTTCGTCATGTGCACTTAACATTTTCATATGGACTTCCTTCGTCACATTTTTGTAATTTCGCTTGAAGTCTCTTCCCTCCAGTGACAATGCACGGGGTGTAAGAAGCCTTGACGAATTTTTTTTTTTTTTTTGAGGAAAATTACAAAGATGCGAGGATTGCCAAAATTGCACATATACCCCTCCCTGTAATACGTATTGTGCATCTCCGAGGTAGGGGACACATTTTTACACTTATCCTTCGAAGGGACGAATTTAAAGGTCTGTTTCCTTCACAGAGCACGCATAAAAATGGCTTATTTGTGGAGGGAGAGAAAAAAAAAAAAAGAGCGACAGAGAGAGCGTGAAAATGGGCTCCGCCCTGGTCCGTCAGAGGGAACTTTTCCGTTTCAACATTTTGTTGCAGTGTATACCCGATTGATCACACCGCAATTGCCCAGGCCGGGGTGGAACGTATGAATGTGTGACCATACTATACATATGTGGCATGTTCCTGTGTGCTTGGCAACACCGGGCAGTTTGCCGCGAATAGCTCTACGTAGCTTCTTAAGTGGGGAGCACCACCCCTGGAAAATTACCAATTCATACAAGTTTGCACACCAAGTGGGAAGGCGTTAAATTGTGCGTAGAGTTGATCCCTCAAGGGGGTCCTTACGTATCCTTTTGTTCACTCTTCCATTCGTTAACAGTCCATTTGTTCGCTGTCCATTTGTTCGCTGTCCATTTGTTCGCTGTCCATTTGTTCGCTGTCCATTTGTTCGCTGTCCATTTGTTCGCTGTCCATTTGTTCGCTGTCCATTTACTTATTTTTTTCCTTTTCCAAGCTGTAACGCTGAACAAAGGGGAGTCCAATTCGGGTCAGACATTACCCTACCAGCTGGGCAAATTTTTTCCCCACGACAGAGGGGTAGAGAGTATGCCATTACACCATTTTAAGAGCGTCTGTCGGGAGTTCCCAGGTGCGGAAAAGGGGAATTCCCCCCGCCCAAAAAAAAAAATAAAATAAGGGAGCAGTACACATAGGGCTCATTAACGGGGAAAGACAAAGTAGGGAAGTAGGACCATCCCGAGAAGGATGCAAATTTTACAGAAGTTACATCCGTGGTGAAAACAAAACGTAGGCCTCAGTTAAGAGAAGAAAAAAAAAAACATCTGAGCATAAATGTGCGCAGAGAATTATTGACAAATCGGTAGGAGGGTACCCCCCCCTTACGCATGTACGAACTTGCCTCTTCCTACTCAAACAGGTGGCTGAACTTTTTCAACTCGGACGCAAAAAGGATGGTTTGTGCCCACCCGCAATTGGGCCCCAGTAAGTTCTTCAGCCTTGTGTACAGTCTAATGTAGAGAGAAATTGTGAGGGCCTTCTTCTGCTGCTTTGAATTGGGGTTCGAATTGGGTTTCGAATTGGGCTCTGTTCCTTTTTCGCCTTCCCGTTTAGGCACGCGGTCGACATAAGTGGGCGTCGCCTGCCTAGTGGTTCTGTTCCCCTTCTTCTTACCTTTTATGGGAGTTCCTCCAGTCGCGTTCTCCACGTTCTCCGCCTTATCAGCACTGCGACGATGAACCGACGCGCACTCAGACTCCACAATGTTTCGGTAGTACTTATAAATGATGTCATATATATGCGTGTCTATGGGAATGCAATCAAATTTATTCAAACCGAAGAGGCAGATGCAATTGGCTACTTTGAGCCCTATGCCTGGGAAGAGTATTAATTGGTCAATGCAATTTTTTGTCTTTTTCTCCTTTTTAAGGTCTTCAATCCATTCTTCACTTCCTCGTTCCACTAACATTTTGGCACTCTCAATAACGTAGCTACTTCTATACCCGAACCCTAAGTTCCTTAAATCTTTCTCCTTCAATTGGGATAGTATTTCTACAGTTGGAAATTCATAGAAGGGGAAAATCTTCATCTGTCGTTCCTCCTTGATCATCGTCTTTAGGTTCTCGTAGAAGATTCTGTTGTTCTCACGTTCGGAGTGCCCATCGTCCCCATTCTGTTCCCGCGTTGTAGGCCCATTTTGTGAGTACTCCTCCTTCACGCGAATGCGCAGTTGCGGCTCCCTCTTGGGTGCAGAAACGGATAGTGGTTCCTTTTTCGTCTCCCCATTTTTAGGAGGCTCCCGTTTCACTCGCCCCGATTGTGTCTCACCTACCTTGAGGCGAACTCGTTGTTCATCCTTCATCACGCCAACGCGCTGTTGATTTCTATTGAGGGCCATCCCTTTTGCGTCCGGGTCCTCTCTCACTTTGACCAGCACATCCTGGCCGTGAAACATGACTGTGGCGAGGAATTTGCCGTACCGCCTCCTCAGGCAATCTATCATTAGCGTTATCCTGGGAATGTTATTATTAGTGGAACAAAGGAAGGAGAAAAATGATTCCACCGAGTTGGTCTTTAATATTCTCAACCCCTTAATCTTATCAGTAATTTCCTTCATTCTTTTGTCTTTTTTTTTCCACATTTTGATGTTTTTACTTAACGGAAATTGCAGATTGAAGAAGTCGTTTACATCTTGCTCGTACTGATCGCTCGTATTTGCATTGTCTGGATTGCGACTTTGGCCCGCCTGGGTGGCGTGCTCCCGTTCGGTTCCGTCGCTCCGTCCATCGCCGCACTCACCGCTCCCCCCACCGCTGCGATCATAAACGCATTGGTAGAAGATCCCCTCCTCCGTCTCCTTAAAAAGATAAATTTTGTTATTCACCAAGCCGATGTAGGTATCTCTGCTCACTTCGCTGAAGCAGAATTCCTGTCCAATCAAGAAGCAGTATTTTAGTTGTAACTCATTTTTCGTCACATTAATTCTTTTCCATCTCAGTTCGAAGTTTTTTATTACAAAGAAGGGGGTTCCACTGGCTATATTCTGCACATTTATGTTCTTCGTGTCGCTTCCGTCTGGAGGATGGACGGAAACCATCATCCTCTCTCCCTTTATTCCCCCTCCTCCACATTCTTTTTTGACTTTCTTAAGTATCCTTTTTTTGTCCCCGCTGATGGTATTTACGAACAAATGTGTAGCACCTTTCTTGCGGGTTTCTTCTTTTTTTCCTCCAACTACTATACGTTCACTTTTGACGCAAGAGTTTCTTCCGTCCGGGAAGTTCTTGCTCATTTTAGTTGCTCCAACTGCTTTACTCCTCATTTCTGTGCTGATGTAAATATTCTTTAACAACAGAAGGAAGAGGGATTGAAAAATGTGCAATATCATTTAATGGTGAAGAGGAAGGAAAAAAGGGGGGATACCTCTTCCGTTCGATAATCAAGTTACATCAACTTCTGTCATTTTTGGTGATTCCATCACGCCGAGGGGGGGAGTTAGCTGCCTCAGGGGACACACACGCAGTCATTCAGGAAAAGATCCTACCCTGTGTGGGGAGCCATATGCACTGCTTCCTATTACCTCCATGCATCGGGATAGGGAAATGCAACTCAAATGAAGGCCTTCCAGGGCGCATGCAATTGTGCATCATATGAGTCGCTCGTATACACCCCCCGGCTTCCCTCTGCATCTCCCCGCCATACGTGAAAATCTCCACACGCTGTTCGCACAGCGGTGAACGCTCAAAGGGAGCAGCAAGTTTTGCTATTCTGTTCTTTATTGGCCTCTTCTAGGTGAGGTTACATACCTTTTTTTTTTTGTTTTTTTTTTTTCAAACCCGTTGAGCATGTCCAAACGTTGTGCCTTTTTGCGGGATAAACGGCGAAACGTTCGGGGAAAGGAAGAAAAAAAAAAAAAAAAAATGTCGTTGAAGGTGCCCTTCGCCAACGTAGGCATTTGGCCAAAATTGGAGCCATACCGCACTACAGCATTAACATAAAATGTAAAACGGAATAAATGTGATAGGACGGGAAAGGAAAAAATTCACTTCACATTAACAGCTGTTTCGCCAAATTGGACAGTGCTTCGCCCACTTTGATGTCGCTCCGGAAAATCTACCTCTATGCGCTCTGCTACGGGTGTGTGTAACGTTTGGTCCACCTCGTTGCGTATTCTCTCCCTCCTAATTCGTCCCCTCACACCCATTTGCATAGTTCCATAACGATTGGACGAGTAATACTTCTTTCTTTTCTTTTTTTTTTTTCCTGACTGCCCTCGCTGTAGAAGATGCTCCATTTTCTTGGACCCATTTAAAGAGCGTAGCAGTGCAAGGGAGTCCCTCACGAACTAGCAGCTTGCAGGCACGGTACAAGTAAATCCCCACAGGCGTAAACGTCACCGCGAAACGCGCACGTCACCTTCAAACACACACAGCGCACGTAACCACTTTGGTAGAGAAATGCTAATGTTGGAAAGGATGAACACACTGATAGAGAACAAGTACGCCAAATCGAACTGGAAGAGAAAGAAGTTCGTTTGGAGGTACAGCTTATATTTCACCATTTTTTACATCAGCCTAGCACTGGGAATTGTTTACACGTTAATAGTTAGATTTTTAATTTCGTCGGATATGTACAGCAACCATTATTGTTCCTCCTCTACGATTCTATCTGTGAAGAGAATCTACATGGTGGTACTCATATTTTTGGTATTGATGGGATTCTTAAACTTTCTTTTTTCCCGCCTGACATTTATCTACTCGAATTTTACGAACAGGGAGTTCTTTAACTCAGGCATTTTTTACTCCCTCTTAGGGTTCATAATTAAATACATGTCATGGATTTTGTCCTTCGTATACATCTGCTGGATCTGCTTCCTCTTTGTAAATATGATGATAATAATTTTTTGGGGGCAAAATTGGTGCCCTTTCAAGTACAATGTGTATGGGATGGACGCGCTGCGCAACTGCCTTCTGGTTAAGAACCGGGACACAGGTGCGCTGGGGGAGGTTGCTACAGCTCCGGCGATTGCGGTAGTTGTGGACGGTTGCTTCCCTTGCGCATGCCCCGATTTGCACACGCATATGTGCAGACATATGTGTATACACGCGTGTCTACCCGCCGATTGACGCACACCTCACTGAGATCACCTCCATACTGCCTTTCTCTCCCTCCCCCGCAAGGATGCGAAATCAACAAAGGACTGCTGAACCTACGGACCAAGGACAGCTGCAACGACTACAACATTTTGAAGGTGCAAAATTTTCTTTTCCTTACGCGATCAGCTCCAAACCAAGCATGCACATTGAAAGATAAGAAACTGTGTGAATTCTTTGTCGACTTTATTAGAAATAAGAGAACATCGTGGACTTCCTTCCCGAACTGCTCTGGAAACACCCTGGATCTTAAGGAAGAGCATTTCCTCGAAGACCCCACCATGAAGAGTGACATCTACCTATTCTCCGTATCCCTAATATTTTTCTGGTTTATCACAACCGTGATCCTCATTGCCCTTTTCATAGTTGTTAGGGTGAGCACGCCCATCGATTCCTCCTTCGTGGTGAATGAAGAACGGTTCAACATTTTCTTCAAGTTTACGCGTTTTCTGGACGTGTGGAGATGACGAGGAGGTGTGAATACATGTGTGGGCAGGGCCACATCCACACGCAAATAGGACCATGCAGACGACCGTACAGAGGATCATACAGAGGGCTGCACAGAGGACCGTACACATCCGTGCTCAAATGGAATGGTGACAATTGTGCAGCCCTCTAAATCGGAGTCGGTTATAGGAAGAATTCCCCACTCGGGGCGACTCCTCCGTGTTTATTTAGTTCGCCCATTTGACTTCCCGCCCTATTTTTCGCTCAAAAAAGATACCCTTAAGTGAACCTAGCTGAGATGAATGCAATACCCTCTCCCCCCGCTTCACTCCTCTATGGCAAACTTTGGGAGACAGTACTATACTACGGAACTTGGGAACACTGATGAAGCCTTTTGCTTGATATACCTATTTCGACTGATGGCATGATGGGGCCCCTTCACCTCAATGACGGTATCTCTTCCTAACGCAGTCCGCAGTTTTTCCCGCACAGTAAAAATACAGCGCAGAAAATTGAAACACCTCTGTGATAATTTCCATTTGTGCATCCTTTTTAGTGAACAGAAATGCCAACTTGCAGAATTGGAACATGTGTTCACGATAAGCGGGACCACCCTCCAGCATTACCCTTCGGAGTATCGTCCAACTCACCAGAATGTGGCGCGCTTGCGAAATATCGTCAGTATAGCTATGCACGAGAATGCACTAATCTGTCACTCCGGAAATACGCGAATATGCATTTTGCTCTCCTTCCAGTGACCATATGACGGTTGAATCTATTTGTTACGCGCAAGTTGTCCGTAGGTTTATTCTTTTTCTCTCGCCATCCCTTTGCATGTGTATGCTACACATATATTTTACTTCCTGTCTCATTTGTGTGCGTGCATTAGTGTACACGGACCGAGTTATCGCAGTGTTATTCCTTATTGGGAGTACTACTCATACTGCTTAATCCAAAGGGGAAAAGAAAAAAAAAAAAAGAAAAAAAAATGCGCACGGAGGTGATTGCAGAGTATGCCCGTGCAGACTCATAAAGTGGCAGAAAAGTAAAAATCACAGCAGTCTTTTTTTCCCCCTTCGAAATGGCATTTCTGGGAAACCCAGAGCGGGAAAAATGCTAATGTCCAGAAGGGGCAGAAATACACACACAGACGAATGAGAGCTTTGTTAAAACAATTACGGACGGGAGTTGCGCACGAAACAGAGAAAAATGAATTTTAAGAGGAAAAAGTAGCCTTTTTTTTTTTTTTTCTTTTTTTGCTGCTCACCCATTCATTAAGCTGAAGAGAGAAAAAAAAAAAAATGGACAAGGCGGAAGGCAAGAACAGGAGCATAAGCCGCATTATCAAAGAGTTTTACCTAAACTGGAATTACAGGAGACACAGCTGGAGAATCAGTTTCTACTACAACTCCCTGGCAATCTTAACTGCTTTCAGCGTTGTCCTCACTTTAATATTCCAGCAACTCATAAAATCATTCAGTTTTTTCGTAAACTATTCCTGCGAATATGAACATATAAATTTTATTCTTACAGATTTATTAATCTTCCTAATTTTAACTAGCTTCATAAGCATTTTCGCATTTTTTTTATCGAGGATATGTTCCATCCTTTCAAATTTTACAATTAACGATTTTATGTCGCTAGGCAAATGGATCGAAAGGATCGGCTGTACTGTGAAATGGTTTCCTTGGGGGTTAGCGATTTTGATCATATTTTGGTTCACCATAAATATATTTAATTTAGTTACCTTATATTTCACTCCCAACTTGTGGTGTAAAAGGCGCTTAAACAACGTTGCCACACATGTAGTCAACAACTGCAGATTGTTTGAAGGTAGAACAGCCGCATGCACCATTGACATGATAGACACGAATTCCAATGCGAACACTGCTAGCCACATTCGCAAATGCAACGACATGGATTTCCTAAAAAATAATAACTACTTTGCATTCATTCCAGATTTGGCAGATAAAAACTATGTAAAATGCACGTTCAACAATATCAACGTTTGCACACTGTACAAACGCTTACGAAATAATCAGCAAATACTGGAGGCTTCAAAAGGGCAGAAATTAGAAGGCTGCTTGCAGAACCCTCCGTCCGAAGTAGAAGATTTTTATGATAATAATATACAGACGAGCGATTTGTACAAATACTCTCAAATCTTTACCATCGGCAGTAACGTCACTTTTGCGATCCTGATGTTTTTTTTCTATTTTGTCAAACGTACAACGCAGTTCGATGGGTTGTTTTATCAGTCTATAGACAACTCCGAAATGTTTATACTGCGCATCCTGCGCCCTCTGACACCCTGGACGTGAGGTTTTGTCTGCCTATTCAGCGGCTATATCGCTCGCGCGAAAGAAAAAAATAAATAAAATAAATGAATAGATTTACCTAATTAAGCCAGAGAAAGACAGGCTTATTTCCCCCCCCACGGCCTACGCTACAATGCTGATGGGCGAACTGGGGCCACCTGCGTTCTGCGAAAAAGTTAATCCATAACGTGAGCTCAAGTGGGCCTGAAAAATTACACACATATATCTGGGGGATATAAATATACACGAATGAAACGCGCAGAACAGGTAAATACAGCTCGATAAAATGTTGCCGTACAACAGTTTAGTCATGATTATTTTATTATGTTCTTTTCTTTTATTTTTTTTTCTCCCGTCCATGCCATGTGCACACATTTTCCCACTTTTCCGCTGTGTCCACCCCCTTCTAATTAACTTCTGAATAATACCTATTTTCTGCAAATACCGCAATTTCCAAAACATCTTTTAAAAATAAAATGTACTTAACGTGGACAAAACAGTTGTACTCCTTTCTCATCACTTATGAGGCAAAATAATTGGTCAATGTTGTTCTGCTAGCCATTAACTTATTCATTTGAGAAAAAAAAAAAAAACAAAAAACCTAATGAACTAGCCATAATAGCTTTACAACCCTGTAATTTGGTTATGTTTTTATTGCATTTAAAAAAAAAAATGCCGATTTTACCTTCACTCTTCATACAAGATTGAAATAATTCCAGGATGTGAACAGATTTTCCCTTTTGGCTTGTCTTTTTAAACATTTTTTTTTTTTCTTGCACCTAATTAATTTTTCCATGGGTAGTGAAATAAATAAACAAAAATTTACATGTGTGTATCTTTGAGGCGCAACCAACCTGATGATCTCTTTTGCGTTATTCCTCTAAATGGGTGTAACGTGAGGCCCTTGTCGAGGAAATATCGCGAGATAAACAGCATAGTGTGAATAAGATAAAAATTGCACCAGATTAGGAAAAAATTTTTAATATATCTGCAAAAAGAGCAGTTAACATAGCAACCATCACGAATGCCCGTAGCGGAGAAGATACAACATTGGACAGATGCATACCGAAACTGATGGTGTTGTAATCCTCCAACGGAAAACGATGGAGAACGGCAAGGACAAGCATTGTTATCCCCCAGAGCATTGCAATCCATACAGAATCTTCAATAGTATAACAAAATGCTACCGCTGCAATGGAAGCGATGTTGAATCTTTCATTCTTAACGAAGAAGGGATACCCCTGAATAACAGAGAAGGGCATAACCATGCAACCGCTAAGGAATGCCCAGGTGTACTAAAAGGTGAACACGCTTGTGGCGGTTTTTTATGCAAAAGGAACTTTCAAGAGAGTGTAAATATCCATCATGCAGATCGAAGAAGTGCTTCTACATTAGCAAAAAGGCGGGAAGGGACCAGCAAAGATGATATTAAACTGTTTGACATTAAATATGGAATAAGTAGCTATGCCTACCTGGGAGAAAAAACATCGCATGTGTTGCAAACAAATGGCCCTTTTTGTGGGAGCGTACGTTATACTTCAAACGGGACGCCAACAAATGGAGCATACATTCCAAGGGTAAACTTTGATGAGAAGATAAAACTGCACAACGATCTTTACGTTTATGTTGAGGAATGTGGCCTACAGAGGGAAACGTCAGAGTGCACCACAAAACCAGAACCACGTAGCACGCGAAGTAGTCTTAATACTTCTCTCAGTGAAAATAAACCGTTTAAATACACAAGTAAGAAGGACCATCTCGAGAGGGTGGACAATACGAGCAGCATATATCACCCCGACGATAAGCACACCTATGTCTATGATAACCTAAAAGCGCATAACGGCGCAAGAGATGAGTTAACACTGAAAAAAATGAAAACAGCGATTCACCTTGGTGATAAGTTAAAGGAAGTTTCTAGATCTGTATACTTAGAGAATCATTCAGAACCATTTGGAAGTTCTGAAACTGAGGAACACGATGAAGCGTCACCATGCGTGGAGGATAAGCAACTGACTAGACATAAAGAATCCAACAGCAATAACCACGAAAATTGGGGCACCTGTACAGATGGAGTAGTAACACCGAAAGGATGCAAGAACAAGAAAAGTTGTTCTATGATTCATTTTGCCACAGAAGGGACAAATGTACAACCACAGCTCGTTGACAACTTTAGTCAAACTGTTGGAAAGAAAAAAAAAATTGTAAAAATGAAGAGGAGACTAAAAATTGGTCTAAAAGGAAGAAGAAAGAAAAAAACTAAGAATGCCTTCTTGAAGAAGCCAGGCAATGGGAAAAAACTTCGTGTTAATAAAACAAAAAAAATGAAAGCCACCTGCTCGAGAAAAAGAATCCCAATGAGTAGACAAAAAGAGGGCTATGCACATAAGGGGAAGAAAAAAAGGAATAAGTTGGGCTCGAAAAATGCTAAGAATTCTGCTCCATGCAAATTTTCAATTGGAAAGGGAGATAAAAAGGTTTCATCGGATATGCGAAATAGGGTGAATAACCACTTGGCTCAAGTCATTTATTCCAAGTTGCATCACAAGGAGGGGAAAAATAAGCGAAGAGAAAGTGAGCCCCCGATCATGAGGCAGACAAAGTTTGCTAACAGGAAATCACACACACATAGGATAAAAATAAAAAATGCCAAGGCAGTGAAAAGAGACGAAAAGCTCCAAGAAGTAGAGAAAAATAGTATAGACCTGGACGAAGCTAAAAATTTGATAACCCATGATGATATGCAAAGCGATGATGTTGAAGAGGCGTCTATCATACATGGCGAAGTCAATTCAGATGAGATAAACATCGTATCGGGGAGAGATTCAGACGTTTCTCCTTCCCCTAAAGTGGCCACCAAAAGTGTTGGGAGTGGCTCATACTATTTTTGCCTGAGTGATGATGTGAGTAACTCCTCCTACAGATCATTCCTTGTGGACACCCACAGTTTGGAGCTTTCAAAGATTACGCAATATTCTGACCGTACAGTTGGTGTACATGGCAGCGGTATGGCGGAAGAGGATGCGTTCCTAAAGAGTGGGCGAAGTCATGAAGAAGAGAAAGAAGAAGGGGAAGAAAACAAAGAAGAGGAAAACGAAGGGTACAACCATATGGCTAAAACGGGAAAGGAAAATCTAAGTAGTAGTAATCCAGAAAATGGTACCAATTTGAAAGCCTCCGTGGGAAGGGACGCCAAATGGGGGGATCTCACCAGCATAAGGAATGGACTAGAAAAGGACGGGGCAAGCAATACAAAAAAAAGTTTCAATGGTGGCAGTGATGGTTGCAATTTCATCTCTAATGGTGGGATAAGCGCAGAAGAAATGACTTCCATATGTAGAGGCGAATACACCACCTTCGACGAAAACGAAGAGAGATTAACATTTGTGGTTCTGAGGCAGGTTGCCAACTTTCTGGGCGGCGGAAGTGGAGACGTACAATCAGGTGAAACGCTAGAAGAGGGCCAAAAAAGTTTTAACATAGACAGGGAGGGACGAACAGTAGACCAATTGAGAAGTAATCCCCAAATTGAGGAACCTCGGGAGGATGGTTTTTTCTGCGAAATGGTGACAAGCACAAGCGGGGTAAGAGGAAGGATAGGGGGGAGGAACAGAAGCGATGATTCCTTTTTCGAAAAAGCAATTCTCAATTCAGATGAGGAGAACTCAGCACTGATGGATACGTGCACGTATAGGCAATCGTGCCAAAAAGACAAAAACCTGTTCATGCTTCACTCGAACTTGTTGAAGCAGCGCTCCTTCTTCCATCAACACGGGACACTCGAGAATGAAGTGATGTATATTCTAAACAGCTTAACATTTTATTCTCACAAATTGAAGAATGTACTGAACTATGCCATAGGGAGGAAATGTCCAAATGGGGACGACACCTTACAGGTTAAGTTACTTACCCTCTGCTTGATCAATTTAACCGAAAAGGCGAAGAGGAGTGGTGGCCCTTCTTCATGCCTTAAAAGTGTTTCAATTTTAATGCATCAATTGTTGGGGCGGGTTCGCTACGGTGTCTTGAGCCTCTCTAAAAATGGGCAAGTTACTAAATTTGAGCAGGTGATTATGAAGACATACCTCATAGAGTTGATTAAAATGTGCAGGCTGCTGTTAACATCACTAGGGGGGATAAAAAATCCTCCTCGTTCATCATTCGCAGGGGAATCTCGGTTATCACCCACGGGTGAACTTTCCTTTCATAATTGGGCAGCACGGTCGGGGGTGGAAGTACCCGAAATGGGAAAATTGAAGACCTCGCTTGAGAAGCACCTCGTTTGTAATTCGGAAGACAGAAAAGTTTTCCAACCAGACGGTAATGGTAATGAGGACACCACTGATCGTGTGAAGGGAGAACAATCAGGGGTGGTGGCGGTAGAGGTCAATTCTATGAATGGGGACATGAAGCAGATAAGCAAACTGACGAACGAGGTTGTGGTTTCTCAGAATAACCATCCTACCTACTGTGACATTTACAAACTAATTAAGGGGCTGAAAGAAAAATTGCTACTCCTAGAACGGAACAGTCAAACAAACTTTTGCAGCTTAAGGCTAATGTTGAAATATCTCGACAAATTGAGTTACATTTATAGAGTGAACTCTGCCCTCCTGGATGACCCCAAACAAGAGAAAATCCCGACTGACCAAATGGCCAACCAAATGGACGACCAAATTAGACGCATGGTACAAAATGTGCAGGAAAAAATAACCGCGTGGACGAGGGGGAACGAAGCCATTTGCGACATGCCGACTTTATATTCTATAAAAAGTGTGCAGAAAGGAATGGAGAAAAATGTCTTTGCCTTTTTTGATCAGTTATCAGGGAAGGATTCCCATGGGAGGAGGCCCATTGGCGTTTGTCCTAGAGTACCTAAACAAAACGGGAGTGTTGAGCTAGAAGGGGAAAAAATGGCACATGCTAGAACGAACAGTGTGCGAAACGAATGTCATAGGAAGCAAATGAGAGGTCTACATAAGGGGGGCAAGAAAAAAACGTCTTTTGACAACTCTGTGGAAAGCTATCACGACGAAACGGAGCATCTGGAACGGCTGAATGAATGCCTAAATGAGGTTATACTGAGCAAGAACAAGGAGCTAATCACAAACCCGAATGGTCATTACGCCATGTTGAAGGAGTACAAAGAAGAGTTGTCCGTATTGAATGATCTTCGAAATGGTGAAAATGGTTTAGTGAATGATTTTTTAGACCACATGCCCAGCTGGAAGTTCACTAAAATGTTAAGTGCGTATGTTAGGGGAGGAATTCCACGTAGGGGGAACTCGGAGTGGGGTCGAGTCCATCTTGGGACGACCCAAAATTTACCTACCTTCTCCCGAAAAAGGAACAAGAAAAAGATAAGCGGCCTTCCACTTGAAGGGAATTTATACAGAGACGCCCATGCACATTTGAGTAATGAAGAATGTCTTAACCAGTGAAGTGGGTGTTGTGGTTGTCCTTCACACGATGGTAAAATGTTGCGGAATGCCCTTTCCCTAAGCGAGCCTTTAGCGCTACACCATAAAGTAGAACTGTGCAGGAGAAATTCCCTCCAATTGAACTTTCTCGATGAGAGTACCAATAGTGTGAAACATTTTAAAATATATTGAAAGGCGTTTCCAAGCGTGTAACATCGCTATGCCAGGAAGCCGTTTTTTCTCGTTAATGCACTTGGAAGATTCGACTCGGTTGATGAGAACAGTGGACCGATGTGTTTTACCTACCTCCACACTGAGACGAATGTGTGGGCTGTATTTAATCTTCCCAAATGAACACCCCTCCATACACAACACCCCTCTTGAGAGAATCAGCAGTGGTAACCTTATTCAAAATAAAAACAGCTTGCTCTGGTGACTGCGCCGCATATCTGTATGCATGGATAACTCCTCACAAAATGGGTAAGGTGGGAAAATTGCTGCACGTCCGTTCCTAGGAAGCGTGTGGTTAAGTGCATTGATGAGTGTGTGTCCCATTTGGTGATTCGATTATGTGTGTCTATAATGGAAAGCTTTTTTTCTTTTTAAGCTTCGCAGTTTCTGCGCGAAAGGGGTCAGCTTTCCCTGCATCAATGATCTTGCAAAATATCTGTTCCCCGCGTAAGGCACAGAAGGTCCTGCTGCCTTAAAGGGGGGGAATTCTCTTTACCTAGCTTACCGCTTCAAACACGGCCATCACTCTAACGGCGCTTACACTCTTTGAGCGTTTTGGGCTTCTTTTTTTTTTTTTTTTTTTGAACCCCATTTTGTGCACGCGCGTCTGGTCATCCGAAGGAAAGTGACTTTGCGATTTACAGAGGGACTTTTGACAAATTCTATTAACCAAGAAGGAGGAGGTATCGGAAGTTATGCATCCCGTTTTGGCGCCTACTTGGGGAAAGCGAAAAAAAGGGATGACTTATTCTGGGCCACACGATAAGCGGTAAATTGGTTAAGCCTCTAAACTGAAACCGCCGTGTAAAGGGAAAACTGTTGGCATGAGAAATTTAGCCATTACGCGTCGGAAGAGAAGCAAAAATAGTCCAGTGTGTGTATTTGTATGTATATTCGTACGTGTATGTGTGTTCGTATGTGTATTCGTATGTGTATTCGTATGTGTATTCGAATGTGTGTTTGTGTGCCCCTGTAAAGGACACCTCCTCCCACGGATGAGATAACGCCAAAACAGAATTAGAGTTCACGTCAACATGGCGGTGAATAAGGAAGACGCGATGACATCCCCAATGAGTGAGGGGGAGCTGAAAAAGGTGTACTATGAACATTTTATAGACGATTTGACGGATGAAGAACTCATGTACAAAAAAACAGTGGAAGATTTGTTTTATATTTATAAGTCCTTTGGGTTCATTTACTCCATCATTAAAAAGGCAAACATTCTCCTAAGTAATGAAAGCTTCGACATGTTTTTAAAATCTCTTGTAAGCTTTATTGACGAGCTCTTCCTAAACAACCCGAGTCTTTTTGACACGGAACGAAATGATGTGAAGGTAAGTTATGCCAACAAAGAAATCGGAGCGGGGGCTATGAAAAAGAGGAAAGGAGAATTTGATCAGACATATATAATTAACAACAGTGACAATAACTCCTTCATGATGATGCTATCGAAGACATACATTGAGGAGTTACTAAAGGATATTAGCAATATAGACCCCAATTTTAACGAAAGGAATGTAGAGGATTATCTGTTCATCACGAAGCATATTCTTAAAATGAAAAACACTCTCGAAGTGGAACATGTGAAAAATCGGATTGACAAATTGAAAAACATATTAAATGTAGGGAAAAATATTTTCCATGTAGATGAATTATTGGATAATTCGGATGACAGTGATGGGAATAAGAAGATAACGATACACGATCATATCGATGAGATGATAGAAAAATTGAAGACCATTGGACCATCCATCGTTTCGATTGTTTATAAACAGAACCTCTGGTACAAACAGATTGTTAACAAGTCCGAGTATGACAGCTTAAATTCGATTCTGAACCTAGATGTAGATGCAGACAATAATGTGGTAGAATCCACTTACGCAGATGTGATTCTGCTCCTTGGAGATAAAATGACACAAAATAAAGACCTGCTGATTGCCAAGGAGAAGCTAGAAAGACTCAAAAACAATTACGATGCGGAAAAGCAGAGGAAGCTTCAGCAAGAAATGGAACTCTCCAAAAAATTAGAGGACAAAAGAAAGGCTGTGCAGTTCATTATTGACAGATATAATGAATACACCTGGTTTGATAAGAATTCCCCCAAGAAGCACTCCTTCTACATAATAGGCATTAACCCGAGGACGACTACGGAGGAACAACTAAAGAGCTTCGGAAAAAGACTCAAACATATTCTGCACCCCGATAAGGAACCCGATAAGGAGTGGAAGAAGAAGGCCGAGTCTGCTTTTAAGGAGGCGTCCCTCGCCATTCTGGGCTGCCAGCAGGAGTTCAAAACGAAGGTCCTCAAGAATCTGGAGCCCGGCCCTCCCGCTCCGTACTTGGCGCTCATCGGCATTGACACGCAAAGCGACACGAGCGGGGGTGGCCCTACAGGCGCAGTTGGCGGCACTGGCGGAGCTGCCGGAGAGGGAATCGCACAGCTGCCGAAGTATTACCCCACGCAGGCCTACTATCCAAAATTCGACCTCAAATGCGTCGACCAGAAAATTGGTACAATCCTTATTGACATCAAGTGCCCTGTGCAGCTGGGGGTGGTAAAGAAGGTGATCCTTTACGTGCACAGACCCATCTACGGAGCCGAGCCACTCAATTTGATCCCAGAGGATTCGTTCCTTTCCCACAAAATGGAACAAAACGTCAACATAAAAAATTTAAACCAGTCGATTGAAGCCCGAGTTGACTTTGTCCAGCCCTTAGAAATCGCCGCATCTACCAAGTACTACATCGGCATTCAGCTAATAGCGGAGAGGGGAAACACCATGATCAATTGGAACTCCATAAACATAACGCTCCACAAGTTTAGTAACAAAAATATTATTAAGAAGTTGCTTTCATCGTTTAGGAATGCCTCCTTCATTAATCAGGCCCAACTGAATGTGACCCTGTCCAACGAGAACAAAGAAGAAATGACCAAATATCTGAATGAGTGCATTGCCGCGGCGAAGATATGGGCGCAAACAGTGTAGCGGGTGCAGACGGTGTATCGGGGCCCACCCATAGATTTGCGCTTCACCTCTCCCAGACTCTTTTTGCAGCTCCTGCGCAGAAGTCACAAGTTTTTTTTTTTTGTACCTCACGGGGTAGCTACCTATTTACTTATCTACGTTCGCTACGCTTCTACGCTGCAACACTGCAGAACGGCTTCACTGCCGCACCTTGCGAGGAAGGCTTTAATATTTGTTCTCAAGAACACTAACGTAAGTCTTTGTTCATTGCAAACAATGGCGATCCTTTGCTGTGCAAACAAATTCCGTATGGGTGGAGGAATAATGCCCACCCAACTGAAAAAAGAATAGTCAACCTGGGAGCAGGCACACCCTCTCCCCCCCTCAGTCCCAGTTAGGACTTCCTAAGAATCATGCGTAATTCATTCTTTGCCTCGCTGTTTGGAAGGTCGTCCAAGTCATAATAACTTCTAGCAATCTCAAGCAGCCACTTCCCCTCAATTTTGGAGACTGTCCTTATGAAATTCTTTGTGGTTAATATAAGTTCATGATACATGACCCATTCAGGGTTTATTTGAAAGACCGTTGAAGGGTGCAGAGTGACAATTTGGATGTCCTTCACCGTGATGTAGTACCCTTTGCTAGTTTTGTAGGCCACTTGCTGGTAGAACCCACTGAGCAGGGCTTTCCTTATATTGACATAGTAGTCAGGATTGGATGGGTTCATAGAGACAATTTTTAGGTCCATCTTTTCCATTGTTCTGATGAGTTGGTTTCTAACATTCTGGGCAGATGTCATAGCTCGATGATTTAAAAAATAATCATAACAAAATTTTTTAGAGGCATTTATATCCATTCGGTGATACTTGACGAAGACATGGAACACATTCATAAGAGTTAGGTGATCTCCATCTAGGTGTGAGAATCTCGTTTTCATTTCGTCCGCTTCTTTGCCTTTAACTTTTGGCCTTAAAAAACAGTAAGGAACAGAAAGCATGGCTGCAATGGTTAGTATTTCACTGGAGCAGGAATAATTTGGGGACTCAATTAACACTTTGGCTAGCTGGGGATCTACGGGAAATTCAGACATGAAGTGTCCCTTCTGTGTTAATTCTCCTTCATCATCTAATGCCCCTAAGCAGTTAAGCTGTTCTAGGGCTCTCATCAGCGTCTCTGGTGCCGGTGGGTCCATAAAATCAAAATGAACTAAATCATCGATTCCTAACTTTTTTAAATTTAAGACAACAGAACCTAAGTTGGATCTTAAAATTTCTGGGTAGGTCTGTTCGGGTAATGTTTGCTCGAAACATTTTTCTGTGTAGAGGCGAAAACATTTTCCGGGTTTTGTTCTTCCTGCTCTTCCAGCTCTCTGCTGAGCGGATGCTTTCGAAATTGGAGCGATCAATAAAGATTCTACTCTTGCCCTTGGATTATAAACTTTCTGTTTTGAAAACCCAGGGTCGATAACATAGACGATTCCTTCTATAGTGAGAGACGTTTCTGCGATGTTAGTGGATAGGATACACTTCCTTCCCATTTTGTCTCCTTTAAATCTTGGCGGGGGTGCCGGTTCGAATATTTTCTGTTGCTGTGTCGATGGTAATGAAGAATAGAGGGGTAACACTACCAACTGACCGGCACTGCTATTCTTGGAAACTAACTTCTCAATCTCCTTTTTCGTCATTTCGATTTCTTCCTCTCCAGTGAGGAAAACAAGAATATCTCCATCGTCCTCATTAACATGGATGTCGTATACCGTCCTGATAACTACCCTTATGTAATCCTTCTCTGCCTGTAGGGTATAGAAAATCTCCACTGGGTATAGCCTCCCTGGGATGTTTAATATCTGTGAGCCAGTAAAAAACTTCTGAAACTTCCCCGCATCTAGTGTTGCTGACATGACAATTAGTTTCAAATCGTTCCTCTGCTCTTGTATGTTTTTTATAACTCCGAAGAGGATGTCCGTAGCTAAGGTCCTCTCGTGAGCTTCGTCCAGAATAATTGTGTTGTATCTTTTTAACAAGGGGTCATACATGGATTCTCTCAACAGCATACCGTCCGTCAGATATTTAATGACCGTTTTTGTACTAGACCGATCTTCGAACCTGATGGTGTACCCTACATACGTCCCTAGTTCTACATCTAATTCTTCTGAAACTCTTGCTGCTACACTCATGGCAGCTACTCTCCTTGGTTGCGTCACAGCTATGGACTTCTTTTCTGCAAATTTGGATTCCAACACAAATTGCGATATCTGTGTTGTCTTTCCACTTCCCGTATCTCCTACGATAATGAGTACGTCGTTTTTTTTAAAGAGCTTTAGGAAGTTCCTTTTGGCACTCCATGCTGGAAGTTTTTTCTTTTCTTCCAGCAGCTGGAGGTACCTTTCGCTGTATCGTTCGTTGGTCAGTTTGTTTAGGAGTTGGGTTTCTGGTTCGCCTCCGCCAGCTTCTGCACCCCTTTGGTAGGAGGCTTCCCCCATTGGTATTCCGCTTCCAAGGGGTGTTTCGGACTTTGGGTCGCTTTCCTTGGGGTGTTCCTCCATGGGGATATCTTCCCCATCACTTTTCTGTTCATTCCTGTTCTGCTCATTATGCGCCTCCTTCTCCCCCTCATCGTTGTTACTCTCATGACTACTGTGATCACCCTGTTTGGCGTCACTCTCTTGATTGTTACCACAGCTGTGTGCAGAACCTGGATTCTCCTCTTCGTCGTATGAGCTCACTTCGGCCTTATTTTTCCCTCCCCTCGTTTGTCCATCCTCTTCACCTTCCTCAAAGGGATCTCCCTTTAACACATCGCCCACCTTTGCCTTCTTCTTACTGCTATAATCGTCACTTAACGTGGGTGCGTCTTTCCTTTTGGCGCTTTCACTTGAGGCTGGCGGGTCCCCATTCCCGTTCGCGGCCTCCGCGTTCTTTTCGGATAGGCCGTCCACCACTGGGTCCATTTTGGCTAGCAGCGGCTACGTAGCGCTATGCTTTTGCGTAGGAGCGCAAAAAAAATGGGCACAAAAGCGCACGTGTGCGACCTTTATGCATAGGTATGCTTATATATACGTGTAACTGCCCACCCGCCGGTACGAAGCAGGGCTGGGTGGTAAGGGGCGAAAAACCGATAGGCAGTTGAATCTACCCGAAGGGGGGGCTCTCTGAAATGAATGTCCCCCTCTCTGTGTTCATTACATCTGACACCGGCTTCCTTCCCCTACCATGTTTGATAATTCGTTGGAAATCTTCCCACTAGCAGTCCTCTTCTCTCCTACGTGCAGGAGCAGAGGATCATACAAAGGTGGTTTGCGACTCTGTCACTCTTTCAAAAAAAAAAACAAAGTTACGCAAAAAAAAAGAAAAGAATATTCCTTTAGATGCTTATATGCGACTTCAATGTGGATCCTTCACATTAGCTAATTAAAATAAAATACCCGCTCGGCTTTCACACAAAGGGATTATTCTTCATGTGACGCTAATTGGGCAAGCCCGAATCGAAAGTGAGGTTCCAAATTGGATCCCAAATTAGATCCCGAATTCCGTTGCCAATTCTGTTGCCAATTTTTCGGAGAAGGCGCTTCGAAAACTTCTTCCAAGTTTGCCTGTAAATTTGGCACAAATCAATTTCACCGTGAGGAGTTACGCCCGTGTGGTGACCATATGGGATCCTGGCAGTCAAACCAATCATCTGCGCAGATAGATAAGAAAATTGTTAAAAAAAGAAGAGGCTAATTTTCCCGCTTTGCATGTGGTGCCACGTAACGCAATGTCGTGTTCACGTTAATTTTTTTTTTTTTTTACTACATCTAATTGATGATTGCCATTTGGGGATTCTCAGAAGGACGGCTAATTTGTCACCCTCTTTGGTAGAAATCACAACAGCTACATTTCGCATGTGATATGATCTTATTGTCCTGGCATTAAGCGGGCGCGCCAACCCTTCATCACTTGTTACCACTTCGTCAAGCAAGAACGAAAAAAATTGTAACCCCCTTCTGGGGAAAGCATCCCCTAGTGCGTGGCTCCTGATTCTTTTCCGATTAATCATTTTGCATATCCTCCACTTTTGCTTCTCTCCCCCGTTAAACATATGTCATTTGTCCCCTACTGCTCAGAAGAAAGCAGACCAGAGAGTGGAACCTCCCCCACTTGTCATTTTTCTTACCCTATAGCCATATGCGTTTTATGTCATCACCTGCGTGCATTTCGAAAATATAATCGAAGCGTAGGTGTCATGTTGCCTTAGTAGAAGTGCAAACTAATCCCATACACCTTCTTTACACATAATGATAGGAACGTTATATAAGGGCAGGGAGAAATTACGTGAATAGAAGGATCGGGAGTAAACCCCGTCTTCTTTTGTGCACCCCTTGTGTCATTCGTTTTTTTTTTTTTTTTTCTCACCACGTATAGTAACACAGTTTAGTTGAAGGGAAGACAGACAACAGGAGTGTGCAACATTTCGAGGTCAAATTGGGAAGGCAATTAAAGTAAAAGAGTGCTTACTCCGTGTAGAGTTCATCTCATCGAAGTGCACCCAGAACTGCATCACTGAGTTGTAAGAAATGATAACATAAGGGCTTCTACACGTAGATGTATGTAAAAAGGAAAGGGAGGGGTGACTACTCCTAAGTGGAAGCCGCACGAGGGGGAACTTCTGCTAGTTTGGTAACCGCCCCGCCACTTTGCCACTTAACCCCCCGATGTGGTTCGGACAGCTGATCATCGGGCCGCCGGGGTCCGGGAAGTCCACCTACGTGGCGGGGGTGGAACACATATTGAAGCAGATAAATAGGAAGCTAGTGCTCATCAATCTGGACCCCTTTGTGGAGAATGACGTGTACAAAGCGGATGTCAACATTAGTGAGCTTGTGGATATAAAGAAAGTCTTCTGTGATCTGGGCTTAGGACCGAATGGCACTCTGATATATTGCATGGAATACCTCCTAGCAAACTTCGACTGGCTGGAGGAGAGACTAAATGAATACAAGGATCACTACCTACTTATTGATACCCCCGGGCAAGTGGAACTGTATACACATAATGATGCGTTGAGAAAGATTGTTAACAAGATGACAAAGATGAACTGTAGACTGACTTCCGTGCACATTGTTGACAGCACTTTATGCTCCGATAACTATAAATATGTTAGTGCACTACTGCTATCCTTGTGCAGTCAGATTCACTTAGAATTACCCCATGTGAATGTTTTCTCCAAAATTGACTTGTTAAAATATTTTAGAGACGATTTAGATTTCCCTCTGAGTTACTACGTCCAAGCGCAGAATTTGGAGCAGCTCACGTTGTACGCGCGCTACCAGAATGAGTCCTCCTCCGACTCGGATAGTGGAGACCCACCAGCTACCTCCTTAAATGTTGGAAGCCACTCTCCTCAGCGCACCATCAAACAGGTCATCCAGAATGAAATAAACACTGGAAACATAAAAAATGCCAAGAAAAACTACAGGAGATTCTCCAACAAATATCTGAAGCTAAATGAGTACATATGCGAAACGGTGCAGGATTACAACATGATCAATTTTGCCCTTCTGGATATACAAGACAAATATAGTGTGCTTAAGCTGCTAAAGATTATCGATGGAGCTAATGGGTTTCGCTTCAGCTCCATTTACTCCGAGTACTCTCTCTTTGACACGTACGTTGAGGCCATTGAGTATGACTGTGATGATATTCAGGAAAGGATCGTCGACGTTTCGGATGAGGAAAAAAATTGACGTCCCTATCTGGGCACCCCCCTCATGGGTGGGAAGCGAGTTCGCCTCCCCCGGGTCGGCATACAGAGGAGCCAACCACACGTAAATGAGGTACACAAAAGTGAAAATTAAATGTGGCCGACACTTCGCGCCGATAATGTAACCCGCGCAGCTGTAGCAAAATTGGCGTGACAATCGGGGACTCGTAAAAAAAGTGTACGCAATTTTTGGAGTATCCCTTTTGGAGTGCTAACATTCGAGGCTACTTCGCGCGGCGTTCTTCGTTCCGCGCGTCGAAGTGACTTTTTTTTTTTTTTTGTTAACGCGCCGGTACATTCCCCACAGAGGCAGAGTACGCCTACGTGGGGCACCCGTTCAATTCGCACCATATAATGTCAGTTACGGCGTCAGCCCAACAGTAAGGGAATCAGCCCCCGGGATAAGCGGTTCATCTATATGTGTTTCCATTCGCTACTGCTGATACGACGTATAGATAGGTGTGCACAAACATTTGTACGCATGTGAGAGTGCTTCTTCGTTTTGTTCATAAAAATGAATGTGGACAAGTTGGTAGCCGATCTTCACGAAATAGAAGAGGACTACGAAGGAGAGAGCGAGGGGGAGGAAGACCCTTCAATGATGACGCAGAAGGTGACGTTCTCAAGTGGAAGCGTGAACAGAAAGCTATTCGACGAAAAAATGAGCCATCACTACGCCATTTTTAACACCAAAAATGAGTTTCGAAAAACAGAAATTCATGTAGAGAAGACGCAGATTGAAATAGTGAACCATTTTATATTTCTGCTTAAATTGCTAAGAAGGAGCAATGACGAAGAGATCATACGAGAGATAGCCAACTGCATTAAAGTCACCTTTGAGACGGACAACGATGAGGTGCAGAAACTGTCCGAGGAAAAATCCTTCTACCTCTACAAACAATACCTACTGAAAAATAAACATTTTTTTTTAAAACTCTGCAGAAGTATGAAGAATAGACATTTCTACCCCGATGTAAAACAAATCATTAAAGACATCACTAGAGATGTTTTTTCATTCAATAAGGAGATACTTCATGGCATTCTGGGCTTTAAGTCCATCTTGTTCAGTCTCTACAATTTGCTAGGGAAATATCTCCAATGTGAGGTTAGGAAAATATTGCTGGCATTCTTCCTTCTAAGTCTTATGAGTCGAACTAATAACACGGTCGACATTTTATACACGCTGGAATATTATTTCAAAAACAGCAATTTCTCCATTATTGTTCCAAATAGCTGCTTCATTTCTCCATGCGAGCTCAGTATTTGTAATAACATCATTCTGTTACGTAGCTGTGTCAAATACTTCATCAAGGTTACAGAGGAATCGTCGTCTCTGCTGAGATACAACTGCTACAACGTTATCTACATTGATGAGAATTTAATAAGTGACAATTTTTATCTGCACATTTATAAAACGCTGCTGAAGGATTGCAAACACCATTACCTTTTTCGGGACACCGAATTATTCGGCCAGGTAGACTTCTTTGATGTGAAGTCTAACTATGCCAAGTTGAAGTCAAAAGGGGTGCCTCAAGCGGAAGGTCCCTTTCGAGAGGTACCAACTGGCTACGATGTGACCATCTCCCCTGATAGTGAAAAAAGGGACGGCATGGAACAGAAGGGAGACCATTTTGCAACCTTCTTGGACGATATAGAAGTTTCTTCCAGCTCCACCTTTAACTGCAGCGATAACGAAATTGACATAGAAAAGATAAATGAGAAGAATCGACTGTACCGGGATGCATGTGATCATTTGGGAAAACGCAGAAAGAACTTCTTTTACCAGTATTTGATTATCGAGTTGAGTTCGTGACAAGGGAAGAGGGGGATTGTCCCCCTGTAGGAATCTTCAAAAAAAAAAAAAAAAAAAAGAAAAACTGCACATCATTTTGATTGACCAAGCCTCTAAGAATTTGTGCCCCTTTCCCTATGGCAAAAATAACCCATTGCGTCATCCGATCAGTGCATGTGATGATGCTGTGCGGGGGGTGATTTGTCCATTTTTACGAAACATTCTAGGGGGTATACATCTCCCCCAATACTTTGTCCGTTCACTCCCAGTGCCGCTAACCGTGTCATACACCAATTTCGACCGCGTCATCCTGTCCTGCTTCTATTTTTTGAAACGGGGGATTGCACTCCTTTCCTTTCCCTTCAATCATGCGGTGGTGCAGCGGACGTCGTTATGACGAACGAAGCCGCGAAGCCGCTTAACCGCGCTACACTGTGACCTGCTTATTTTGTCTTCTCATTTTGTGTTTCCCCTATGGAGGAATTCCTAGAACGGCTAACTCATTCGTAATGACGAATGGCGCCATTACGATGGTATCACTTTTGCAATTCCGCGAAGCTTATGTAGATATGTGTGTGCCGAAATGCCGCGAAATAATTTTACTACTTCCCCCGTTACGCTGTAGGGGCGGGGTCCTGTATTTAAGGGTGTGCGTACGAAATGTGCCAGGTTTTCAGCCTGACACTGTTATATTGACTTGATTAAAACATAGGGTGGAGAAAAAAAATAAAAAAATCAGCAGAGTGAGCTATTTTTACGAATTGGTTGGGCATTTTAAAGGGAGGTAAAAATTTATCATCCTGAGTAGCGCGACTTTGCATTTTTTTTCTTTTCATTTGCCTCTTTGTAAAAATGGTCAGTCGATCGGTGGGCCGGCCAGCTAATCGGTCACACGACGCGGAGCCACTAACCGAAATGTGCGCAAATGTCTGGAGGACCCTCCGTACACTCCCAAATGAAGCATTCGCAATTTGGTGGGGTTAACAAAAAATTGGCCACGCTACTTCTATTCGGAATATTTGCTTCCTCAATAGGGGGAGGAACTGCATGTGGTGTCTGTTATGTAGGGTAAGGTTTGTCCGTTTAAATCTCTCGCTGGTTTTTCTTTTTTTTTGTTTTTCTGTTTTTTTTGGCGTGTATGCCTTCTTCCAGCCATTTTTCCGCATTTTCTTTTTTCATCTTTCCCAAAATGAACAACTTTTTCGCGAGGGTGTCCGTAGCATTTTTGAAGGTGACCCCCAAGACCCGCGTGGTTAAAGTTGGGGGTTAAAAGGGGGGTACACACACGGTTATATAAAATATGTATAACACGCATGTATAAACACGCATTATATATATACATATTTGTTTCCTCACATTATTGCGTGTGTGAGCGCTGCGTGGAGCCGATTTGCCCGCCCCTCACCATGGCGAAGGTGCTGGAGCTGCCATAAGGACGACGCCACCCCGAAGTTTGCACAGAAAAAAAAAATAGAAAGAAATAATCTCTTGAGGTAAATACGTGGAGGCAAGTGGTCATTCCGGGAGCCCTCACGATAGCGCAAACACAACCGGAGGGAATTCTCACTCGCCGCAAAGAATATCGGAAAAAGCAAAAATGTGCGGTATCTTTTCTTTTTTCCCCCGTATGAAGAACGTCAAATGTATGCGATAAGTTTCCATCGCAGGTCGCTATTTGACATTCATTCTTATCACGCCAAATGTGCCATCAGTAGCTGCTCCATCAATGAATGCTTCAGTGGTAAAATTATATAGAGCGTTTTTGTCATTTCCCCCACCCAACTGGCACGTAAAGTGACCACCCTGTGGGAGGGATAAAAGCCTCCGTCGTGACTTCTGCTGATCGGATTCGCGCAGGCACAGGTCAAAGTTGGCGCTTAATTTCGTAAAAAGATCCAAAAAAAAAAAAAAAAACAAGTGCAAGCGGGAGGGAATAAATAGCAAGCCATAAAAATACGTGCATATATATATACATACATACAAACATACACCGTTTTGCCACTTGCCACTGCATAATATATTTGTTCAGCAAAAGGAAGAAAGGTTGCGCACCTATCTCATGATCCTTGGGGTTGAAAGCAATAAAACAAAAAAATAAAAGAAAAACAGCCCAAACAAACCTGAAGCGCTGCATACATACCTTACACGCGTGTAGCAAGAGGGCGAAGTGCAAACTGTATTGCAAGTATATATCACGCCATTGCGAGGAAAGTGCTGTGAAACTCACCTTAAAAGAAAAAAAAATAAAATAACGCGTCATGCGTATAATCCACGCGCAGGGTTTGGTACATGTGTACATACGTAAGCACATTCTTACATACGAAACATGCATGTACAAAATTAAAAACCATTTCTGCTTTTTCAAGCAGTTTTTAAGAGCATTCTTTTTTTTTTTTTTTTTTCCTTTTTTCCCCCATCTTGAATGATTTTGAATCCTTCACGTGTTGTTCGTTTGAGTCAGAACACATCCCCTTTTTTAACCTATTCGTCGTGCATACGTACGAGCATACATACTATACGAACATACGTATACCTATTTAGCTTCAAGCGCTCTTAGCCTTTTTGCGCCCCCATTTGTTCATGCGAAAGTAGTCAAGATGAGGAATACGAGGCCGTTTATTTTTCTCCTGGCGCTCTCCCTGTTAAATTGTATTAGGGCCATAGACTCCAACAGTAAGTACCCAGTTCGTTCCTGAGTGCTTCAGTGCCTGGATCAGTGCGTGCGTTAGTACCTTCATACGCTTAAAACGTATGCACGCTTGACACCGGGGGAGCAGCGCAATTCTCCCCCCTAACGAAACAAGCAGGAGTGAAAGCATGCAGCACGTATGGTGATCGCTTCGAATGAGGCGATGGGAGGAAGAACCCTTACTCGTTGGCACTGGCAATCTGTACCGTTCCGCCAAATCGCAGAACGTGTAATGGCATAAGGGCGAAAGAAAAATTCAAAAGAGGGTTTCCCCTCCCCCCGTATTGATTTTCACTACCTCCTTTGTGTTGCTCCATTTGGTGGTTATTACTTATGGAATGTTTGTTCATCCCACGCATGATCGCCCCGAATACATACATGCAACACACACACACGTTCCACTTGTCCCCCGCTCATTCACCAGTTGAAGGCCCCGTGATCGGAATCGACTTAGGCACGACGTACAGTTGTGTTGGCGTTTTCAAAAATGGAAGAGTCGAGATATTGAATAACGAGCTCGGAAACCGTATCACGCCATCCTATGTGTCCTTCGTGGACGGAGAAAGGAAAGTGGGTGAGGCAGCAAAATTGGAAGCAACTCTACACCCCACCCAGACAGTGTTCGATGTGAAACGGTTAATAGGAAGAAAATTTGACGACCAAGAAGTAGTGAAAGATAGGACTTTATTGCCATATGAGATTGTAAATCAGGAAGGGAAGCCAAATATAAGAGTACAGATAAAGGACAAGAAGACGACCTTTGCCCCAGAACAAATCAGTGCCATGGTTTTGGAGAAAATGAAAGAAATAGCTCAATCGTTTCTGGGAAAGCCAGTTAAAAACGCAGTGGTAACTGTGCCAGCTTATTTCAATGATGCACAGAGACAAGCAACGAAAGATGCAGGAACCATTGCAGGATTGAACATTGTGCGTATTATAAACGAACCAACTGCAGCAGCTTTGGCTTACGGATTGGATAAGAAGGAAGAGACGAGCATTCTAGTCTACGATTTAGGAGGAGGAACCTTCGATGTATCCATTCTTGTCATCGATAATGGTGTGTTCGAAGTTTACGCCACGGCAGGAAATACTCACTTGGGAGGAGAGGACTTCGATCAAAGAGTGATGGATTATTTTATCAAAATTTTTAAGAAGAAGACAAATATAGATCTCAGATCGGATAAGAGAGCGATCCAGAAGTTGAGAAAAGAAGTCGAAATTGCAAAGAGAAACTTATCTGTAGTTCACTCGACTCAGATCGAGATTGAGGACATCGTAGAAGGACATAGCTTTTCTGAGACCTTGACTAGAGCCAAGTTTGAAGAATTAAATGATGACTTATTTAGAGAAACTTTAGAACCCGTAAAGAAGGTACTAGATGACGCAAAATATGAAAAGAGCAAAATCGATGAGATCGTTCTTGTAGGAGGATCTACTCGTATCCCAAAAATTCAACAAATTATAAAAGAATTCTTTAATGGAAAAGAACCCAATAGAGGTATCAACCCAGATGAAGCTGTAGCTTACGGTGCTGCCATTCAAGCTGGAATCATTCTCGGAGAAGAATTACAAGATGTCGTCTTGCTAGATGTTACTCCACTGACATTAGGAATAGAAACCGTTGGAGGTATCATGACCCAACTTATTAAAAGGAATACAGTCATCCCGACGAAGAAGTCACAGACCTTTTCTACCTACCAAGACAACCAACCAGCTGTGTTAATACAAGTATTTGAAGGTGAAAGAGCATTGACCAAGGATAACCACCTTTTGGGAAAATTCGAATTGTCAGGCATCCCACCGGCACAAAGAGGAGTCCCCAAAATTGAAGTCACTTTCACGGTTGATAAGAATGGAATCCTCCACGTAGAAGCGGAGGACAAAGGTACAGGAAAAAGCAAAGGAATTACAATTACGAATGATAAAGGAAGACTCTCCAAGGAACAAATCGAAAAAATGATTAACGATGCAGAAAAATTTGCAGATGAGGATAAGAACCTCCGAGAAAAAGTCGAAGCGAAAAATAACCTTGATAATTATATACAGAATATGAAAGCCACTGTGGAGGATAAAGACAAATTGGCAGACAAAATTGAGAAAGATGATAAGAATGCCATTTTGAATGCCGTAAAGGATGCAGAGAACTGGCTCAGCAACAATTCCAATGCCGATGCCGAAGCGCTGAAGCAAAAGCTGAAAGACGTCGAGGCTGTTTGCCAGCCTATCATCGTCAAGTTGTACGGCCAACCCGGTGCTAACTCTCCCCCCCCAAGTGGAGACGAGGACGTCGAGAGCGACGAGTTGTAACTTCTGCCCTGCAAACGCGGGAGTGCCACTTCGCAGCTGTGTAATTTGTGTAGAGGAATTCTCTTCATACGTATGGACATCCCTGGACAGTCGCTTATCTTCTCGGGGATCTCACACACATTCCCTATTTTTTTTTTTCTTTTGCCTCTCTTATCTCCTCCCCTCTCCCATTTTCTCCCTCTCAACTTCCCTCTCTCAATTGCCCCATTTTCCCATGAATAAGAAGCGAATTACATGCGTTACACGCAGAAGCGGACAGATGCTTTCGTGTGATGCGAGGAGTCACCTCTCATAGTACTGTAACTGATCCATCGCACACCGTTCAGTGCACCGCCTAGTACACCGCCTAGCACATTGTCTAGCAGATTGGCTAGCACATTGTCTAGCGCATTGTCTAGCCCATGACCTAGCACCTAACTTTGCATATATCTTTGCAAGAAGAAAAAAAAAAATGAACTTAGTAAACAGCCTATCTTAAGATATAGTATAATTTATGAAGCAGATCTTTTGCGAGGGGCGTTTATTACCGAGCGCCGCATCTTCTGGATTGAGAAACTCCATCGGAACTTACGCTATCCATTTGGATTCCCACCTCGGGATCAAAAGAAAAAAGGAAAGACGAAAAAAAGAAAAAAAAAAAAAGCAAAGACGAAAAAAGGAAAACAGGAAAAAAAGAAAAAGAAAAAAAAGATAGAAGAAAAAAGAAAAAGAAGATATTTCTCGCGAAAAAAACCGCATCGTTAAAATACCCCCCACACGTGGTTGCATATGCTAGGGAAATGTAAAGGGTTTGCTGTACCCGTAGAAGGGCATACACCAGTGCATGGCTGGACCCCCCTGCTAAGGTTGTGCTTTCCATTTGTATAGCAGAGCGTGTTAAAGGGGGGTATGAACGCGGAAAGACTTAAAATTACCGCGGACAAGGTCCTCTTTACAAGGTCACAATGTGATCGCAAAAAGGTAGCGTCGTTTTGTGTTGATCTGTTCACCCGGTGATGCGCAACGGGTCACCCTAATTCTCCATGATTCTGCCCGATTCGCGATGCCTTTGTGCTAGGGCAAGTGGACTCAATATGTATTCCGTTTTATTTACTCCCTTTAAAGGGGGCGCTAAACCAGCTACGCGTCATCGGGGGGTGGGGTGCCAGACAAAACGAAATGTCTTCTTAGTGCGCCTCACCCCCCACTAAGCCAAATGGATATTCTTCCAGTTGTGCAACTTTATCAACCTGGAGACTTTCGCGAATGAACGAAAAGAAAACTCAATTGGGAAGGCGCCCCTACTGGGGGAAAGTACAAACTGGAGAGGAACTATCAACCAGGATGATAACATCCTATAACATGTGTCTTATCCCATTTGAATGATCAGACAAGGCGATGCGCAGGTCTTCCACCTTAACTACCTCTTCTTGATGGTGTTAAAAAAGAGATTATCCGATTTAGCCCACCCAATCGGGGAAAAAAAGCGATTTCTCATGGTGCTTTTCCTTCCCCTAACATGTCCACACCACTCCTCACACGTGACATAAGAAGATAAATATATTCTTTTACTTATCTCATGTGTACCCCCTCCCCGCAACACCCCTCTGCAACGTCGTCAATGAAGTGATTGCGTGGACCATTTCGGCAGATGGCCCTATCAGCCAGTAGAGCAATGAGGCACATTCATGAAAAACCATCCGGAAGTTGTGCTAATGGCTGGGTTGGGATGTACTGCGCTGCATCTCCTGCGTACCACCTCTTGGCCCGCTCACAAAGGCAGGTCGGTTTCTTCGCCAAAAGGGAAAGAATCTGAGCAGATACAATCTAGGAAGTGTATCGAACGGAACAGCCCTACTCGCTTAACAAGTGAAGGCTGCACGAGACAGTAGTCCCGCAGCACACCTGTGAAGGAAGCCAATCCGTAAAGGAACCTTTTTGTCTAAAAGGTGAGGGGGGTTACATCGCCAACCCAGATGCTTGGCTCGTTATCACCATTTGAAGTGGCGGGTCCTCCCCAAAGTGGGGTTCCATCTTGACTTTTTCGCGGCACTTTCACACCACTTCTACGTCACTTCTCCACCGCTTCCCCCCTACCAGATAACAAACTGCACGCAGCTAGGCCTTTAGTCGTATCCGCATGATGAACAGGTTCTCATTGGGTACAGAGACATGTAGGTTTTTATACATTCACAAAAAAGGGTTTCAAAAAAAAGATAAAATAAAATACACTAAATCACAGAGGTAGAAAAAGAGAGTCACTTGATACTTTTGGATAAAAAAGAAGATGCACCGATAAAAACAATTACAGATCCTATGAGGATACCGATGGTGCCGACAATTCTTACGAAGGAATCTTTATTCCCCATAGGTCCGCTGGCAGGAACATCAACTTGTTGCACCTTTGGAAGCGATGCAAAGTAGTGCAGAGAATTCACTTTGTCTAGAGATCTCTTCCCCTTCAAATTTATTTTATGAGTGTAGATAACATCGCCACTTTTGCCACTTATTAATTTGGTGATGATACCGCTGCTGCTTAGCTCGTGAATACAGAATCCTATGTCATTGCTATAGAATAAGGACTTGCCATTTCTCATTGCGCCTTTTGCACCGGAGAGGGTACCGGACCCACAGGTTATGTGTGCAATGTCGCCATCTTCTAATATTTCCATGTTATGGTCGTGCCCAGATATATATAAATCCACTTGAGCGTCCTTTAGTAAAGGCAACAAGTAGTAAGCCAGGTAAGAATTTCCTCTAGAAGAACCGGAGGAGTATATAGGTTGGTCTCCTACGACAATGATATAATCTGCAATTTTTTTTGCGACATTTAACTGTGCCTTGAGGTCTGCCCATGCTCTTTCGTGTATTTTCTTATATGGAAAATTTGCAGACAATATCCATGTGTCGATAAAAATAAACGCAGCAGCCATGTCCTTATGACCCGTTTTCACAATGGACGGTCCACTGGAGACAGTGAAATGAGTAAAATAATGGTACCAATAATTTGGCATGATCCATTTGGGGTAGGCAGTTTTATCTATATCTGTTTCTATGGTAGTTTCTCCATCCTTGTTTACATACCTCCCCTGACCTTTTAACAGCTCTGAATTGTAATTTCCTGCCCAATCGCGAGTTCCCAGAACGGTGAAAAAGGGCATATACATGTCTCCACTTTCTTCTGCGTACACATCTTCATAGAGACTCTTCCATGCGGGGTCATCCAAGCCCTTCACCCCATCGAGGAAATTAGAACCCGGACTCACTATAAAAGTCACACGCTCATTCTTTATGTACTGCTTGAAATATTTGGCATTTAGCAATTGGGACTTGGATTCTTTTCCCCAGTCCCCCAGAGAGGCGAATCGCAGTTGACATTTAATTTCGTAACTGCTTAGAAACAGCAAGACAAAAAAAACGTTGAAAACCGTTTTACAAAAATTCATGTTTGGCGACTTGTGGTGATGTGACTGCGGAGGTGCTGGAGTGTGAGGCAGGGTGTGGAGGGGATGAGAATACAAGTATGTGCATGGGAGTGGGTACACACATAGGCGCGACTGGACGTGCGTAGAATGCGGAGTCTCTATCACTTCTCACGCAACACGGCTCGCGCGAAGTGAAGAAAAATTACTTACCATAAAGGGGAGCAATGTTACGCGTGTAAGGTGGAGTGGACTACGCGGGGCCAGGTGGAAATGGCGAGACAATGAACTCAACAGACGCAGTGATCAAAATACACAAAAAATGGGTGGTGCGAAAAATAGGCAAAAAAAAAAAAAGGTGGACGCGTTGGACACGCAAGAAAGTGCAGGCAGGGGAGGAAAATAAAATGACACGATAAACGTACGAGGGAAAAAAACTTCGCTCTTTTGCTTTATCCTTATCAGTGCGTGTACATGTGTGTGTACATGCGTGTATGTGTTTATTTCACACATGCATCAT